GAGCAAATTTGGGGAAGGTGTGGGGTGCACACAGGTCTTCCCTCTGTGTCCAAGAAAAGTAAATAAGCTATCCACTGCACAAGTGGAAATTCTTGCGCTAATGGGATGGTTACTTAGCACTGTGCTGGTTACAAATCTCATCTTTTTAACACAGTCTCTCTAATAATTTATAACTGTATGCTGAACTGGATGGAAGGATCAACACCAAGGACAGCAGCTTCCTCCATGTGATCACAGGCCTTTCTTATTTACCAGCCTCCCCACCCCCCTTTACTCCAAGGCAGCCTTACCTTATAAAATCAAATATATTTACTTTGCCATTGCATGAGGTGTGGAATAAGAAGAATCAGGTCTTCTGTCCGGGAACAACCTCTCCCAGAGATCTTGAAAAGCTGTTTCCCGTCAGGCAGTGCCAGGCTAGATTCATCAGTGGTTTGCCTCAGTATAGCACAGCTTTGTCTGTTAAACAGCACACTTTCTGCAGGTTTATACATTGCTGAGAAAGTTATTCTTTGCTTGTGTGGGTACTATTGGAGAGTCCCAGTTCTCCCTAGTAATGTTTATGGAAACCAAGTCAGACAATAACTGTGAACTTGCAGAAGATCCAATGAATTGCTTGTGGGTTTTAGAGAGCCTCACAAGGGGATAGGAATGCTTAACAGTGAGATATTTTAGACTGGTTTGCTTCTTCACCTCATTATTTCCTTCCTTTTGAGAACTCGCAGTTCAACCATCCGGTTCCTACTTCTATTAGAAATGCTATTTTAAGCTGCCTGTTGCTAAGATACACTGTCAGTTCTATGCACTTGCTGTATCGGTAGTGTCTAAGAACGATATATCCAATCAGTTTAATTAGTTTCCCCAAATTAAATATAATTTACAATAGGGTTTAGTTTGGTAAAAACATGCCATTGTGTTCTCTCACTGCTTACAACAGTCACTTCAGGGATAAGTCACCTTCAGAAAGTGCGTCCTTTTCTGAGTGCCCTCAGATCTCATGTTTCATGGCCGGATCACCATGGGACCAGGAGGAACCTTTTTCCTGGTACCTAGTAAACAGCTAAAACCTTCCTTAACCTAAGGCCCACGGGATGTGTTGAAAGGTTGTCATTGATCCAACCTTTTCTGTTGTCTTTTTTCCATATTGGCTTAAATATGACTTATTCTTAGAACTTGGTGTACTACACTTCCACATCATCACCTCAGTGAAGGAAGACTTTCCACGATAGAGCCTTGTGACTTTCCCCAAGTCACAGAACTACTGACCTGGTTAGGAACATTCGTTTCTTTGAAGCACATGAAAGGAGAAGGCCAAGCCAAATGAATCATTGTTCTTGCTATGATTACAGGTCAATAGCTAGCCAATTAGGTGAGGTGTCTGCAGTTTGATCCATAAGAAGTTGTGTACCATTCTCAAATGAAGAGTATTTTCAGATTCTCTTGCTTATTGGGATAGGAAGGATCTTGGTTGCTGGTAAAGAAAAAGAAACCTGTCTTAAATGATGCAGTTAAATGTACTAAACCATGCACATTGAAATACAGTGTTGTATAATAGGAAGAGTGTTGGGTGTAGAACAGGGAGAGCTGGGTTCAAATCCCGACTCAGTCAGTGGCTTTACTGATGACCTTGCACAAATCTTGGTCTTACATACTCCACAGTGGTGTGATGAAGAACAGGAATAATCTCATGCACTGTACCTTGCCCTTCTTGGACAGAGTGCTGGAAACAAGTGTGATAAATAAATAAACATTGTCCCAAGCTTGGACTCTATAATGCGGGTTCCCTCAACCTGGTGCTTCCAGATGTTTTGAATCACAACTCCTATCTTCCCTGACTATTAGCTCTGCTGGCTGTGGCTGAGAGGAGTTGAAGGCATAAGGTTGGGAAGGCTGCTATAATGGATTGCTGGGATGCAGCTACCAACATTCTGCTGTCTCATATTGTGTGTTCCAGTTTCTCTCCAGGGTGTTAGATCAAACTAGCAAATGGCCATGGAAACTTCTGTTCCACTTGTTGCACAAAAATATTGCAGTTACAGGTAGCTATGGAAGATGACACCACACACACAAAGGGTTAGTAAGGGAATTATAGTGTCACATATTCAATGAATTAGTGGGTTCCTTTTCATTCATGGATCTCAGGCATTCACGACATTATATGTGGCATCTGGTGTGGAGTAAGTGCAGATGTGGGTCCAAAGGAACAATCAGAAGCTTGAACTGAACTCTGCTGATGGGTGGTGTGTGTGCGCACGCCCAGCTCTAAGAGGGCAAGGAGTTTCTATTGATGGGCAGTGAGGGGACTCCTTGTTCTGGGGAGCATTTTGGAGACATTGGCTGTGTGAAAAAGAATTCCCTCATGCAGCCAGTGCCTGAAAATGCAGCATTCCCAGCTGGTGGGCAGGAGAAATAACTTATTCACTAGGCCTATGCTCAGTGCTTCCCAAAGTTCCAAGCATAGAACTGGCTACACCTCTTGTGCTGTGGTTCCCAAATACCAACAACCAACTGGCTATTGGGCATTTGGGCATCATGCACAAGGGATTTTGACAGATGGGCCAAACAACACAGCTTTCAATCATGGGATTTCCGCGGTGATGTCACAGGTAGATTGTTCTGCCCATCTGTCAAAACTGGTCCCTGGAGCAGTAAAGATTTTCAACCCCCGGTTTAACCATTCATGCACTGCATCAAGATCAGCAAGTGTGCCAAAGTGCAATCACACAGACCCATTCTATTTTATCAAGTGCATTTTTTGGATCAATTGACAATAATGATAATGGTTGATGGGATTTCTGTCTTCATGGTTGATGAGTCATTCAGTTACGGCTGCAATAGTTAAGAGTTACTAAGGCCTTTCACTGATTCATACTGCATTAATTTGAGACTCAGAACTCTAGAAGTATGGTACTGTGTGTTCTGGGGAGAAATTATTCTTACTTATATCAGCTTTTCACTCTGTATGTATTTTGATGATACTTTGATGGTTATTTTCTTCTTAAGAATGCCCTGAGACATGAGACTTTATTATAAGGGCATATGTGTGTGCTTGCCATGAACCTTTCTCAAAATCAACCTCCCATTGACATTCTGTCCCTTCTGCATTTCTGACAGCATAGTGGTCTTTGCATAGGCTGTCTGCCAGGATTCTGAAAGAAAAATCTTTTCCAAGCTGGGATCATGAGCTGCTTTGTTGTTGTTGTTGTTGTTGTTGTTGTTGTTGTTGCTGTTGTTACTGCCTTTCATGAGGAGCAACCACTGCATTCTGAGTGGTGCAAAAAATAAATAAATATGGCCAGTGTGGGGACAATTATCATAGTGAGACTTTGTTGCCTGGTTTAGAAAGTATTCTTTGGCAAGTACATCCCATATAAGCAGAGTGAGCTATATCTGCAGCTGATAGCTCGTTCTACATGAGAAAGGCAATAATGTATAGTCAGATGTTGTTAAGGTAACTGCCACTCTATGGGACCTGAGGTGAAATTTCTCAGAAAACAAATTTCTGAGCAAGTGAAGGGGGAATCGTAAAGTGTGGTTTTAATAACCAGACCTGATCTCATCTCCTTTGGGGTTAAATCATATTGTGATGTGGACACAATGTCACACCATTAAAGCAGATTAGAGCCACCATTTTACTTATTGAAAAAATGAGGAGGAAAGCCACCCCCTTTTACTGCCTTGTTTTATAAGTACAACCGGGTGGATCAAGAATGTAACACGATCCTAAGTATTTACCCAAATATATCATGACCATAAGAATAAGTGCAATCTTTGTATAAGTCATCAGTCACCTTTATGAAACAAGTATTGCATTCAAGGGCCTTAGTTGCTCCTAATATTGTCAGGAATATGCTAATAAAAACTGTTTTTAAACGACCTTTTCATTGCCTTATTCACACATGCTTTCAAGGAAACCAAATCCCATAAATCCTGAAATAGTTCAGTATAAGAATTTTGCAGAGTGTAAAACTGGCAGGGTTTCACTGAAGTCCAGGGGACTGGGCTGGTTTAGCTCTGTTGAAAGACAGCAGCCCTTGAATGGAGAGGCAGGAGTAATCAATGGCTTTGCATGCAGTGCCAAACATTTTGCAGATACTATCTGTTGTAAAACTGTCATGGGCAATTTAACCTACAATTCCTGGCCATCCCAGTTGCTCTGATAATGTCATCAGCTGAGAGATAACCTTGGTGCTTGCTGTTGTCATGGAAGAACTGCCGAAGCCTGCCCAGTTCTTTAGTGCAACAATATTTTAAGCTAAATAGTACCTGACACATTGTTGGCACTAAGCACAGGTAAAACAGAAGTTATAGCACTTAGCTATTGCCAAACCTCAGACTTTCACAGATTCCAGACAACAAGGAGGAGGGACTAAGAAAGACAACCGGGTGGTGAGTCACAGTACCTTCTAGGGTACAGCATTGTGAGAATGTAACCATTTCATGGTCCGTCCACCCCCAGACATACCCCTATACATATATTGCTTCAGAAAAATTCTGCTTAAGTCCCAATTTCTGCAGAAAGTAAAGCTTCAGTCTCTATTGACTATGCAAATAGAGCAAATTTGCATATTTATTGAATTTATTTGCTTCTACACAACCTATGCAGAGCACTGCAATTCTACCTCCTGTATCTCCTATTCAGTCCTACCTCCTCCCCGGAATCCAAGATTTCACCAGGCATTGCTTGCACACTAGAAGTTTGCTTTTTTAAAATGAAAACTGAATTCTCAGGCAGATGCTCTCTGGAGCCTATACCATTTCTGAATTTGCATATTGATGAATCACATGGCTCTGGATATTCAACAACACCGAAGAAAGTAGAGAAGTGTAATGTTTTAATTCATTTGTTTTTTGCTTTTCAGATCTTTCGTAGATGACCAGGATCTGAGAGCTGACCTTCAAAACCTGCACCTGCCCTAGCAGATACCCACTCCATCTTGGGCTCCCCTCCGCCCCCAAAATCCCTTCCTACATAGGAGTGGCTGAGCCAGACAGTCTCAATGCCTAAGCACAGCAAGGTGACCCAGAGGGAACAAAGTACTGAGCATGTCACTGAATCAGTGGCTGATCTGCTGGCCCTTGAGGAGCCTGTGGACTATAGACAGAGTGTCTTAAATGTGGCTGGAGAAAATTGGAACAAGCAGCAGGATGTGGATGACACTGGTGAGGATCGGCCAGCGTGGAACAATAAACTGCAGTACATTTTGGCTCAGATTGGCTACTCCGTGGGGCTGGGGAATGTCTGGCGCTTTCCGTATTTGTGTCAAAAGAATGGTGGAGGTAAGTGAGCAAGGGAGTATAAAAGTCATCTGTTATGGACACGTGTTCTGCTTTCCTAATATAATAATACAAGAGGAAAGGAGCATAGGCTTGAAGGCCATAGGATGCTATCTCAAACTGAGGCAGACAATACATAGTACTGACCATGCTGACTGGTAGTAACCCTCTAGGTTTCAGACAGGATCCTTTTCTGGCTCTTCCTGGAAATTCTGGGTAAATCATGTGCTCAAGCATTAAGCTATGGCTTTCCCTTCAATGGATTGTTGTAGTCACTAGTCTGCATGATCACGCAGCTCATTAAAGAGTTAAATGAAGAACTGTTATCCTGAATCTTATGACACGTTCTAAGTTTATCTATTCTATACAAACCAAGACTACTCCTCCACCACGCTCAGCAAGTCTCCTTTCTTGCTTGATAGTGTGCAAGTATTATTTACCTGGTCATCTTGAGTTTAGCTAACAATTTGTGATGGTGAAAGGCTGCCATTATTCTTGGACTGTGTCTTTTTTTATAACAGCCATGTATTTTCCTTGATTGTGCACTGCAAATCCATGCCTGAACCACACTGAACCATTATTATCTCAAAATATGTGAATATATAAACAAGCCCTTGCTACAAAAGGCATTCCTCTATAGCTTGGTAATAATTTTCACAAAGTTGAACTCAGCCAACTCTTCTATCTGTTTGAATTTGCCCTAGTTGAGCTGATTATGCACTGTTAATTTATTTCAGATTTACAGGTTGTGCTCTATTTCCTAACAAATTTGCTTTCCATGGTGTGATTCTTGCTCTCTGTGACATAGGATGATAATATTCCATTAATCTTTTCCTTTTTTTTAGCCACCAAGTTGCAGGAAAAGCAGATTAAAGGCATAATTGCAAAGGATGACTGTGTAAGGCACATTGCCCTTTGGCTGGCTGCACAGATAGAGGTGACAACTGGTGTTTTCCCTCCTATCAAGTGCTGAGTCTTCAATGTGGTCAATAGAACATTAAATGAATGGTTGTTGCACTTTGAAGGCTTACCTGCTTTCTATTAAGCATATGCTTCCTGGATTATCCATGGATGAAGCAAAGTGCTGGCTGAGTATCAGTTGGGTGTAATGCTACAGAATGGATTATTGATAGATAGATGCTTTTGTGATAAATGCAATTCATTGGTTGATAATGTCTGTATTGCTTCTTGGTTCAGCAAGCTTTTTCTGCTAAAAAATACTGCTGTATGTGAAAGTAGTAATTTGTGTGTTGTTTTCTTCTCAGTAATAAAGTGTGCATATGTCTAGCAGAGAGAACAGATTTTCATTAGGAAAAGGGTGGTATTGGGCCAATTCTTTGGAACATTGTGTGCTCAAGAACTTACAGGATGGTGCTGCATGGGTTGAATGCTTTCTTGAAAGCTGAACACCCAGGTTAGGGTTGCAGACGGGAACCTTCTAATTGTACCTATTATCTAGTTACAAAACCTGGTTTCCCCATTATGTGTACTGATGGCTACTGCGTGCCCTAAATGTGTAGGAAGCGCCTGAGTTCTCTCTCAGCTGACTTGTCTGTCTTTGGAACTGGAGTGCATTGCTTTGTTAGTGTATATGGAATTTTGAAAGCCATTGCCTATTGGGGTCACCAGAGTCAGAGTCAATGACATAATCAAAGACAAGGCAGTTCCAGGTTCCAGGGAAGGAGGTAGACAAGGACTAGAAGCAGATGACTGGGTCAAGAGGCCCCAGACTAGGCAGAAAAAAAGTTTGAGGCAAGGGAGCTGGTGTGGCTGCTCAGGGAGGCAACTTCTTCAGGGTAAAGAACCAAACCTGTCAACAGTTACATAGAACCAGCCAGGCCCTTACTGGTTCCTCTGACCTAACTTGGTTGGAGAGCAGCCATGCTGTCTCTGACCAGGACTGGCCCAATATATTTTGCTGCCTTAGGCAAAGGACAATATGGCACCACTCCATTTCCCAGAGAGAAGCTGACTGGACTGGCGGTACTAGCAATGGAGTAGTGTTCGTCATAATTCCTGAAGGCAGCAGGGTAGAGAAAGGGCTTTGCCCTCTAACAGAAAGCACCACGAAGACTAAGCCAATCACTCACTTCTTCTGCTGTCTAAATTACATGAGATGTGAAGGTACATGTTTAAATAAGAGTCTTCAGTCTGGCTGCTTTTTCTTTAAAATAAAAGGGGCCCTGATCCAGAATGCACTCCTCATCCAGGTCAAGGCCCTGCTAAAAAAACCACCATTAACTGTTTGCTCTTGGTCTCCACAGTTTCTGTTTCTTGGTATGCTGTGAAATGGTTGGTTTTCTTTATTCTGTTTTGAGGTCTTTTTCATATTTATTAATATTATTATGAGCCCTGCTGGAAATTATTTTAAATAGTGCCGTGGAGGAGTTTTATGCTGAGTACTGAGTTTGAGTTTATGGTAGCTTGTGCTAATAGTGGTTGCTTTCAGAGCCCTGAAATGCTTCGGGAGGAAAGGTGAGATAATAATAATAATAATAATAATAATAATAATAATAATAAATTAATTGTACCTAAGACCTTTTTCTAAAGGGGAAAAAAGAAACCTGGCTGTCATTTGCTTTGATCAGAGTCTTCCAGTGGATTCTTGTCAGGAGCTGACCCAGTTGTGTGAAGGATTTTTATATCTTTTTGAGAAGCTGTGAGTTGTGTCAAGAATTAACTTGGTGATGTTGTGCTGGGTGCACTTAATCATTTCCAGCCTGCTTATCTGACTACCCTGAATATGAAGCAGGATCAAAATCCTGCCTACACAGCTTTCCTGTCTTATTAGAATTATGAACGTGCCAGGAATATTGATTTTTTCTTTTTCTTTGAGTTTTTGGTCAACAGCTCTGTTTTCCAGCATGAACGTTTTTGGCCTCTCTGGCCAACTGTTTATATTTCTCAGACTGCCCGTTTGTTTCGTACTCTCTTCAACTAGCCAGAGATATATGGCCCTGCTATTTAAGTAGAGTCCTTTATGCAGCATTTTCATCCAGCCCTTCCAGGAATTGTTCTCTTTAATTGCATAGTTGGCACTGGAACAGCCATTGTGAAGGCAAAAAATAACCACACTGTATATACATTTATATATGGAGTGTTAAAGTGATCCTGTGTGTTGTAGTTGTATTAACCTCTCCCTCTATTGTCACGGCACCATTTTAAATTAAGAGACTTGCTTCAAATAATGTTTAGAGACAAATGCTAACTGGAGCTGATGAGAGTTGGATGGGCCATACAAGTAAGAAGTGGTTGTCTCCTAGGAGCAGTCATGGTCACCTTCTCATGCTGGGACCTGTGTGATCAAAGACGGGCATCTCTAATGACCTTTTTCTTTCCTGCCAGGTGCCTATCTGGTTCCATATCTCGTATTGCTCATCCTCATCGGCATCCCTCTCTTCTTTCTGGAGTTGGCTGTTGGCCAGAGGATCCGCCGGGGCAGTATAGGAGTGTGGAATTACGTCTGCCCTCGGTTGGGGGGCATTGGATTTGCCAGCTGCCTTGTAAGTGCTTGCAGAAGGCTTGTGGTGGCTTTGGGATAGTTGTGTGAATGATAGACAGGTGGTCTTCCATATGTGCTGTCTATCATAATAGACCCATTTCCCACTGTAAAGAGGGCTTAGTTATTGCAGAATATAATTAGAAGATACTAGCCTGTGAAGGTGGTTGGTTAGAAGCTCAAGACTGATGCCTTGAACAGTTCTTTCCCCCAACTATGGAACAGGATCAGACATTTACCATCAAGTTCTGATTTCCTTTGATTTCCTTTGATTGGTCCTATATATATCTGAACTGAAAGGACATGCCCTTCAAGAATGTGCCCTAACTGATCCATTGTTCACACCTGTCAAAACAAACCTCTTTGTAGTTTAGTCCTGATGATTCACTCTGCAGAGGGTCAAGTGATGGGCAGGTGGGTGCTAGCAAAAAGACCATTTCCCCTCTGGGATTGATACTAGAACTCAAGCTTAGCACCACAACTCACTCATGCACCCTAAGCACCATTGTGCCATTCAGCATCTTATATAAACTGCTGGGATGACAACCAAAGCCCCTTGATTGATGTGGATCACCTGTGCAAGAGCAACACTGCTTCCTTGATATCTGGCAATTTTACGGGAAACAATCACTGGACATGCCCACATCACAGGACAGAGCAGATTTTGAGAATGCATGGGGAGATGAGGGGAAAGAGAAGTCCCATTGCATAGCATTGGATATAACCCAGTGCATTTCAATATTCCATTCTCCACCATTCATTTTAGTATCACTTTGTTTGGAAATACGTTTTGCTGTCCAGGATCCAAACATTTTTATTCTCCTGTTGCCAGGTCTGCTTGTTTGTTGGGCTCTACTACAATGTGATCATAGGATGGAGCATCTTTTACTTTTTTAAATCCTTCCAGTACCCGCTGCCTTGGAGCGAGTGCCCCGTCATAAGGAATGGCACAGTGGCAAGTGAGTCCTTTCTCTTTACTGCTTTGCATGTGGTAGAAGGGAAATGAGGCACACTTCTTTGGGTGATAAACGGTGTTCAGCTCTGTGACTGTTGTCCTTCCAGAATCTTATAATTCAGATGTGATAGTTGCTGCAGAAGTAATCAATGTTAGCTGATACCACGTAACACAGATGGGTGGATGCATTCATTTATCCTTTTCCATCATTGTGGGTCCCAAGGAGAAATAAGTCTTCATTTGCCCTGTACTCTGTAGTTACTATATAGTTAGGTAATTCAACATTACTTTCTCTAGGGGTGTTGAGAGTAGTGGCAGAGAACGACCTTCCAGTCAAAACTTAACAATAGCTCAGGTTTGTTTCCAGCTGATAGGGTGTGGGAATTGCGTTTGGGCATTGGTTGGCAGGAAATGGATACTTTCCAAAGAGTGCTATAGAGACACTCTGGAGGTTAATGGAGCATTTAATAGAATGTGAACATCTCCCAGAATATATATAAATCTTTTATAGTGGGTGTAAATTGCTCCATTTATTTAACTTTTAGTTTCAGTGGCAAGATCTTGAATTCTTTTTCCTTTCTCCTAATGTGAACTTCGGCATCCTTCCTGAAGTGCCCTATGAATACTTGTCTCTCCTACTTAGCCTTTAAATGCTGCCTTGCTTGCTGTGGCACAGGTGTGTCTAAATGAGAAGTCAAAGCATGTAAAAAAACAACAACTACATAGCTTTTGTCCCTTTTCAGCCGTGGAACCAGAATGCGACAAAAGCTCTGCTACTACTTACTTCTGGTACCGGGATGCCCTGGACATCTCCGACTCCATTAATGAGAGTGGTGGGCTTAACTGGAGAATGACTTTATGCCTCCTGGCAGCTTGGAGCATTGTAGGCTTGGCCATGATTAAAGGCATTCAGTCTTCAGGAAAGGTAAGTGTTGATGGTGGCAGCCCAAAGCAGAACAGAGATTGCCAGAACCTACAACAGGTGGACCCACTTATAAAGTGGTGGATCCAGGGGTGGGAAACCTGTGGCTCTCCAGATGGTGCTGGACTACAGCTCCCATCATCCCTTCCCATTGGCCATGTTGGCTGGGGCTGACAATGTCTGGAGGGCCACAGCTTCCCCATCCCAGACCTACAGGTTACAGAAGACAATAACTGCTGTTTGGGGTTCTACAATCTTGTAGCCAGGAACAAAGTGTTCAGCAGCTTCCACACACCCTGAATGGTTCATGGGGCCCAGGTAACCACAATGGAATAAAAAGCTAAGAAAAAGGAAAGGGTGAACACTTTTTCTTCCCAACCACCTGGTCTAGGAGGGCTTGCTCCATTTTGCTTGGCCTGTGCCTCAGAGCAGCCACCTGAAAGTAAGAATAACATGTGAGAGAGCCCATAATTGAATGAATGAAGTCAGCAGTACCCGATAGCAATCACAGGCACAGCTTCCTCTCTTTTGGGATACAGCTGCTCAGTTTACCTATCTTAGGGCATATCCACATCAAACCAGTTAGCAGTCACTTATTTCCCCATGGAGAACCACAGGAATTGTAGTTCTGTTTGGGGAGAGGGCTCAGGATCTCTAACAGTGAATTCATCAAAGTACCACATTGGCCTGAATATAAGCCACACCCAAATATAAGCCACCCCTTTAAAATTGGGGGGGGGGTACCCAAATATAAGCCGCTCCCTTCCTCGCTGCTCCTTGCTGCATACTGGCGGAGGGGGAGCCGTGCTGCCTTGCCAGCAGCCTTTCCCCTTCCTTGCTCTCTCCCTTCCTGGCCTTGGGGGAGTGGATGGGGAACTACACATGGGGCAGGCACCACTTTGCCGTGCTCCTGGCGTCATTTGCCCCATGCTCCTAGCTGCATACCGTATGGTCACGAATATAAGCCGCACTTTAACTTTTCACGGTTGGAATTTGGGCAAAAAGTGTGGCTTATATTCAGGCCAATACGGTATCTCACCAAACTACTGTTCCCAAATTCTTTGTAGAAAGAAGAAATACTGACAGAAGTTTCCAGTAGGGTAGATTTGGGCTTATTGTTCATCCTTAAGACTTTCTTTATATACTGCTGGATTATATGAAGTAGGATCTCCCGCTTTCTCTCCCTCTCCCACTCAGGTGATGTATTTCAGCTCCCTTTTTCCTTACGTGGTACTGATCTGTTTCCTGGTCCGGGGATTGCTCTTGAGGGGGGCGATAGATGGGATTCTGCACATGTTCACTCCCAAGGTAAGCCCACCACACTCACCATGTGCCTTTAGACCAATCAGAGAAATGTCTCTTACTGGGAACTATAGCTAGCAAGAATCCTATGTCTCTGGTGATCATCACAATCCATGGCCTATGTTGAACTGATGCCTCTGTGGCGCTGCCTGGATGGCACCAGAGCAGAGCAAATTTTACGAAGGTATAGGTGTTGCTTTTTTAGTCAATGGTGCTACTTCCTCTGAAACTGAAATGCAGAAGATTAATTGCTTTGGGCGTGCCAGTCCAGGTCTGCTTCATTATTCTTCCTGCTTGTGGTCAGAATTGTACCAAATTAACCAGGTTTGCCAAAGGACAGCTGCAAAATGGATTGACTCATTAGCTGTTTAATTAATTCATTAAACAAAGATGTAGGTGATTGAAATTATGAAGCTGGCATTAATCCTGATTAATTTTGAATAAGAGATTCTAAAATACAAGCCCCAGTGTCCAAGTTCTCATTGTAGGTAGAATGATTAGCAACCACACAGCTTCCATTTGCAATACTGTGCAGGCCCTGTCTGTAAATGGCATCCCATCAGGTTTGTCCAGATTCTTGGCAGCAGAAGGTCCCACCGGTATCACACTACACACGATCAGCATGCGATGGATGCTTTAGCTGAGATTCCTGCATTGCAGGGGGCTGGACTAGATGGCCCTTTGGGTCCCTTCCAACTCTACAATTCTATGATTCTAATTTGGTAGGGCTCACTTGCCATGCCACAAACCATGGTGGATTGAAAGGGAGTAAAGTGCTTAATAGTTTGCTAGTACATTAGTTTGCAGAGAGCACTTGCATAGCTTGCTAGCATAAGTGTGACTATCCTGTGCAGTCTATTAAGTGCGTTCTGTAAGCAGCAATCCTTAATCAATAAGGTTAATCAAGCTTTTCTTGATAAAGGGATGGGGCTAATTCTAACGGGCATGGGTCATTTTGAAACACTGTTTGTTTTTTCTCAACTTTCATTTGGACACTACCTGTGATTTCAAGCTTTCTTCCATAGGAATCATAAGGGCTAGTGTTTTTTGTTTTTGTTTTGTTTTTCTCTTTTAAAAGATTGTGACATTTTTTCAGGGCATGATATTCCATGCCTAACTGGGTAAGCCCACAAAGTGCACAGGCAGTAAAAAATCTAAAATGCAATGAAGAATAGGGCATTCACAGTTCTGCATCTGAGATCCATTTATTTCCATGGGACCTGATTCCCTTTCTGTTGTGCGCTTAGGCATCAATAATTGAGTCAACAGAGGAGAAAGATAGAGAGCTGTCTCTAGCATATACACAAAGAACAGATACCCAGGCAATGGTGTGCTGTTCTCAGCTGCCAGTGTTATACATTTAAATATAAATGTGCCATATGTGTACCAAGCCGAGTATCTCTGATGCAGGATGGATGACTTGGCTTCCCTCTCATCTCTCCTTACAGCTAGATAAAATGTTGGATCTCCAGGTGTGGCGGGAAGCAGCCACTCAGGTCTTCTTTGCCCTTGGACTGGGCTTTGGCGGAGTTATTGCTTTTTCCAGTTACAACAAGCAGGACAATAACTGCCACTTCGATGCAGCCTTGGTCTCCTTCATCAACTTCTTCACCTCCATTTTGGCCACACTGGTAGTCTTTGCTGTGCTGGGCTTCAAAGCCAATGTCATGAATGAAAAGTGTGTGGTTGAGTAAGTACTCATTCCAGTCTCTCCCTCCCTCCCTCTCCCTTTCTCTCTCCCCAAAAGGCTTCTCTAGAGGGCACAACCACAGCAGCTATTTTTCAGGGTACCTTATAGTTACTTTTAAAAAAGCATCCAGTGCAGCGGGTGCAATTCTGTTCTGGCCTGAAGCTTTGATAGCCAGAAACTGTCGTTTCCTTCTGGCCAGGTGGTAACCTAGAGTGCTCTCTGGAACTAGGAAAGCAGCTTTTCACCTTATTATTTTTGCAGAATGTGCTGTGAAGTAATTGGACTAAATCCTGCCACTTCATTCATTCATTCATTCATTCAGTATTATTCATTCAGCTCATTCCTTCACAATTTTCTCCCCTCCATTTTACCCTCACGACAACCCTGTTAGGTAGGTTAGGCTCAGAGACTGTGACTGACTCACCCAGTGAACTTCATGGCTGAGTGGGAACCAGAACCCTGGTCCCTCTGGTCCTAGTCTGACTTTCTTGATTAACCACTGCACCACACTGGCTCCCATCAACTGCTGGGGTTCATTTTTCCTGTTTTGCTGGAAGAAGATGCCCTTCACCCAGAACAAGGTGAGCAAGGCAAGGCAATGGCTCTGTAATGACCTTTAGCTTCTCCTCCATAGGAACGCTGAGAAGATTCTTGGTTATCTGAATACCGATGTCCTCAGCCATGCACTCATCCCACCCCAAGTGAACTTCTCCCATCTCACGGCCAAAGACTACACCGAGATGTATGGTGTGATAAAGACAGTGAAGAAGGATCATTTCGATAAGCTGGGCCTGGATCCTTGTCTACTGGAAGATGAGCTTAACAAGGTATGTTTATAGCCAGACTTGCTTTTCACAGTATATTTATAGCTGGGCTTGCTTTTCATGGTCATTTTCGACCCTAGATGCTGGTTCCGCTCTTGTACATCATTGAAGTCTCAGAGCGAGCCAACTTGCTTGGGAAGAGCACATGGTAGAGCTCTCTTGGGATTGTACCACTTCTGCATGGTGCAAGTGGGGGATCTCATGCTCATATGCACCCCATTTTCTTGTTAAAAAACAACCACCTCTCATTGCATATAGAAAATTAACACCTTGCATATAGAAAATTAGCATATTAGGGAGAAGGCTAAGGCAGAAAGCTTGTGATTTCTGTTTAAGATCACTCTTGGTTGCAGTTCTTACCATGTGCTGATGAAGACTTCACTGACATAAGGAATAAGGAATTGAAGTATGTCAAAATCATTGCAAGAATTGAGCTTGTGAGAGGTGGCCGACTATAACAGTGTTATGGAACAGATGTGTTTGGGTGGTATGAATAGTAGAGCCTATGTTTCATATGCTGAAGTTCCCAAGTTTATTCCCCAGCATCTCCAGGTGGGGGTGGGAGTGTCCCTTGTCTGAAAACCTCAAGAGCATCTGTATAGACAATGCTGAGCTAGATGGACTATTGGTCTGACTTGGTTTAGGAAAGACTCCTGTCTTCCTGAGATTACTGAGGGAGGGGAAACTGAGAAATGAATACATCATGTAATTTCTATGGGATACATGCATTGAAAAGTCACAACTTTCCATGACTTCTCAGAACATGTACAGATGTAGTGAAACAGATGCTTGTTCAATCATTTGTATGCATTATGCATCATTTTCCTTATACCCACAATGGTTTGGCTGTTTGGTTCTGAGAGCCTGTGATTCTACAGCTAGAAATCTATTTACATGAATACATGCACACCTGCTTTTATGATGTAATCTTCTGCCCAGAATAACGCAAGCATCTTCTTTTGGCTGTGTACAGTCAGTGCAGGGAACTGGCCTTGCATTCATAGCTTTCACAGAAGCAATGACCCACTTTCCAGCTTCTCCTTTCTGGTCAGTGATGTTCTTCTTGATGCTGATAAACCTGGGTTTGGGGAGCATGATTGGGACCATGGCTGGCATCACCACACCCATCATTGACATGTTCAAAGTGCGCAAGGAAGCATTAACAGGTAAGTTCTCTCTTGGGGAAACTCAGGAAACCATTCACAGAGTAGCACTGTTGTGCATGCAATGACATCATTTAGTTCTGGCCAAGACTTGTGCTACAAAATACGTTGCTGGATGGGATCAAACTGTAATTCTTAAAAGTCATGGCGTAACATCAGAACTGAAATATATTTGCTGTCCCCAAAAAGAGCAGAGGGATTTGGGGGTTAAGGGGTGCCTGTCAACACTGGAAAGCTCACACACTGTGATAATGTGGCAGTATCTGGGGAACTGATAATTTTGGGTCATTTCATAAGACCAAACTGTGGAGGGTTTATGGGTGAGTAGATCTGGGCTGAGTTTGGAAAGTTGCAAAATGATTTTGTGATTATTTCATCAAACCCCCACATTTATCATACCACTACAAAGCTGATCCAAATGGCTGCTAGTAGCATATTCACCGTGCAATCCAAGAATGCTTTGATTACTTCAAAGTAAATTACAGTGGTTTCAATGGATTGTAGCCCAAATGTGCCTCGGGTTATGAATTGAACACTTCACTGCATGCCAAACTCTGGTAGAATCAATTCAATGCACATGTCCAAATTAGCAAGCTATGTAAAACCCAATTAAGCAACGCAGGGTATGAAGCACTGGTAACGAATTCCATTGCAGTGACAAAAGCAAAAACCAGCATTTAAACTCATCATTCAAAGCATCCACATCTGAAGCCTGATGTGAGCCTTGCAGTCAGGACCTATCATTTCTGACAAGCTCAGTAAAGTTAAGTTAAGGGGTGTTTCTGAGGTATATAGTACCTTCTGTGATCTCCACATGCCTACCTGCCTAGATACTTGCAGATTGGTATGTAGCAGATTTTGTTTTACATTTCTCTAAAGATTACATTGCATATTAAAAGGTTAAGAGCAATTTATAGGGCACTCCTATGAATGTTTGCTTAGAAATAAGCCACACAGTGTTCAATGGAGCTTAATCTCAAAGAAGTGTCGATAAGATTGCAACCTTAAACTTTTAAATAGTGAAATCAAGTACTTAAAATTCACCGAAACCAAATGTTGTGCTTGCCTTAACTCTGTTTCCCCATAGTGGCCAGTTGGGGCTTCTACACTTAGGATAAAATTTCTTGCATAGAAGCCACATGTGGAAAGTTGGGTGAATTCCACATATAGCTTGTCACACATGTCTGTTTTACCATGAGTACCAAGTACAGGAGGCGCCAGTGGTGGCCTACTTTTGTAAGGCATATGCACATTAACGAAGTCAATGTGCATTCATTTATCAGCAAGCTACATGCAGGATATGTGGCCTTGTAGGTAAGACATTTTGTCATGTATGAAACTGGCTTTGGAGTTACTTTTTCTGCAGGAGTGATATTATAGCCATAGAGCAACAGACATACCAACTTGAAGCTCACTGACCCAACTCCATGATATAGGACAAACAGGGGCAACAAATGCATAATTTTTTGAAGTTGGCTCAGTCTGAAAAATCAGGAATCTCATCATCACAGATTTATTGTATCTTCAGCACGGGGTCATTTTTTCCATGCACCTCAATATATATTCAGACTCCTATGGTGAAGTGAATTGAATGAGTCGTGTTGGAGAACTGACATGTGGGTACTATTATGACCAGAGGTGATGTGAAAGATGTTTTGTAAGATTCAAAGAGGGCATTAGACTGCAAAAGTCAGAGTGACCTGGGTTACTAACATCCAAATCCAGTTCATCCTGGCCTGGAAATTGGGAAAAGGGTGCTTTTGTCAAGTGAATCAAGAAATGGGTGATTCTTCAAGAGGAAATTAAGTTATAATAATTTTTGCAACAATTCCGCAAATATAAGGAACTTGGGATCTAGTTAGTATTGCACAGGCAGACATGAATTTGGGACATTTTAAGTGCTGGACTTCACAGCCTGAATAACACTTAATGAAGAGAAGATGTTTCCCTACATCGCAGTGAGCAACAATGTGATAACGTTAACACTTTCCCAGATTATCTAGTATAGTCTCAAACTTTCCCCTGTCGAATTAGAGCACTTGTCACAGATATACCCTGAAGCACTTTTTGTCCATTTGAATAGCTCTAACATATTGATGCACTGTTTGTGTATCTGAAGAGCTCTAATCTCTCTCTAATTCCTGCCCTTAAAGTCTTTCCCATGTACACACATCTCATGATACTGCCAGGGGCCCTTGTAATACGTTGCTGCTCTTCGGTAGAAACAATATTATCAGTTTGCCTTTTGGATCCTGCAGCAGTTTTGCATGCCCTTGTGTAGCTGACGGTTACTGTGATCTGCTCTTTACAGTTGGCTGCTGCATTTTTGCTTTCTTCGTGGGGCTGATCTTTGTGCAACGCTCAGGCAACTACTTTGTCAACATGTTTGATGATTACTCTGCAACGCTGCCACTCACCCTCGTAGTCATCCTGGAAAACATTGCGGTGGCTTGGATTTACGGCACCAAGAAGTAAGCATTTATTTCCAGGAGGGTTAGCCTGTTCATATTCCTACAGGCTTGTCTGAATTCCTAAGCATTTGGCTTTGAATGCTTCGCCCCTCTTACCTACCACTACATGGGTTTCATTGTTCTTGAAGCACTCAGGCTTCTTGATGCTTCTTTGGACTTCTGGCCCCACCAGAGTTCCCATCCAAATCTCTCCATCCAAATCAAGGGGAAGTAAAGAGCAAGGAACCTTGTGCTTCAACCTCTGTTTGTTTGCTTTCTTCCTTTCTTCTTCCTAGATTTATGCAAGAATTAACAGAGATGCTGGGTTTCCGCCCTTACCGGTTTTACTTCTACACATGGAAGTACATCTCGCCCATTTGCATGGCTGGCCTGATGACAGCCAGTGTGATCCAGCTAGCTGTCAGTCCTCCAGGTTATAATGCCTGGATCCGAGAAGAGGTGAGTTGGCAAATAAAAGTGCATCCCCCAAAGGCTACAAATCCACAGGCTGTGTACCAGTTGGCAACCAACCCACATACTATACAGTGAAGCAACAGGGTCCTCGCTGCAAATGGCTGTGATCATTTGTGCAATTGTTAGGCCAGCATCCACCTGGAGGACAGAGAGGCATCTTCCTTATACCAGAGTACCTTGCATTTCCTCCTGCTTCCAGAGCTGTGGCCCCGGAGGTTGCAGATACACCATAAAACCCAACTAGCCAATAGCCTGCTGGAGATGATTCCAGACAGAGCTGGCATGGATTTCTGATCACCCTGCCAAGGAATTGGGAGTGAGAGGCTATCTTAGCCATGTAGAGTGACAGCGGTTGAAATCCCAGTGTTGCAAATGCTCCCTTGCTTTTTAGGGTAGTCCAAGGTTAAGGAGCAGTAGTTCAAGGTATGGAATCTGAACATTCATGTAAACGTTTATTTGTTCTGCAGGAAAATTGTTGGTCCAGCTTTGTGTAACTATGAGAAGCTACTGCCTCTTTATTAGCATTTTATTTAAGTTGGGGTTGCCTCCTGCAAGAGCAAAATGTTCTAATGCAGTGTGCTCTTGAGAGATTAACCCTTTGGCAGGTGTTTCAGGGTGTGTATGCAGAAAAGGGAACAGGGGTGAGAAAGACCTTTTGGCAAAAATCCTTTGCATGTATAAGATTTTCCCCTTGCAGTACATGCTGGCCCTTCTCTTGGAGATGGGAATACATGCAGCATACTTTACTTGCCTTGGTGCCACAGAAATAGCAACTTGATCACTTCAAGGACCTCACTTGTGTCGAGGCTGGCGAATGCCAACTGCCAACTGTGTTTTCCCTTCTCTTCCAGGCAGCAGAGAAATATCTCTATTACCCCAAATGGGCAATGGGCGTCCTTGTCTCACTGATCATCCTGGCCACCCTTCCTCTGCCGGTCGTCTTCATCCTCCGCCAGTTTCACCTGGTGTCAGATGGTTCCAATGCTCTTTCTGTCACTTACAAGAAGGGGCGTATAATGAAGGACATCTCCAACTTAGAAGACAATGATGAGACACGTTTCATCTTGAGTAAAGTACCCAGTGAAACCCCTTCCCCAATGCCTACACATCGTTCTTATCTAGGTCCAGGGAGCACATCCCCAATGGAGATGAGCAGCGTTGCCAATGGACGCTACAGTAGCGGGTACCTTACGGCTACCACTCCCGAATCTGAACTGTGACCGTCAACCAGCAACCTCCCTCTGTTTGCTGGGTAAAGGAGAGGAGGTCCAGGAGAAGGAACCTCTGCTTTAGAACCCCTTCCCAGAATTTACAGCAGACAGGGACTAGATGATGTCAAGAGAGGGTAGACGTGGGAAGGGGCCTTCTCCAGCTGAAATGCCAGATCCCTCCTCAGTGAATAATAGTAATAAGACATTGCAATAAATTTTTATGGGCATAAGGAAATTTTTAGCCAATTGGCATTGAAAAACACAAATTGCTCCTATATAAGAGGCTGGAAAAGGGGGATAAGTTAAGGCAACAGCCAAAGAAAAGAGCACCATGTTTTCTGGATCTCTCTCCTTGTCCATCCCGTTCCTCTAGTTGGGAAAAGAGATATGCCTCATTCCACTGAGTATGTTTAACCACCACCGTTCATAGCACAAGGAAGATCAATCCTCTTGGTATGGATTCTACCAGACCACCTGTGGTTTTACACTCTGATAATCTCCAAATAGCACATTCTTGGTCAACACTTCTTGCAAGTCTGGGCCAAGATATATTTTATGTAGGCAGCACATTACAATGCCTGGCGATGCCATCATGTGATACCTGCCACGCCATTGCTGATGTTGGATCAAAAACAGTAAGGAACAATGGGATCTCGTTTCAGTGAAGTTTGCATTGGTATGCGTGCTAATGTTACTTGCAGTATTCCTTCACCAAACGTTTGCTCACGCAGCGGTACAAATTCAGGTATGTGCCATGTGCATAGGCCCGAATCAGAAAACTGTTCCATCAATGTAAATTTTCTGGAATTTGTGGTGTCACTCCTGATATCTACATAACTCTGAGCAGGCTGTGACTGCAGCCATTTTATCAAATACACCATCTGACATAAACTTTTTCAGTAGCAGCCATACTCTGCAAGCACTGTGAGTGCATGCTGGAGTCTTTTTGCTGTCAGTTTTGCGACATTAAAAGCACCTTAATAATAATAATAATAATAATAAAGGTTCTTACTGAAGAGAGCGCGCAACATCTTTCAAGGTAGTCTAAGTGTGTTGGGTCTGTTGCATTTTCCATCAGATGGTGCAGTCATTGCCTTTTACTCTTGTGAATGTGGCTGTGCATGTGTCACAATTATCTAGGATGCAGCTGATAACATTTTTAATGAATAGTGATTCAGCTCCATCCAACCTCTGGTTAGTCACATTCAGCTGGTGACTGATCCCTATCTTGAAAGTTTTCTATTATTTTCATTTTAGTAACTAGGAGGTCATGCAGTTCCTGTGTGGGAGTACACACTTAATGGGATTCTTTAAAAGAATGTTGCTCATATATGCCACTGAATTTTTAAAAATCTCTTAAAGATTTTTCTTTCTTTCTTCATTTGCAGTTTGAGCACTCCCCTCTGCACAGTGAGTCTGTGGGAGCGCACATTTTGCCTGCTGGAGAACAGCAGAAGGGCACCGCTGCCACAAACCTGCCCCCGAAATGTCAAAGTGCAACGGACTCTTGTGCTGTTGCATATGACATTTATACTGCCAATGGTTAAATGTGCAGAAGCTGCTTTAAGTGCTTTATGGTTAAGGTGATTTGAGAGTATATAGTCATGGTCATTGATCTGTAGAAAGATCCATGGCCAAAAGTTATATTGTTTTCTCCTGCTGGAAGAGTATAAGATGAGGAAAATGGAACTCTGAGAATCTTTTCATGCTTGCTAACATGGGGGGCAGCTTGTCTCATGAGCAGCTCTTTTGTGGCCTTAAGTTAGGGAACATGTCTGGCTCCAGAAGCGCATGCTTGCAGCAGATAGCACTGTTGGTTCCAGTGACAGTTGACTGATCCAACCAGCCGTGCTGTGAAAACCAATTTAAGTGGCTACCCACAGATACTATCTCCATGCATTCATTGCAACACAGCCTGAGCTTACAATCCTGCGCTCAGGCATTTGGGAGTAGGGTGGAACAGATTGGTCTACTTCTCATCCATGTCAGCTTTTCATGTGTTTATTCATAAACCAGTTCTATCCTGTTTCCACATTAATTTTCAGATTTCTTTTTAAAAAATCTATATAAAAATTAAATGTAAATGTAGATTGAAATGCCCCAGCCAGATGGGTGGGGTATAAATAATAAATTATTATTATTATTATTATTATTATTATTATTATTTGCATAGTTCATCATAACATATGAATTTTATATATTTATTTGGAATATATATATATATATATATATATATATATATATAATATATCTACACATAAATATATTTCAAGTGTTTCAAAACATATTCAGTATGAAAATGAAAATAATGGCTAAATGCTACAGCCCAGCTACTGTAATTTACAGTACAGTACTGTAATTTACAGCTAGTGTAAATACTAAATTTATTGGGTATTATGTTACTCCTTTCCCTTTCTCTAGTTGCAGGACCCCTTCCCAAAACAGGCACTCAAATCCAGTAAGATCCCCATCCAGATGCAAAAGGCATGTTAAACAGAAAGAAAGTGAGGACTAAAACTAAGTCAAGTTCTGTTGCAGAAAAAAAATTTCTTTTTTTTAAACAACAACAGCAACCACATTTTGGTACATTATTAGGCCAAGAAGTGAATTGTAAAATTTGGAGAAGTGCGAAATCCAAAGCATAATTACATTTCAATCCATGTATGGGAGGTGTGAATGAGATCAGTTCACTTGAAATGCAGACTAAACCAAATTCTTCTCCATCCCTACCTTGGTGTAAGCACCACTGAACATAGTGGGAATTCTCAGAAAAAATGCACAGGCTTGCACTTGTAGTGGGAATTTCTCCCCACATCACTGTAGCTCTCCTCACCCCCTCCAATCAAACAGGCTTGTTGTAGCTCAGGAAACCTCCCAGACCTGGCTGTTCTGTGTTGTGGGCCTTGCTGCACTGGGGCAGTTGCCATGGCAAACAGTTCTGTGTTACCTGACCAGAGCACCTGCTGTCTTTTGCCATTAGCAGTAGCTACTCTCCGCAGAGTCTCAGCTTGCGGAAACTTCTCAGCACTTCTTAGACTCCCAGATCCTAGAGTACAAAAAAAATAGGAAGACATTTAGTGAGCTGGCAATCCATCCTAGGTCCTGTTGGAACCGAAGGGAATTCGTCATATCAGATGGAAAGCTCCTTGTGTCCTGGTTTGATTTTGCCTCTTCTTCGGCATGCAAAATCTCCCTGCTACTCTTTCCCCACTCTCTGCTTTACCCTCTTAAGGCAGGAGTAACCAATGTGCTGTCATCCAGGTGTAGCTGCAGTCCAACCCCCTCTAGCTCCACTCAGCATGGCATGGCCAATGGTCCAGGAAAATGGGAGTTGTAGTCCAGCAACACTTTAAGGACATGCCTCCAGATGGCTATGCCTGCTATCGTTCTTCTGATTCAATTCACCGGAAGCCTCTTGCAGCCTCCTTGAATAAATTCCACTCTGTATTATTTGTTTAGTCCCTGTAGAATTTCTCTTGAGTTGCTTCATGCAGACTCTGGGCCTCTGGGAAGCTTAGGTGCTTTGGAAACCAATCCCTTTGCCTGACAATATTTTTTAATAGATGCATCTCTGAACCCCCTAAGCAAAAATTAGCTGAACTCTACACGGCCCTTTGAAAGTGAGGAAATGGAGAGATTGTTAAGTCTGTTTCAGTGTGAGTCAGCAACAGAAGCAAGCGATGAAGCCTGGCTTCCCAACCCAACCCTTTCCTCTCTTGCCTTTATCCCTTTAGCTTAATATAGCTGGAAAGGGTTAGGGTATCGTCTTTTTTAAAAAAAGAAAACCCTACATTGAGGCACACCAATAAATGTTAGTGTCTATTTTGTATGGGAATGAAAAATGTCAAGGCTTATTCATTATGGAACAGCAGGTTGTGTTGTCAGGAAAATGCCAGGCATGTGAAAAGGGAGCAGAACACCAGACTGTCTAAAATCCACATTCTCTCTGGTTCCTGAAACAAAGAGCTGCTTTACGGGGTTTACTGATTATTTGGTTTGCCTGTGCCATTGCATATGCATGCCAGTAGTTCATCGCTTTTTACACTTTGGCAAGACAATGGCCCTCTTTCTGTTCTCTGTTCTGATTTGGCTTCACTCTGGTTTGTTTTAGTTTGGTCTGCTTTTTAAAGCAGGAATATCCTGATTTGCACTTCCTAGATGCAGATTTGGGTGCAGCCATCCTTTTGCACTTCTCTGAATTTTTTGATTTTTACACTCAAAATGTAAAAGTACGTAAAATGAATATTTTAGGTTAGAATGTGTATGAAAATTTGTGCACTGTGAGAAAAGACATTTAAAAATAATGTTGATTTTTCTGCTGTTGTTTTTTTAAAAAAGCCACTGATTGCTGCAAAAGCATAATGGAACAGACTTATGAATGAACACATGCAAAGCTGATCTATCCATCTCTAGTGCCAGTGGGTGGCAGTGTTTTGCTATGTCCAATGTCAAGGTTGCTTCACACATTTGAGGCTCCCTTGTTTTCTCTGTACAGTTTTGCATGCAGGTACACGGCCAAAGGATGTGAATTAAGCAGTACGCAGTAGCCCGTTTGCAGGATAAGTGCAGCACTTCCCCAGGCCCCACCCTGCAATTATGGGAATTGTTCAGAGCCTCTTCATGTACTGCTGGTTTACACTAATATTTCCCCACACAATGGTGTGATCCTGTAATGAAAACATGCAGAGACCTTGAATATGTGTCATGACCCAAAAGCATCTAAAATAACAGGGAAGAAGGAATGGTGGTAATCTGTAAGGCACAGTGTGCTTCTTTTTACCTAATGACAGCCTGACACACTCTTTGGAGATCATGACAGACTGCTAGCTCTGTGTTGCTTTTTCCTTAATCCTAAACACATTGCTAAGGAAATAAGCCCCATCAATTCCAATGATACTTCTTTCCACCATCAGAATGCTGGTTGTAAAGGTGTAATGAATGCCTGTTGCAGGACTTGGATTACACAAATTGCAAGGGGTTCAGAGGAGACCCAGCCCATTACCTTTTGTGATGGTTGCTGTTTATAGAAGGTTAGGGGGTGGGTGGGGGTGGTTTGACTAAAATTGAGGAGCATGTCAATATAATTGATTTGATCAAGGCTCAGCAGAGACTTGTCCCGGCACCATCTTCATCAGTCGGAAGCAGAGAATAAATGAGCTTTGAATCTGAGCAATGAAATGGAACATTGTCCCCAACACAATGCCTATCTTGTGATGGGATTTTGACGCCTTATGTTTTGGGTTGAAGAGGAGGCTTTGGCCTTCCACTTACTGTATGGTGGTGGCAACTTTGGAGTTGTGGCAAAGGAAGGATGTAGCTGAAAGAATTGCAGTCTAGAAGTTTCCTTCTTTTGTGTTTCTTCTTTGTGTGTGTCTTTCTCTGGCCCCTCGTTGGCATCCATCTGTCTTGAGAGGCAATGAAAGAGCGCACCATTGCTGGTAAAGTCAAACTGTTGGAGGGTTACAGCACCTGCTGTGGCTGTACAGATATGAGAGAGACTTGTTTTATTGCAGCTAGGGCAGATGAAGGCATCCAAATTCGCTGTTGCAGATGCGCCATGGCGTTTCCTTGTTTCCTACCTTACAAATATGGTTAATTGAGCTCAGGAGGTGGCTACTGTAGCCTAGTGGGGAACTATGGAAATCAGCTTTAGAAGGTCTGCTGATGAGCTGTTACATAATTAGCCCCCATAGGAAGTCCATTACTAGTTCCATTGTTCTCTTTCCCAGCCTATACTCTTTCTTCCTCTTCTTCCAATGTTATCTCCTTTAGAATGGAGGTTGCTAGGGACTTGCAAACCTCTTCATCTATATGTATTTCTGTTGCTGTGCATTCTCAGCTTATGCACATTGGCACATTATTTTCCAAGTTCCATAGGACAGACTAGAACCAATGTAAACCAGTGCACCTCCACTGGAGTGAGTAGTTCAGATGCTCAGGTGAAGCAGATCTGTGCCATGTTGCTATGGATCTTGGCCACCATTTGAGTGGGCCATGCCTCTGGTTCTGAGGTGGGTCCATTGCATTTCCTTCTCTTATCCTGTGGCGTAATGCCAGCAGCAATGGGAAGAAAAAGAAACACTATAGTATATGTGTGTATATATATAGAATAACCTATAGTTTCTATTTCTATTGTATATTTATTCTGTAAATGTTGGTGTAAATTCTGTTAAATGACAAAGCATATTCCAAAGTGATCCGTGAACTATTTTCATTCTCAGTGCTGTACAGATCTATTTTACTGTATATTTGATATATTTATAATTTTTTAGTGTACGACTGGTGACCACACCCTGCTGAGCTGCCCACTTGGGGGTGGGGTGGGTGGGGAGAGCACAGAAGGGCACTGCCTTCATTATTTCTGTGGAAATATAACAGTATTACATTGTGGCATTTTGCTAGGCGTTAGAATTGGGAAGTGGTGGGATTAAATGTTAGATGCCTTGAGCAGTTGCTCCATTGAGTCTCCTTGTGTTAGGGCTTGTAACTGCTGTTGTGTGTGTGTGTGTGTGTGTGTGTTTTATTAGGGTTAGCTCTATCTATAACGCAGTCACTTTCAAAGCCATTCCATAGCTTTATGTTATGATGGATGTTCTCAGTAGATGACCATGCCTTGAGGGTGTCTGAAATTTATGGCTCATTCCTGTCAGGGATAAAACAGGCACACTACATGTTTTTGTGACCATGTCCAGGCTATATTTCATAATTACAAGAATGAGCCAGAAATTATGATCACTGTTGAACTGAAGTACAGAAATGGGTGGTGTTAGATGGGGCACTTCTGAAGTCAAATTTGACCTTCCTCTTTAGTGTGGGGAGGGCCAAGTGGCCTTTATTTAGATATACACACCTGTTGTTTGCATGACCCAACTTTGCAAAAATAGTAGCCATCATATGATGACGGATCAGTTGAGAATATTCTCAGAAGAAAATAATAATCCTGATCTGCCATTGAGCTGGCCCCTTTAGTTGATACCTGATCCAACCACTTAGGATATCTAGTTTCTTATAGCACACACTACAACTTCCAGAAAGCACAAAAGCCCAGATGGGAAAAAGCAATATTCCAGTGGCCCCTCCATTCAATGCCCCTATCTGGAATGTATCCCATAGTTCTAGTATATTCACTCTTAAGTACTCAGGAGCTATTGAGTGAATCCACTTTTTAGGGGTCCTTTTCTTTTATACATTCATTCTATGTATCCTGATCGTTCAGGCACAATCAGGTCATACCAGGTTTCTGCCTTTTGGTGTAGCCACATAAATACTGAAGTTGCTGAAATGTTTACCCTATGGAGGAATGCCAGTCATACCCAGCACACTAGTTTTATATGTTTAACTTGGCTAGCAGCCTCCAGACAATAGCACAGAGGAAATTTACATTCCAATCCAGAAAATGAAGTCTCTATGTAGTATCAAGTTCCACATGCAGGTCTAATTCTTTGGATCAAGATCTGTGGGCATAAACTGGCTGCATCCAAATGTGAGTGCCATCAGTTTGTGCTGCGTTGCTTTTGGTTTGATACAGATCCAGGTGTGCATCCCCACCTGCAATGCAAATCAGTCAGATCAGAGCTGGATGGACTTCAGACACCCTTGTTGCTTGACAGTATATGCCTTTTTATCTTGTCATGAGAAGGGCTTGAAGCCAAAGCCTTCCGATTTTAACCACGGCGCCTCTGTTGCTTTAGAGTGGAACAGGTGAGCTTTTAGGAGTGCAGGGAATGTAGTTGCCAATGAAATCTGAAAGCATAGATCCATAGATATGGCTGGTTTATCATGTGGGGAAGTAAAACAATGAATTGACTGTAGATGGAGTAAATAGTCTTATATTAACAGTCCAGTCCTATGCAGAGTTAAATGTGCTTCGTTTTGCATAGGTTCAGCCTGCACATTGACCACATGGTGGGTTCATCCTGTAGCAATGACAAATTGAGTAGACTTGGCCACATCAGAAAAGATCCCAAGGTTCTTAGTCATTGGGTTTCATCCACTGGAGCTTGGCTGAGCTCATCAGTGTTTTCTACCTTAAATTACCTACACCTGGCATTCCAGGAGTTGAGGGAAATGCTAATCATTTACCCAATAAGGCCGCTCTGGATTAACTTTACTCTTACCAGCTGATAGTTTTCACGTAGCCTCAAAACTGCTTAATAAACCTTGGCAACCCCATCCTCCATCACCTTTAGATCAAACTGCCTGTAACATAATGAGCTGCAGTTTTAATCAAATATTTAGATAAAATAAAATAAGATAGCTGCTAAAGCAACAGGGAATCAGGTTCCTGACCCTGCACTCTTAACCAATTCTCCCCCCTTCCCCTGATCTCTTACAGGGACAAGCTTTTTCTAAATGATCAAATATTACTCGATCTTCTTGCTAGAGCCATGTCTTTTAGATTTTTAAAGTAGCAGTGGGTCCAACAGATAGCCATGAGGGATGTCAGCACAAGACAGGAACTCTGAATCCTTCACTCTGCTGGGAAAGGATTCTTACCTCCAGCTGTGGAGCATCCCCTTCACCACAGCACAGTGGCATCACATTGGTGTACTTGACATAGCAGGTCCATGCAGAACCACTCAGAGATCTGTTCCAAAAGAAGCCCCCCCCCCGCAATGAGATGTTGTCTTGTTCTGGGAAAACACTGTGCTATTAATACCTTGGCAGAATGGCGGAGGTTTCCCAGAATCCACTGTGGAGGTTGTTTGGCAACCAAAGGCCCGATTCAGCAGTGGAATACAAATATCCATTGACTTCATAGCAAGCCCCAAGAGGTAGATGCAAGTAGTATTGTTAGCCTGAAGACAACTCGGGTGTCCTGGGGGAAAGAGGCAGGGAGAGGGTGCACTTAAGCCTAGCATCCAGTGCCTGACAGGCTGGCCTCCATAGCTGGGCCCTAAATCCCTAACTGGGATGCCTCTAACTGCAGTGAGGAAAGCAGAACTCGGAGCAGGTGTGGTGGCGCTAGCGAGTTTTCTAAACTTTCATGCAATGAAAAACATGGAAAGTACATGTCTCTGATGAAACTTTGCTGTAGAAATAAAAACAGCAGCACAGATTGTAGTGATTTGTCTCATATACAGTGTAGCCAGTGTAAGCACCATATGCACCCTGTGTCAGCGGGAGAATTCTGTTGTATGGGAGAAATACTGTAACAACTCCACAGCAGCCTGCAATTAAAAGAGTTTCTTCTTTATTACCATGCAATGTCTCCTGGGTCTCCTTTTTTGCTTGTACATAATGCCAGGTCATTGGGGAGCACTTGTCGTTAAGCTCTTGAGGAAAGAATGGTATGGCCCAGTGCACAACGCTTAACTCACAAAGAAATCCTTTATTCCGATCACACCAGGACTGGAGAGATGGTGCTGCTACATCAACAGAATAGCTGTTGTATCCAGTGCATGCTAGACACACACAACCAGAAAATGTAAAAAAACTGGCATCAAAGTGGCAGGCATTCAACACACATGCACACCGCGGTGTCCCTGGAAACTCCACCAGGGTCCAGAAATTGTGGATTATGCTTGTAATTTTTGTTTGTTTGTTTTATTTATTTATTGAATTTATATGCCGCCCTATACTCGGGGGTCTCAGGGCAGTTCACAGACTAAAATCAAGATATAAAACCACAAAATACATAATAAAAATAAAAACAACAACCCAATAGCCCCCCCCCAACACATTTTAAAAGGGCATAGGATGTAAATCAGATCAACCAAAGGCCTGGTTAAAAAGGAATGTTTTTGCCTGGTGCCTCAAGGTGTTTAATGAAGATGGCAGGCGAACTTCCCTGGGGAGGGCATTCCACAGATGGGGAGCCACTGCAGAGAAGGCCCGTTCCCATGTTGCCACCCTCTGGACCTCTTGAGGACGAGGCACATGAAGGAGGGCCTCAGAGGATGATCTCAGGGTCCAGGTAGGTTCATATGGAAAGAAGCGGTCCTTGAGGTATTACAGTTCTGAGCCATTTAAGGCTTTGTAGGTCAAAACCAGCACTTTGAATTGGGCCCGGAAACTAATTGGTAGCCAGTGCAATCGGACCAGTATTGGTGTAATATGCTCAAATTGTATTATTAATTTTGTATCCCTCCCTTCGCCCCACAGGAGCCCAGGGTGGCAAGCATCAAGAGGTAAAAACAGTACAATTTAAAATAAAACACATTTAAAACACTTTAAAACATTTTTTAAAAAAACAAAACAGAAAGCACTTTAAAAACAACTTTAAAAAACAAAAAGCACTTAAAAACATTTAGAACTTCTAAAAACATTAAAAACCAATACGCTCGGTCATTAATGTTATAGTTGCCATGGCCAGTATCTATTACCCATCCTGGGTAAGCAGGTATGTTTTTAGATTTCTCCTGCAAGTCAATAATGAGGGAGACAGGCAGACCTCTCCAGGGTGGGCATTCCACAAATGGGTCACCACCAACAAGAAGGATCTGTACACACCAACTGGAAAGGAGCTGCTGGACTCAGATGCTGCCCAAACTTAGAGGGAGCCAAGGAAATTATGACAATGGGGACATGTGCCCAGCACACAGCCTACATTGCAGCTTAGCACTGACAGTTCTTCTGTCCCAGCAGCATATCCAGGTAAGAGCCCATTTCTGCCTATCCTAGATGTTCCTACAGGTAAAGGGCATCCTTGCTCTGGCAAAGACAACTGCTTGAAGAGGATGTATCAAGTGGTGTCAAATGCTAATTGATAAAAAGCCACTGTTCAATGCCCAATGTTGGGAAGTAGGGTTGCCACTGATTCCCGAATGTAAAATTTCCTAACTGCCCCACTGCTCCAGGGAAACACGCCTAGGCTCCAGGTGCGCAGGCTGATTTCTGCATGCACGTCCATCACTTACAGTGTCAAGCCACAGGAAAATATTTTCCTGCCAAGTTGTTTCTAATGTGGAACATATTGTGGTCATGTTATTAGGTTTAAAATGCCGAGAACAGGGATTTATTTAATTTCTGATTGATTCTACAGAAATTGTCCCTGGGATTGGTGAAAGAAGTGATGCCACTGTGGTGTTGGTATAAGCACAAGATGTCTCCCTGCTCCATGGGAACTGGCCAAAGCTCCTCTAATCTTGTTGATTTCCTCCCTTTCCAATACGTTGGCATTTTTGTTACTTTGGCACAAAAAGCATAGACTCCCTACATTGTGTACCAGAAGAGAGCTAAATGTTTTTTTTACTGTGACAATCTGATGCGGTTTCTGAAGGATTTCAGGATAATATTAACCCATTACTTTAGGAACAGATAGCCTTAGCCTCAACAGCTGTTAACCAGTATAGCTCAATTGACTTTCACAATTCCAAAATTCAGCATCTTTGAGGGTGGGTCATGGTGAGAACTGTTTACTACTATTCACTGTCTCCTTACTGGCAAACAGAACATGCCAAGTGGGGAAAGGGAAGGTACTTGCTTCCAGGCCCAGGGCTGTCTCTTTAAGGACTTCACTTCTCAGCCAGCTGAGTGGGTATGGAACTGGACCTAAAAGGATATAGAAGGCATAAATCAGAGCTAGGACTCCATCACGCACAGTGATCTGTCCATGGTCCTGCAAAGCTTTGTGCTTCTATTCCTGGGCAAAAGGTGAGCCCTAAACCAGGCATAGGCAAACTCTGGCCCTCCAGATGTTTGGGACTACAATTCCCATCATCCCTAGCTAACAGGACCAGTGGTCAGGGATGATGGGAATTGTAGTCCCAAACATCTGGAGGGCCGGAGTTTGCCTTTGCCTGCCCTAAACCATTGCTCTCTCAATTCATCACTCCATCTGCAGGTGATGAATTGGGAGGGGGGAGGGTTGGCCTTTTTTTTTTTTCATTTGAAGGGGGTTGCAATTTGGGTCCTAAAATACCTCCCAAATAGTTTTCTTGGGGGGGATTGAAATTTTAGTGGGGGCAGTTCTTATCCTTCCTGCTCTTTTCTTTCCAGTTCCTTCCTGCTTTTCTTTAACTTTGTCTAAAATTGCCTCCGTGTTGGCTGCTGCCATAGCACACGGGTGGTCATCAGAACATTGCTGCTACACTATCAAAGCTATTAAAATCTTACAGAAAAGAAGAAAACAGTTCAAAAGAGGCAGGAGGAACATCCCACTACAATTGTAAGCTCCTCCCCATAATCATTAACTCCCTCCGTTTTAGTCTAGCTTAAGAGTTTTGGTCACAATGACACCCCAAATTTGGATGAACCCCTCAACCTCACCCCACACATATACATGCAAAACCAATCCTACTCTGGACCTGTATTGGTTCTTGCTATCACCCTGACGTTGGGGTGGATCCCTCATCCCACCCTCCACTTCCGTGACTGTCCATAATCTCTGCTGCCTTGGTACAGGGTAATTATCAAGGCATTATCCTTGCTTTATGTTGATAGCGGAGTACAATGCCTTGGCAGCCCAAAAAAAGCAGAGCACCACCACTAATAATTAGTCAGAAATGAGAGATAATTTGATAAAGACTTACTTTGGAATCTTCCCAATTACACCGGCTCCCTTTTAATGTTTCATGCTTTTGTTGCTGCTTCTAGAGATTAGCCAATTAGTTAACCATGGTATTTGGGGTAGAAAATCTATGCCTAATCCTTTCATCATACCAAAGATTTCTGCCTTAAATATAACAGTGTTACAGGCTGGCACTTTCTTTAGTTTTGGGGCTGAGCTCTGCACCCTTAACAGCAGACAGCATTGGCTGATGGAGCATCATTCCAAATGTGCAAACAGTGAGCATAACTGCAGTTCTAAATGCAGAGACTGTGCCTGGCTGGGTTGCTAGTCCTTGCTCTGCTAATTTAATTCCTTCCATTTACCAGGCTCCTTTGGCTCAGGCAGAACTAAGTGGAACCTTTTCCCCATAATACAGTTCTGAGCTGCTCTTTATGACTTAATTACAATCTTTTTTAAAAAGAAAAAAAAACCCTACTTTCTTTTGGTGATGGAAATAAGCCCAAAGTATGAGGCAATATGGGCTAGGGAATTGCACTTAGGTAGGCAGGTACTCAGCAGGGAGAAGCAAAAAGGGCTCTCTGGGAAATCCAAATATAATCTTATAGATGATAAACCCCACCTCCCATCATCTTTGACCATTGGCCATGCTTGCTGGGGCTGATGGGAGCTGGAGTCCCACAACATCTGGAGGACCACAGGTCCTCTACCCCCGGTCAACTTTATACCTGACTGAGCATTAATTAATGCATAGATGTCACAGAAATAAGCCCATTTGCTTTAAATCAACAAGGTGATAGACCTCAGTCAATAACATTGCTAGAGTTACTACAATTTTCAGAAACACACACAAAATATACAGTTTTTTGGGTGCAATATAATGTTGAATACTTCCAACAGCAAGCTACTAGCCACAGTTGCTCTGCTCTGCTTCCACAACTGGAGGAAGTATACTTCTGAATACCAGTTGCTGAAAACTGTAAGAGGGGAGAGAGCTCTTATGCTCAGATCCTGCTCGTGGGTTTCACACAGGCATCTGGTTGGCCATTGTGAGAACATGATGCTGGAGTGGATGAGCCATTGGCCTGCTCCAGCAGGCTCCTCTTATGTTCTTGTGTTTTACTCTAGATAATTTACCCCATCTCTGAAACTCATCATCTCTAAAAGATGAAACTTCAAATTTCCAGCAAGGCTTCCTAGAGAAGTCTGAGCTGGGTGGGAGGGATATTTACCTGGAAGAAAGGCTCAGTTTTATACTTGAAGCAGAATTTCCACTATGCACCATAAGGAGCAAGTAGGCAGAGAGAAGTTTTTCTCCCTCTCTCATAATACTATTGAAGCTGAACGTTGAAAAGATTCAGGATAGAGAAAAGAAAGTACTTACTCATGCAGCGCACAGTTAAACAATGGCATTTGCTCCCACAAGGAGGAGCGGTGGCCACCAGCGTAGATGTCTTTAACACAGAATCTGAGAAATTAATGGAGGATAAGACTAGCAGTGGCTACTAGCCATGATGGTTATGTTCTGCCTCCACTGTCAGATGCAGTATGCATTAGAATACCAATTGCCGGGGATGGTAAGTAGGGGGAGTGCTGTTTCATTTGTGCCCTGCTTGCAGGTTTCCTAAAGGCATCTGGTTGGTCACTGGAACAACAGAATGCTAGACTAGATGGGACTCTGGCATGACCCAGCAGAACTGAGGTTCTTATGAGGGCTGTGTGTGCTCAGCATCCTGCCCAGGCAGCTGGGTGGATACTGTGCCATGTGGTCTCTCCTTCCTTCCCTTTTTGTGTGCTGCCCTCCAAACCTATGCTGGGGAGGAGAATAAGGGGATTTGAACCCATTCCTGTATCCCTGCCTGCAGACTGGCAGTTGAGGGTCATTGCTGCCTGCAGAGGCGGAGCTAGGTACTCTGGCACCAGGAGCGACGTGCACCCGGGGGTGGGGCAAGCGTCCCAGGGGAGCGGGGTGAGCATCCTGGGGGTGTGGGGCGTGTGCCTGCCCGCTGTGAGCCTCCCGGGAGGTGCACAGCCCGCCATGAGCACAGCAATGTCACCCCGCCCCTCAGGGATGGCCCCTGGGGCAGGCCACACCTGCCTTGCTCTGCCTCTGGTTGCCTGAGCTGCTGGGACTGGTGAATTGGGGATGCTCTGGCATCATTGTGGATGTTGTGATGTACCCCATCATTGTGAGTTTATTGGTCCTCTCTTTGTGTGGGTTGTATGCAGGCATCATCACTAGCAAAGTTCCTAATTGGTGGGTTTTGGCAGTATTTGCGGGGATGGGGGCACCTGTTGTTTTCACGCCATTTTTGGATGGTGTGTGTGTGTGTTTTGCATGTTTTCTCCAGCTGAGCCCAGCAGCTGTTCTGCCAATGTAGCAGCAGTGCGTCTCTCCCACCCAGCATAATTGGTGTATAGAATTTTTCTGTTTAAGTGATTTTTCTTTTCTCTATGTCTGCAGCTTGCACATAATTATAAATCTTACATCAACTCAAGTGCCCATTAGATTTAAATAGAGGAAACGCTTTTCTAGTCCACATTAACAACACACACAGTGGTACACAAATAATATAAGAGAAGACACACTCTTATTCTTGCCAGCAGGGGAACAGTGAATGGTAATAACAGCTACAGTTGGATCAGAGTCTAGGCACATTGGCCTAGGGAGCTTCCAGACTGTTGCTATTTTTGAGTGGGAGTCAAACACGTACTGGCACACTCAGGTTGCATGATCACAGCTAACTGGGGGTTGGTTTGCACAACAAACCCACTTCTCTTCCCCAAAGATTGGACTACATGCAAATAATGAAGTGACAGGGAAATATACTGGAAAGTGTATTTGACCTCCCTGAAAACAAATCAGAACAAATGCTCGTTAGATAGCCAGCCACTGTCTAACCTTCCTGTGAACAAATCAGAATGAATGCTCAACAAACATGTCACCTTAGAGACAAATTTTGCTGAGTCCGATGGGGCTTCCCTGAGTAATTTTGCATAATAGGGTTATGCTGCACAAGGCCTTTTCAGGATCAAAGTTTTGCTTTGCTATGTAGGTAATACACGCCCACTTAAACACTATATCGTGGGTGGGCAGATCAGGATCTACTGATAGATTTCTGGGTGGTTTGCAGTAGATTGGCAAGAGGTTCTGACTTTCAAGTGTTTAACTACAGCCAGAACAAAACTATTCATTCCACCTAATTTTAGCTGCTGAATCAGGTGGGGTGTGGAGTGGGGTTGTGTGAAAGCCAGAGAGCTCAGTTCTTTTCTGGTTCTGGAAATGAATCCCTAGGTTCAGAATGTGCTCAGAGGCACCCTATTCTTTTAATGCTAACTGTCTGTCTTTTGCACCTGACTCTAGATGTCAGATCTTGGGGTTCTATTGGAAGAACAAAGTAGATCTCACAAGCCTGAAGTCTGCCCACCCTTTCCCTATATCCAACTCCCAGGCTTGAAAACAACAGAGACTGGTGAATTGGCCAAGGGTGCTCTGCATACAAGATTGATACTGCCTCCAAACTGTCATTATTGTGGGGGAGGGATTCAAGTGCACATTGCTACTTTAAGTTTGCACAGCTGAAGTGCATTAAAGGGGTTTCATAGTGCAACAAATCTTTAAAAACAAATCAGTTATTACTATTATTTTGCAGTTTGGGAAATGCATTGAAAAGCATGGGATGAATGAATGACTAACTAACAGGAAGACGTGGGAACACCCTGCAAGCAAATCAGGGTGGATGCTCATTGTCCTATAACTGCCCCACAAACAAATCAGAACAAACTCGCAAGAAAGACCAGAAAGAATCGAACGTCCCCATGATTTTTGTACAAGCATATGACTGACTGTTCAATAAACAGCTTATCCATTCTGGAACAAGATGGAGACAGAATAAAATTGCAGAGCTTTGAAAAATTGAAAAATAAAGTGCGAGATTGGCTCCATTATTACCAAATAATGGAGGCATACAATTTGGACAAAAAAGTTGGTTTCCAGGTAGAAAAATCAAAATTGGAAACAGAACTGCTAGATCCAAAAATTAAGAATTTGTCAAGAATGTATAACTTGCTGTTGAAATGGAACACTCAGGATGAAATGGTGAAATCAGCTATGATTAAATGGGCACAAGATGTTGGACATAACATAATGATGGCTGACTGGGAACAGTTATGGACCACAGGTATGAAATTCACAGCATGTAATGCCCTAAGAGAAAATTTAATGAAAATGATTTATAGGTGGTACATGACACCAGTCAAGCTTGCAAAAATTTACCATTTGCCCGATAATAAATGCTGGAAATGTAATGAGACTGAAGGTACATTCTTTCACCTTTGGTGGACATGCCCAAGGATTAAGACATTCTGGGAGATGATCTATAACGAAATGAAAAAGATCCTCAAACTTACTTTCCTGAAGAAACCAGAGGCCTTTCTCCTGGGCATGGTCGGCCAATTGGTGCCAAAGAAGGATAGAACTTTTTTTATGTATGCAACAACAGCAGCAAGAATACTCATCGCGAAGTATTGGAAGACACAAGATCTACCCAGATGAAGTTGATGGACTACATGGAATTGGCGGAAATGACTGGCAGAATCCGAGACCAGGGAGAAGAGTCGGTGGAAGAAGACTGGAAAAAGTTTAAAGACTATTTACAGAAATATTGTAAAATTAATGTCAGAAAAATGTTGGAATGAAGTTATATGGCTTTAGTAGAAATGTTATAAGGAATTAAGTATAAATAGATTAATTGAATATTAAAGGAAAAAATAAGGTTAGAATGTGTTAAGATAATTATAGGATAGAAAACAAAGGAAGATGGAAAGGAATTGCTGAAACAATTAATAGAAGTGGAATACAAAAAGGCAGTGAATGAGGGAAATAAGTGAATGAAAGATAAAATATTGAAACTGTTTGATATGTTTTAAACTGTTTTTGTTTTGTTTTGTTAGTTTAATGTGTTAGTGTTATGTACTGTTTTTGTATTGTATTGTATTGTTTATTTTTTGTTGTTGTTGTTGCTGTAGTGTTTAAATTGTTGGAAAAGTAATAAATATTATTTTTTTAAAAAATAAACAGCTTATCCAGAGGGACCCCGTATCACAGATACAGAGGAAGCAGCCTTATAACCGAGTCAGACTATTGATCCATCTAGTACAGCCTTGTCTACACGGCTTGGTTAACGGATCTCTAGGATTTCGGAGTGAAGACTTTCCCAACTCCCCACCTAGATGGACCAGGGATTGAAACTGGGACCTCTAGGCACTTAGACTTTGCTTTCACGTGCCATCCTGGGAGCTGTGGGTGGAAAGCTGGGATGCCCCGTTCTCAGAACCTCCAGTTGGGGGGCGGCAAAGCAGGATGTTCGCCACGTTGAAGGTGCTTCCTCTGAGACGCCGAAAGGTGCCGTTGTGTGACCCACAAGCTGTGGATGATTATTTTTTTTTGGAGGGGGGGAGGACGACCCTCCTTTCCCCTCTTTCTCACGACCGCAACTTCCTCCTCTGAATCTGAAAGCCGGAAAATTTACACTGGTGGGGTTTTGGGATGGCTTCGCTCTCATGCCAGCTCCTTTACACTCGGACCCCAAAGAGGACTCTCCGTAACAGCTCGCCCCTCCCTTCCGAGGGCAGCTTGTTCCCCGTCTCGAGTTGCCCCCCTCCGGAGGAGGAGGAAGCCGCGCCGAAGAGCTCAGGCAGCCCCGCCCCGTCCACACCCCCTCCGGCGCCGGAGCTGCCAAAGCGCGCCGGCACCGACGGCGTTAATCTCTCCCCGCGCAGCTCCTGGGAGGCGAGGGAGACGAGCCCAGCCGAGCCGGGCTGGGAATTGAAGCGCCCAGTATCCGGGCAACAGGCGGCGGGAAGCCACTGGCTGCGGAGCCGCCGGAGCCGTCCTGCTGGCGCTGCCCTCCGCAGAGCGCCCCCTCTGGACAAAGGGGCGAAATGCTCCCGCCTCCGTCGGCTGCCTCGAGCCGAAGGCCAGGAGGAGGCTGTGCGCTCCGGCTCTTCCGTGGAGCCTCGACGCCGCGGGGCATCGCGCAACAGAGCGCCTGGCGCGGGGAGCACAACTCGGGCGGCAGCTGTCCATGGCCCCTCTCCGCCCGCCCCCAACTTCTGGGCGGCCCCCCAGTTGCCCCTGGTGACCAGCCCCCCCCCTTTCCCTGCAGGCTGCCCCTCCCAGCCCTGTCGGAGGGGAGGGGTGGCAAGAAAGAGGCCAAGTCGCCCAGGCGGTGCGCGGTGCTTCCTCCCTCCCTCCTCCCTCCCTCCCTCTCGCCCTCCCACCATCCGACCATGAGGCAGCTCGGAGCGGGCTCGGCTTCCTCCAGTTCTTTCGCAGGCGCACCTGAAGGCCGGCAAGACCCTTCGCCGTCTCTCTCGGCAGGAGCTGTGAGGAAAGCGCAGTCCCACCTGGACCCGACGACGGCCACCTCCGACGGAAAGCGCGTCTTGCCGGGAGCTTGAAGCGGCTTCTCCTCCTCAGCCTTGCTTGGACCTCGCCGACGCCGCGCGCCCCTCTCGCCTTCCCTGGGGGTTGCTGGAGGGGAACCAGCTCAGCCAAGCAGAAGCAGCGGCGGATGGTGCGCCTGGTTCGCTCGGCTTTCCTCGCCCGGAGGCTAACGTCTAGGAAATAAGCGCTGGCGGCGGCTCCTTCCTCGAGCGCGGGAGACGTCCATGGTTTGCTTGTTTGTTTCTCGATCGCACGTCTGACCTGCGTGGGAGCCAAGGCGAAGCTCGGCAATCCAAGACGGCAGGAACGGCGAGACCCCGGGAGTGAGTTGTTGGCGGATCTGTGTCAAAGAGAGAGAGAGAGAACCATCGTGGGAATCCAACACTGGAGCTCTTTCAAAGTTTAAAGTCAAGCCAAGCCCTCTCTCCTCTCCACGTTGGGAAGACTCAGCAACCTGCTGAGGACCAGAAGAGAGAAAAGAGGAGAGGAGATGATTTCCTCCTCCTCCTCCTGTTCCTGCTGCTGCAATATCCGTCTGATTTGTTCCTAACACGGTGTTTTTCTTTACCAGACTCCTGTGCCCTCGATAAACACGCGCGCACCAGTTCCGTTGCCATCTGCTTCCAGTTCTGCCTCAAGGCAGGGGGGGCCGAATCCTGTAGCTCTCCGGCTCGCCAGCCAGGCCCCTTTCCTTCCGTGTCTGGTCTTCGGCTCCCCCTCCGTCGAGGCACTTGTTGCTGCTCGGTGGCTGAGGAGCAGAACACTTCCCGCTGGCCTCCTCCACGGCCACGCACGCACACACAGAGAGACACGCGCGCACACAAAGACGCTCTCCCTCTCGAGAAGGACTGTGCCTGCTCCGAGCTGAATGCCAGTCCCGGCCCACCTCTGAGACCCACCGCGCCTGCCAGGGAGAGAGCGAGAGCGCGCGCCATCGCCCAGCCGCCCAGCGCAGCTCCTTGCAGGACGGGAAGGGTCATCCGAGGGCACCTGCGGGCCACCTAACCTGATCTATGATCAGCTCGGTGTGTGTCTCCTCTTACCGCGGGCGCAAATCCGGGAACAAGCCACCGTCCAAAACATGCCTGAAGGAAGAGATGGCCAAAGGCGAAGAGTCGGACAAGATCACGATCAACGTGGGGGGCACCCGGCATGAGACGTACAAGAGCACCCTGCGCACCCTGCCAGGAACCCGCCTGGCCTGGCTGGCCGACCCGGACGCCCAGAGCAACTTCGACTTCGACGGGCAGAGCAAGGAGTTCTTCTTCGACCGCCACCCAGGCATCTTCTCCTACGTGCTGAACTACTACCGGACGGGCAAGCTGCACTGCCCCGCCGACATCTGCGGCCCCCTCTTCGAAGAGGAGCTCACCTACTGGGGCATCGACGAGACCGACGTGGAGCCCTGCTGCTGGATGACCTACCGGCAGCACCGCGATGCCGAGGAAGCCTTGGATATCTTCGAGAGCCCGGAGCCCGGGGCTGGCGGGGCTGGCGAGGAGAACGAGGAGGAAGGAGCCCCGGAAATGTCTCTGCAGCGCCTGGGCATGGACGACAGGCCACCGGGGGCCACGGGAGCAGGAGGCTGTTGCCGCAGCTGGCAGCCCCGGATGTGGGCACTCTTTGAGGATCCCTATTCATCCCGGGCAGCCAGGGTGAGTTGATGGGCAATTGGTGGGGGCACCTATGGGAGCGGGGGGGGGGAGGCTCCCCACACACTGGCCAGATCCTCATGGGCCCCCAATCACTCAGTTACCCTTCCTGCGCCACCCCATTGTTACGTCTTCTGTTTCTCTCCAGAGACAACAGTTGCTTCACATTTCATTTTTAAAATTTGTTTCAAAATGTTGTTACTAAATTATTTCTATGAGTTACATTCAGTTTGAGACATTTTTGTTATGGGCAGTATGGGATTTCATCCACTCTTGAAGGCTTTTGAGTCGAGTTTCTTTCTTTTCTTTGTGATGACCCTCCTGTTCATTCGCTGCTATTTTCTCTTCCTCTTTCCCTTCATGCGACCTTCTCTCCTTGCTCTCCCTTGCTGGCACAAACATGAGAGGGAAGCGTCTCGGTTCTTATTTTCTCTCTCTGTGAGAGTTTCTTTTCTTTTTATTCACACACATAGAGAAGTAAAACAGCACCCCTGAATTTGTATGGATGTGGCTTACCCCCACCCCAGACAATGATCATCCCAAAACAACTCTCAGTAGGCCTTCAGATTCCCAAAGCAGCCTTGGAGCAGTCTGCCCCAGCATTACGCATGCTGTCCCCTCTTCCACTCATGGAATTCAAGATCTAAAATATTTTTAGGAAAGCCCAGTAATAATTACCTCTATCACTGGGGATCACATAACAAAAACTACCATAGAGAGATCAAAATTTTCATAAGTTGTGGGTCCATGACTTTTGAAAATCAGGGGTCTGTAGTACTTAGCTGATTAGGAACCACTGACCTACATATTTCCCTCCTATGCTTCTTCCAGGTTCACCACTGGCTTACATGTGTCCTTTCACACCTCTCTCTTGTGTCTATGCTTACATGCGTGTGCACAGAAATTCATGTCTTAAGTAGCCAAAGAAAGAAGCAGCTGTGGGTGGGAGTTTGCCCTTGACGACCCAAGGAGGGTACATTGCCCCCAACTTTTCTTTCTATTTATTGTCCTCTTTGATCCACTATTCAAAAACAAGCCTGCCTTTTGTTTAAGGAAGCTGTGATGCAACCCCCTGGTTTCACCCATGATAGCAGTAAATTTAATTTTCATCTTTTAGAATTCTAACTTGCAAGCAGATTAGTGATACCTGCCATTCCTACCTGTTTGCAAGTTTCGGAACAAGAAATACAGCCTGACGGGAAGCCACCTGCTACTTGCCTGCTTTTTCGCTTTGAGAGATACTTTTTCATGCCTACTGATGGAGACACACCCACTTCATTCCCATTCAAACCCACACAAATTAATAGAGGCAATCTCCACATGCTTTTGCTTTTTAATGTACGCATAAATCAAATGCATTATTCACATCCAGCCATACGCTCTTGCTTTTATACTCAAGAAGTAGGGGTTCATATCTCTGGTTCCTTAGTCACACCTATCACGTAAATGCTGGCACATATACTCTTAGCTTTCTCTGTCTCACATGCAGAAGCATTGCTGGCATTTAGAGGTGTAAAAAATGCAAGGGAACACTCTGAGCTCAGCCTAGATCCTGGCAGAGTTCACATTAAAATGTGTGCGTTGGTGGGGGGTTGGACTCTCTATAACCATCATAAGCAGCAAATACTCTTTTGGCACCTTAAAGATTAACAGGTTTTGGTGGGCATAAACATTCATGGACTGGGGTCCACTTCATCGGCTGCATGAAACATTATCCTCCATTGCAGGTATGGTATAGGTGTATGCACATACATCCAACATGTTTTCTTCCAGCCAAACAGCCAAATCCCGAAACCAGACATTCCAAAGATGGCATTACCGGTCCCTTCTGTAGTCTCAAAGGTCTTAGATTTCCAAAGCTGCTCTCAATTTATGAGAGGGTCCAAAATAGACTTGCTGAAAACAGCCTCCAGGGATTTTCCCACACTGCCTTCGCCTGTCTCTCGTCTTCTCCTGGAAAATGCTTTCCCCAGCCGTTGACCTCGGTGATGCCTGATGATATGATTATCAGAGCTAGAAATGAAAAAACCTGCCCCAATGTAGTGATAAGTACATCTGTCCGTACCTTCTCCCTGCAAACCATTTAAGAATATGATCAGCCCAGGTCATTGCACGAAAAAATCTCAGTACCTGTTTTGTTTTTGCGAAGGTTTCAGTTTCTTGGAGAAAGCAAAGCTTAAGGGGCTCTCACTGTCAATGGCAGATGGAGAACTGTCCTCTCCCAGGGACCAAGGCACAGGGCCATAGAAGAATGGCTTCGAAAAGCATCTAAATTAAAAGGGAGAGGATATGTATTAAGATTTGGCGGGCATTAGCTAGATGGCATGACCTGGCAGACTCTGCTGTACTCTGGGGAAGCTGAGAGCAGTTGACCCAGGAAACTTCATTTACCTCCATCTCCAAACTTCCTTACAACTGTGATAAGGATCCTCATATGGTATAAACAGGTGCTGTTCAACTCATTTCAAGCTCTTGATACTTCCAGCAAGATTATCTCAATTTGTACCAGCTAAGTATCCAGTACTGCTAATGTTACATACTAGTGTTGAGAAGGGTGTTTTAAATGGTTCATGAAATATGAATGGTTTGTCTTAGAAAGTGCCCTTGCACTTCATTTAGGTGGTGTAGAAATAACCCCCCCTCCCCTTAATGGAATCCTGCTCTGAAAGAAACAAGTGTTGATGCATTATTTGTCACAGAAACAAGATCTCTGATCTTTGTTGTCCACTAAGGCTTGACTTTCCAAAGACTGCCATAGATTCCATCTTTTTCATCAATGGAATAAATTCTAGCTGGCCTTAACTGGCCTTATTAACCCTTGTTCTTCATTGGGTACATGACATTTTGATTTGCTTTCTCAGGCCAGAAAATGTTTTTAATAATAATAATAATAATTTTGTATTTTTCTTGACTAAGGCAACATAAGGGGAAAAGTATAAAAGTGATGTTACTCAGTCTCACTCCTTCAGTGTTCCTGCTCAAAAGATGTTGCCTTTTGCATGTAGTTGCATGAAAACTGTTGATTTAAAGCAGAGTCTGTCGTGCCCAACGGAAGGATGAGGAAAATGTGTTACATACTCTAAATTGCTTTATTTACAGTTCAAAGCTGGTATATTACAGAAAGACATCTTGCCTCTGCAGGAGCAGAAAAATGCATCCTCTCTCCTCGACAGCTTGGAGAGAATCAAACAGAGAAAAACAGGAAACCAGTGTACGTCACATCCAGTCTCCCTTTCCCGTGAGAAACTCCAACAGTACCTCTGACTGTGGAATGCAAAACAATGTCTTGTGACTGCAGTTGCTGCTCAGTGAGGGAAATAGAAACCAACATCCCCCCTTTCTGTGAACATCACTGGGCAGCGTGTTTGCACAATATCAGTACAAACCCAACTTCTGCACATAGGTACAGTGTTGATCCCTCGATACAATCTTGGACAATACATCAGCAGGAATTTCATTACCTGGCATATAGGACACCGTTACGAGTCCCTTCTGAATACATTCCCTAGCATGCTGCAACTTTAATTGCAAGTGCTTTGTGCTTTGCTTACAACCTTCAGACTTCAGCAAAACCAAACATGCTTTGTTGTCCTGGTAAACCTGGATTGGACATTTGACAGGAATTTTCATATCTTTGCACAATTGTACTAACCATTCACAATCCTTAAGTGAATAAGACAGTGCATTCAGTTCGGCTTCACAAGTACTTAAGCTAACTGTTGTTTGCTTCTTGCATGACCAATCAAACAGACTCTGATTGTACATGTAGCAAACTCCAGACGTACTTTTCCTGTCTGTAGCGTCACTTCCAAAACTTGCATCTGCAAATATCTCAAGACCACCAGACTTCTGATCGTCAAATCTCAGTCTGTAATGCATAGTGCCTTTCAAATATCGCGCTATGCGTTTCAGAGCTTTCCAATCCTTGACACTAGGATTGTTGACTTGTCTGCTTAGCAAATTACAGCTAACAGCAATGTCTGGTCTTGAACATCTGGCAATGAAGTTTAGCTTGCCTAGCACACTCCTGTACAGTGTAGTGTCAGAAAATGCTTCTTCAGTGTCATCTACCTGATAACCTGTTGTCATCGGTGTGTCTACAGGGTTAGCATCCATCAGATTTAGTTTGCTTAACACATCAGCAATTTTCCGTGACTGGTGTACTAGAATGTTACCATCTTGATCTCTTTCTATTTCCAGAGATAGGTAGTTGTTTACCTCACCAAGATCTTTCATGTCAAAGTGCTCTTTCAGTTGAGCTAGGGCGCTATTGTACATTGCAACATCTTTCCAAAAGAATAATAAATCATCAACATAAAACAAACAGTACAGTTTCTTTTGCCCCTCCTCTTTGACAAATACACATGGATCAGCTTTCCCTTGCTGAAAACCTAGAGAAAACAATACTTCAGTGAGTTTTGTGTGCCAACACCGTGCACTTTGTTTGAGACCATAAAGGGATTTCTTCAGAGCACAAACAAATCCCTGTTTTACCTGTGCGCCATCAGGTGGAAGCATATAAAGTGATTCATCTAGAGATCCGTACAGAAAAGCTGTATTAATATCATGGTGACTAATGTGTAGATTTTCCTCTGCAGCTAGCTTGAGCATAAGCCTAATGCTTTCATATCTCACTGTGGGTGAATAGGTCTCGTGATAGTCTTGACCTGGTACCTGTGCAAAACCTCTGGCTACCAATCTGGCTTTGTGTCTGACTATCTTGCCATTTTGATCTGTCTTCGCTTTGAAGACCCATTTGCTTCAAGCAGTTTCATTCCTGGAACTACTGGAACTAGCTCCCATGTTTTGTTCCTTTCTAAGGAATCAAGCTCAGCCTTCATGGCATTTAACCATGGCTCAGCTTCCTTCGAATCCAAACCCTGGATTTCTTGGAAACTTGAAGGTTCAAATACCTTCTTGGAGCTTTTAACAGCTGTTACTGCTATCTTAGCAAACTCATCAGCAAATCTCTTTGGAGGTTTGCCTTTTGTGGCTCTCTGTGACCTACGAATTAGCCTTAAGTCTTCAACACTCTCCTCTTCCTTCTTAGGAGAAAAACGACCTATTGTGAACAATGGTTCCTCCAATTCTTGATCAGAGCTTTCAGAGGGTCGCATAGAGGCTTTCGCACTCTTGAAATCCTCTGAATCACCTGATTCAGTTTCAGATTCAGACTCAGAACCTTCATCAGTGGGTGTGGGCTGTTGTGGTTGCTTTTGACTATCCTCAGTCTCATCACCGTCATCAGGATAACATTGGAAAATTCCCACATTCTCCCCCACTTTGCATTGTACTCAACACTTCTCGTGAGCTTAATTGTCTTAGAGTCAGTCATCATTATTCTGTAAGACCCTTTCTGATAACCTAGAAAGATACCATGCAATCCACGCTTGTCTAACTTGGAGTTTTGTGGTGAGTGAACCCACATGTCGGAACCAAAAATCTTCATGTGTTTGATGTATGGCTTCTTGCCAAACATCTTCTCATAGGGGGGACATCCAATCGCTGAAGATAACCTGCGATTGTAACTGTAAACAAAACACGAGAGAGATTCGGCCCAATAACTCTCTGGAAGATTGGCATCATGCAGCAAGGTTTTTAAGCCTTGAAGCAATGTCTGATTTGCCCGTTCCGCAAGTCCATTCTGCCATGGCGAGCGAGGACTAGACAAATCGTGTTGAATTCCTTTCTCAGTCAGAAAAGCTTCAAACTGCTGAGAAGTGAATTCCCCCCCGCGATCACTGAAAAGAGTCTTTATCTTCTTACAATGCACATTTTCCAACCAAGCACAGAATTCCTTGAACTTAGGAAAAGCCTCCGATTTCTGCTTGAGATTGTACACAAAAATATATCTAGAAAATGCATCAATGAGAACCATGAAGTATCTATTTCCACCCAAAGAGGGCGATAGTGGTCCAACCAAATCAGCATGAACAACCTGGTATGGTTCTGTAGCTTTCCTACTAGACACCTTACCTTTCGCAGCCATTTTCACCTTGTTTGCTGCGCATGCTTTGCACTTCATGTGGTACCTGCAGGGTTTAATAGTCATACCTTCAACCAAGGCAGGCATTTTAGATACTGCCTCAAAATGCAAATGACCAAATTTGCGATGAAAATCGTGAATACATTCTGCATGCAAACTTTTGTTAGAACCTGCAATGCAACAAGTGTCATCCTGCACCACATCATCATAATACAAAACAAACAAATGATCAACATATTCTGCATGCAATACATAATCATTTTTCTTTGTGATGATGCACTTCTTGTTCTTGAAGGAAACGTCAATGTTCCGCTCATTCAGCTGTCCAACGCTGAGCAGATTATGTTTGGCGTCTGGCACGTAAAGCACATTCTGTATCGATAAGTCCAAACTGTGAAGAACAACAGTTCCGTAGCCTTTACTGGGAATAGTGTGGTCATCCGCCTGGTGAATCGCACCTTCCTGCGGTGTAAAAGACACAAACAGTTTCTTATCGTTGCACATGTGGTGGGTGGCCGCTGAATCAACAACGAAGAAAGATCTAGACGTCTTCTGGACCTCTGCAACCTTTGGAGTGAAGCGTGAAACCATAGCCTTGTGCTGCGTTGTCCTAGACACCGGACCTTTGCCTTTGCCTCGGCCTTTTCCGCGCGATGAGCTTTCGCTGCGCTGCTCTGTCTTGGCCCTGGGATGTCTGCATTCCCTCTTCATATGGCCTAGACGTCCACACGAGTAGCATTTGACTGCCTTCAAAGCTTTGGCGCCATCTGGTGGTTCCACTGCACTATGGGATGACGTCTGTGAAGACTCTCCCTTGCCCATGCAGCTAGCACCCCGGCGATCTGCTTCATTTAAAATCACGGCAGTAACAAAGTCCACTGTCAGCTGAGCAGTTGGTTGCACAGCAATCTGGGTTGCAACAGACTCCCAACCTGAACCCAAAGATTGTAGTATCATGAAAGAATACACAGCCTCTGGAAAGTTGAGTCCTCTCTGTTGCAGCTCATGTCTCAGATTTTGCATCTCCATTAGATGTAAACGCACATCTCCACCTTCAGCAAGAGCCATATTATGCAGCTTGTTAAAATAAAACATAGTAGACCCAGCTTCTGTCCTTAAATGAGCCTCTCTCAGAGCGTCCCAAATTTCTCTGGCTGAGGTCTTATCACGCAATAGACAGAGCTCTTCTGGGGATACTATCAATGTAAGAGTTCCCCTTGCTTTGGAATCCTTAGCTTCCCATGCATCTGTAACTGGAACTGGGGGTTCCTGTAATCACCTCAAACAAACCCTCTTTCCGCAGAATTGCCTCTGCATACTGAACCCAGTCGCTGTAATTATTCTTGTTGAGCTTAGGAATCCCACAAGCATCCTGAAGGGCCATCATGACTCTGGCATTAGCCTTCAGCGTCATATCTATGCTGCTTTAAATCTTGCTGCGTCACTGCTGCAGCTGCCTCATTACAAAGGCACACTTAAAAGTTACTTCGAGTTCCCCAGCATAGTGACTTGTGCCTGGGAGCCTTTTTGCCTATTCCCGGCAAAACCGGCTTTAAAAGTTCAAAGTCCAGCCATAAAGCCATTAACTTGAAGCTGGCAGGCTGCCCGGAGCAGTAGCACATACCTCATCAATCACTTCTACGCGCAGAGCAGATTCCTTTCCGATCCGTCCCTCTGCATTCCGATCCTTTGCCGGCACTGCGATTCGACCTCTGGAGTCCATAACCACGTGTTGATTTAAAGCAGAGTCTGTCGTGCCCAACGGAAGGATGAGGAAAATGTGTTACATACTCTAAATTGCTTTATTTACAGTTCAAAGCTGGTATATTACAGAAAGACATCTTGCCTCTGCAGGAGCAGAAAAATGCATCCTCTCTCCTCGACAGCTTGGAGAGAATCAAACAGAGAAAACAGGAAACCAGTGTACGTCACATCCAGTCTCCCTTTCCCGTGAGAAACTCCAACAGTACCTCTGACTGTGGAATGCAAAACAATGTCTTGTGACTGCAGTTGCTGCTCAGTGAGGGAAATAGAAACCAACAAAAACGTGGGGAGCAAAGGACAGTCCTTTGTGGCCAAGTTGTTCATTGTAATCAATATTATTCATGCTTCCCTGGCAAGCAAGAATGTCTGGGTTTTTCAAGCAGATGGCATTGGGATCAGCCCAGACAGGCCCCATTTCTGGCTGGACCCCATTACTCTTAGCCTGCCCCCAATCTCTCCCTTCTGCCACAAACCAACATCATAAGACATCTTGGTCTATAAGGTTGTGCTGTGAAGGGGAGGAGCCTGTGGCATCATTATCAAAAGTGACAGTTTTATTGGTGCTTTGGCTGGAGCTAAGAGTCCCTGCTGTGGCATTGACTTCCGAAGGTTGGGTTTTGAGAGCTGTTTTTTTCCACACACCTATGGAAGATATTTATCAGAACACAAAGTGAGCAATGAGGCACAGGGCAACGACAGAGTTCATACTTCTTCTGGAATTACACTAACTCTAGTTAGGAAGTCCCTCAGCACAACAGAAATTGATTCCTCCATACAAAATGCAGAGAAAGCGGCTTTGGCTGCAGGAAGCAGCTGACTTTGGAGTAACAGTAGGAATTGGCGCGTTGTGCTGGGAAGGAGCCCTGTCCCCCTGCCGTGATGAACAAAGGCATGGCATGCTAGAGACTCACACAAACAGCTGTAATCATGGACATGAAACATTGCAGCAGCCTGCTCAGCAGGAGAGAGCAGAGTTTAAAAGCCCCAAATGAAAGCGGATCTCCCACCTTAATTTCTGCTGCTCACCGCCAGACATAATTTTGCTTCCTGACTCACTTGCAGACTGTGAAGAACAGTAAAGGCAGAGCTGTGCAGTGGGCATAGCTCACCAGGAATTCATGCAGAGGTTCTTTGCTCACACTTTGCCTGCCACTAGAAGGCAAATGTTTCAGCAGTAGCAGAGATACTAGGATCTGACAGTGTTGGCCAGTGTGATAGTGTGGTAATTGTGTCAGACTAGGCACAGACAAGGGGAGATCTAGGGTCAATCCCCGCTCAGCCATGAAGTTCACTAGGTGGCCTCGATCTAGTCATGCTCTGTCAGCCTAAACTGTATTGCAGACTTGTTGTGAGGAGAAACATTGGGGTGTGTGGGTGTATGTCCCTTAGGTTCCTTGGAGTAACAGAAGGGTGGGAATGAGATAATAAATAAAGCTGCTAGACTGCTTTTGTTGCATTGCATATTGCATAGGAGGAAGAGGAGGAGGAGGAGGAACAATACCTGAAAAGGCCTGCCTCCACCAAAATGACACTTCCACACCTGGAATATACCCCAGACCAAAGGGAGACAATTGCAACAATGTGGTGGTGGGGTTTTCTCTTCCTCTTCCTCTTCTTCTTTTCTCTGCACAGAGAAATGTAACAGAAAAGGTAACAACGTGCTTAGTAAGAGTGGCAATCATGTTAGCTACTGTTGCTGTTCAAGTAGATGGGGGGCAGCCCTAGAAACTACACTGAGGACTCAGCTATACAGTGGTAAATAAAATCTTTTAAGTGTGTTATAAAGTGCAATATACAAATGTGACACTAGATTGCGATGGTGAGTTATGGCAAATTCAATATATTTTTCAATTTTTTTTATAAAAGCATTTTCACAGTGTTTTTTTATATGTGTGTAGATTCCACCTGAGTGCATAAAACCACCAAAAGAGGAAACGAGCATGCCAGCAATGCATATACAAGCCACAGGAAGAGGCTTCAATGACTCTTTGTGTAATCAAGAAAGTGCATGATCTAGAAAACAGGAACAAGCACACTGCATATGTGAAATTAAGGTGTTTCCTCACTCCTGTAATGTGCATCACTTTACACTTGCTTACATTGAATTGTATTTCCAATTTTACTACTCATTCACCCAGTTTGGAGAGATCCTATTGGAGCTCTTCACAATCTTGGTTTGCTTTGTTTTAACCACCCTAAACAATTTGGTATTGTCAACAGGTTTCCTCACTGCTCCTGAACTCTAGGTCATCTATGGACAAGTTTAAAAGCACAGGTTCCAAAGGTGATGCTTGGGAGCCTCTGCTTTCTACATCCCTCCATTAAGAGAAGGGTCTGTTTATCCATACTCTCTGCTTCATGTTTCTTAACCAGTTACTGATCCTCTCTTATTCCACCACTGTTAAGCTCAGGATTCTGTGGTGAGATGAGGTACTTTGTCAAAAGCTTTCTGAGAGTCTAAGTACACAGTGTCCACTAGATCACTTCTATCTCTATGCCTGTTGACATTATTGAAGAACGCTGATAGGTTATTAAGGCAGGACTTTCTCTTGTGGAAGCCATGCTGGTTCGACTTCAGCAAGGGTAGTTCTTCTGTATGGTTGGTAATTTTGTAGAACAATGTTTTCTACCAGTTTCCCCAGATGTTGAGAGAACCAATCTGAATACCATATGAAAAATGGATGTTACATTGGTCATAGAATCATAGAATCATAGAGTTGGAAGAGACCACAAGGGCCATCAAGTCCAACCCCCTGCCAAGCAGGAAACACCATCAGAGCACTCCTGACATATGGTTGTCAAGCCTCTGCTTAAAGACCTCCAAAGAAGGAGACTCCACCACACTCCTTGGCAGCAAATTCCACTGTCGAACAGCTCTTACTGTCAGGAAGTTCTTCCTAATGTTTAGGTGGAATCTTCTTTCTTGTAGTTTGGATCCATTGCTCCGTGTCTGCTTCTCTGGAGCAGCAGAAAACAACCTTTCTCCCTCCTCTCTGTGACATCCTTTTATATATTTGAACATGGCTATCATATCACCCCTTAACCTCCTCTTCTCCAGGCTAAACATGCCCAGCTCCCTTAGCCGTTCCTCATAAGGCATCGTTTCCAGGCCTTTGACCATTTTGGTTGCCCTCCTCTGGACACGTTCCAGTTTGTCAGTGTCCTTCTTGAACTGTGGTGCCCAGAACTGGACACAGTACTCCAGGTGAGGTCTGACCAGAGCAGAATACAGTGGCACCATTACTTCCCTTGGTCTAGATGCTATACTCCTATTGATGCAGCCCAGAACTGCATTGGCTTTTTTAGCTGCCGCATCACACTGTTGGCTCATGTCAAGTTTGTGGTCAACCAAGACTCCTAGATCCTTTTCACATGTACTGCTCTCAAGCCAGGCGTCACTCATCTTGTATTTGTGCCTCTCATTTTTTTTGCCCAAGTGCAATACTTTACATTTCTCCCTGTTAAAATTCATCTTGTTTGTTTTGGCCCAGTTCTCTAGTCTGTCAAGGTCGTTTTGAAGTGTGATCCTGTCCTCTGGGGTGTTAGCCACCCCTCCCAGTTTGGTGTCATCTGCAAATTTGATCAGGATGTCCTTGATTCCATCATCCAAGTCGTTGATAAAGATGTTGAATAAGACCGGGCCCAAGACAGAACCCTGTGGCACCCCACTAGTCACTCTTCTCCAGGATGAAGAGGAACCATTGATGAGCACCCTTTGGGTTCGGTCAGTCAGCCAGTTACAAATCCACTGAGTGGTAGCATAGTCAAGACCGCATTTTACCAGCTTCTTTACAAGAATATCATGGGGCACCTTGTCAAATGCCTTGCTGAAATCAAGGTAGGCTACATCCACTGCGTTCCCTTCATCTACCAGGCTTGTAATTCTGTCAAAAAACGAGATCAGGTTAGTCTGACATGACTTATTTTTCAGAAATCCATGCTGACTATTGGTGATCACAGCATTCCTTTCTAGGTGCTCACAGACTGTTTGCTTAATGATCTGCTCCAGAATCTTCCCTGGTATTGATGTCAGACTGACTGGGCGGTAATTATTTGGGTCCTCTCTTTTCCCCTTTTTGAAAATAGGGACAACATTTGCCCTCCTCCAGTCTGCCGGGACTTCGCCTGTTCTCCAGGAATTCTCAAAGATGACTGCCAGTGGTTCTGAGATCACATCTGCCAGTTCTTTTAATACTCTTGGATGCAGTTCATCTGGCCCTGGAGACTTGAATACATCTAAACTAGCCAAGTATTCTTCTACTATCTCCTTAGTTATTCTGGGCTGTGTTTCCTTTGCTGAATCATTTGCTCCAAATTCTTCAGGTCGGGCATTGTTTTCTTTATCGGAGAAGACTAAGGCAAAGAAGGCATTGAGGAGTTCAGCCCTTTCTGATTTGCCTATCATTTAAAAGGGGCAACTTTTTATTGTAGGCAATTATCTCCTAATTCTGTCTGACTGCAGTTGGGGTTGCTTTGTGTATGGGATTGTTCCTTGGAGCCAGGTGCTAATATGTAGCTGAGCGCTGCTGCTTGAACTCTTGCTGGGTTGTGATTTAATAAATATAAATAAATACAAGCGGTGCAGTTAAGTGACGTATAGCTTGTTCATTTTTGTCAGCAGTTACGCGGAGCAATTGATAATAGTAATTCCTACTCATAGCTATAAATCCATTGGCTATTAATTGAGATACTATCGATTAATAATTAATTCATCAACCGTGCTCCGAACTTTATTGATGCACAATAATTGTATACTAACATTTAATTACAGTCAAGTTATTAATTGATTGGTGATATTAATACTAATTAAAAATAACAACAACAATAATAAAATAAATAAATAATAACAATAACAATAATAATAAATAATTATAATTATAAATAATAATAATAATAATAATAATAATAATAATAATAATAACTACCGTATTTTTCGCTCCATAGGACGCACTTTTTCCCCTCCCAACATGAAGGGGAAATGTGTGTGCGTCCTATGGAGCGAATGCAGGCTTCGCTGAAGCCTGGAGAGCGAGAGGCATCGGTGCGCACCGACCCCTCTCGCTCTCCAGGCTTCAGGAGCTATCCGCAAGCCTTGCAAGCCCGGTGGGAGTTCCCGCGGGCTCACAGGGCTTGCAGGCAGCAGCCTGCAGCCCCGGCGAGTGTCCGCAAGCCTTGCGCGCCCGGCAGGAGGTCCCGCCGGCGCGCGAGGCTTGGGGCAGCAGCCTGTCGCCCGAAGCACGGGAGCCCTCCGGAGGGCTCCCCGTGCGTCGGGCGAGTGTCCGCAAGCCTGGCGCGCCCGGCAGGAGGTCCCGCCTAGCCCGCGAGGCTTGGGGCCGCAGCCTGTCGCCCGAAGCACGGGGAGCCCTCCGGAGGGCTCCCCGTGCTTCGGGCGAGTGTCCGCAGCCTTGCGCGCCCGGCAGGAGGTCCCGCCCGGCGCGCAAGGCTTGGGGCTGCAGCTTGTCGCCCGAAGCACGGGAGCCCTCCGGAGGGCTCCCGTGCTCGGGCGAGTGTCTGCAGCCTTGCGCGCCCGGCAGGAGGTCCCGCCCGGCGCGCAAGGCTTGGGGCTGCAGCTGTCGCCCGAGCACGGGGAGCCCTCCGGAGGGCTCCCGTGCTTCGGGCGAGTGTCTGCAAGCCTTGCGCGCCCGGCAGGTGGTCCCGCCCGGCGCGCAAGGCTCGGGGCTGCAGCTTGTCGCCAAGCACGGGAGCCCTCCGGAGGGCTCCCCGTGCTTCGGGCGAGTGTCTGCAAGCCTTGCGCGCCCGGCAGGAGGTCCCGCCCGGCGCGCAAGGCTTGGGGCTGCAGCTTGTCGCCCGAAGCACGGGAGCCCTCCGGAGGGCTCCCTGCTTCGGGCGAGTGTCTGCAAGCCTTGCGCGCCCGGCAGGAGGTCCCGCCCGGCGCGCAAGGCTTGGGCTGCAGCATGTCGCCCGAAGCACGGGAGCCCTCCGGAGGGCTCCCCGTGCTCGGGCGAGTGTCTGCAAGCCTTGCGCGCCCGGCAGGAGGTCCGCCGGCGCGCAAGGCTTGGGGCGGCAGCCGCGGGGGGAATAATTTTTTATTCATTTCCCCCCCCAAAAAACAAGGTGCGTCCTATGGACCGGTGCGTCCTATAGAACGAAAAATACGGTAATAATATTAAAAATATAAATAAATAAATAAATATTAAAATTAAAATAAAATAAAATAATTAGTGATGAAATAAATAGTAGGCGCATTTTACTAGTGCACAGAGCAGCTCCTGGTTATTCTGGGCTGTGTTTCCTTTGCTGAATCATTTGCTCCAAATTCTTCAGGTCGGGCATTGTTTTCTTTATCGGAGAAGACTAAGGCAAAGAAGGCATTGAGGAGTTCAGCCCTTTCTGTGTCCCCTGTTTGCATTTCACCATCTTCTCCTCTGAGTGACCCCACTGTTTCTTTGTTCTTCCTTTTGCTACGAACATACCCATAAAAGCCTTTTTTGTTGCTTTTAACCTCTCTGGCAAGCCTGAGTTCATTCTGTGCTTTAGCTTTTCTGACTTTCCAGTTCGCAGGTGTGGAGACTGATCTTAGGGGCACGTTATGTGTTTTTGTTATAAAGTCAGCAGTTTCACATTTGAGTTCTTTAAGAACTCTCAAGTGATGGCTACCTGGATGCAATGATTTGTCAGCTTTTATTTTGACAAAAGGACATTGAACGTCATCTCTTGACGTCACTATTTGCCTCAGTTTCTCAGACTCCCTTGCTGTGAAAGTTAGGCACAGGGATGTGCCTTATAAGTGAAGACAAATGCAAAGAATTAATTCAGCTTACTTCATAAAGTTCACTAAGGATAGTGGTCGATCCACCATTCTGAACAGATGGGAATCAACTTTACCCCAAGTGTCTAAGTGGAGATGGCTAATTTAATGGAGTTGTGCTTAGAGACTGGGGCAATTGTTCCACAACCCCATGGAGTATTATGAAATCAATATTTGCCTTCATATCACAGGGCTGATGAGTCTCCTCTTGAGCTAAAATCAATGATCCAATGCAAGGACTAGATGTTAACTGAGGCCAAGCAGTAAAACTGAAAAGCTCTGCAAGGCTCATCATCAACTTGGTAAAATTGTTAGGTGCACTGATTTGTTTAATAAAGTATCAAATTATTCTGAGAGAAATGGTGTACGTGTGTGTGTGTGCATGTGTGCTTGTGCTTATTTCACATTTGTTCCAGTTATTCATTTTCTGAAACACCTTGCATACTATGGAGCTTCAGCCAAGAGTATGAATTCTTCATTAGTATGTAGAATGGAAAGGCCATCAGCTTTGGAGGCAGGGTGTCAAAGCAGGGTGAACTATTGTTATTTTTTAATTGCTTTAGAATTTAGATATGCTTTTATTTTTATTCTACGTTTCCGTTACCTTGTGAATAGCAGAAACTTATGCATGTATATTCAGTAGCAAGTCCCACTGAAACCTCTCAAGTAACTCTGTAATTCTATACACACTTAGCTGAGAGGATGAGGAATATTTGTGGACAGATATACATAGGACCTCTCTATTACATTTCAGTGGAAATTACTCTCAGGTACGTATGGCTGCAGCCTTAATGCCAGCTACACACACACACACACACACCACTAGCCTACTTTAAAATGAAATCTGAGTTTAATGCAAATAAATACGTTAAATATTTACATTAATAATCTCAGAAAAATTCAATTGATAACTTTCTGTGAAACACATTGAATTAAAGGTCGAATAAGCAGGACAGGAGCGCAACAGAACTTTCTGATTTGGGATTCTCAGCAACTGGCATTCAGAGACATATTGTCTCTGACACTGGAGCTAGTACTTAGCCAACATGACTAATAGCCATTGATAGCCTTTTCATGGATTTGTCTAATCCACTTTTAAAGCCAACTGAGTAGATGGCCAACTCATCTGGCATTTATTCCTATACCATGGAGGAAAACTGATTTGCCCAATAACCATCAGCCCTTGCTTCTGGAAAGTTTACAGTTTCAAAGGCAGTTTGCCAAGTGATGGGGAAAGTTGCGTTGTTTGGGGCAAAGAAACTTAAAACTCCTCTGTGCTCTCTGAACTAGTTTTACTCAGGATCCTAGCCTTAGCCTTCAAGCAAATCATCTGGCTTAGTCTGCTCTCATGTGGACAGGAAAAGCCAAGCTAAAATCTGTGAATTTCACAACAGATCCCCTTGTATCTAAATTGTAGGTACTGTATATATTCTGTAGTACATGTAGCCTCACAGTTTAGGGTTTTGGATTATACTCCTAGGTAGTATGAATCATTTATTTAATTGCAAACCAATGCTTTAATTAATATCGCATCAAAATGAACTATCAAACTTACTACTTCTTCATCAAAGCTACCAGACCTTTGCTCCAAGGTCCTCATCAACCTCATGACCTCATCAACCAAAGCACAGAAATAGCCTTCTTATGTTCATATGGGTTTTAATCCATGCATTGGTTGGCAAACTAATGTGCAGGGGGGAAACAAACAATGAGGTTGGAACACAAACAAACACAAGTAGTCCCAACAGGGTAATTGAGCTCTTCCTGTTTATTGTTAGTATCAGTGGCGTGTGAGACTGGCTGGCCTTTGGGATACAGGAGAAACCAAAACTGCTGATGAGTTTCATTGCCATCAGAGGCATGGAAATTTCATGCTGCCCAACAATTTGGTCCAAAAAGGACATCATAAAGCAATGAGGAAGTTGAGTATGGCATGTTCCGTCCTCGCCTAATCTTGGCACATACTTATTAGTATTATTTCTTTAAGGTTAGCATAGTATTGAAGGTAAAGGAAAGGAGACAGACTGCCTGCAAGCTCATAATTTTGAGGTATGAACACTCACTGTTTCCACAGTCTCCTCCCTCCAACTTCTTTGACTGATCAATCTCACTGAGTTGGTGGCTGGAACTGAAAACTAAGATTCATTCATGAAGGAAAGGATCCATTCAAAAAAGACTCCTTCTCTCCTCAAAGAGCACGGCCACATCAAGTGGGTAGAGAAAAACTCCAAGCTTGTTATTTGATCATGACTATGCCTCTGCCTAGGTTCAAGTCAAGCATACATCTTCATTCTGTATCTTCTTTGTAGCAATTAATAAGTGCACCGGAGAAAGATAGAGATGTTGTTTTCTACATATATATTTTTTCTTCTCCCATGGCCTGTTCATTTTAATCACTGAGCTTATTTTCTCATCCTCCTGCAGATAATTGCTTTTGCCTCACTTTTTTTCATTCTGGCGTCCATAACAACCTTTTGCCTGGAGACGCACGAAGCCTTCATCATAGATGTTAACGTGACTGAAACGCTGGTGACGGGCAACACAACCGAGACCTTTGTGATGCGAAAGCTGGAGACGGAACCCATCCTCACCTATGTTGAGGGAGTCTGTGTCCTGTGGTTCACTCTGGAGTTCCTAGTGCGCATTGTTTGCTGCCCAGATAAATTGGTCTTCATCAAGAACCTTCTTAACATCATAGACTTTGTAGCCATCTTGCCCTTCTATTTGGAGGTGGGACTCAGCGGCCTATCATCCAAAGCTGCACGGGATGTGCTGGGCTTCCTGAGGGTAGTACGTTTTGTTCGGATCCTGCGGATCTTCAAGTTGACACGCCATTTTGTGGGGCTTCGGGTACTGGGCCATACACTTCGGGCCAGTACCAATGAGTTCCTCCTCCTTATCATCTTCTTGGCTCTGGGGGTTTTGATCTTTGCCACCATGATTTACTACGCTGAAAGGATTGGAGCCAAGCCATCTGATCCGAGTGGAAGTGAGCACACCCACTTTAAGAATATTCCCATTGGATTCTGGTGGGCAGTGGTGACCATGACCACATTGGGCTATGGCGACATGTACCCCAAAACCTGGTCGGGCATGCTGGTGGGGGCTCTTTGTGCACTGGCAGGGGTGCTTACCATTGCCATGCCTGTCCCAGTTATTGTCAACAATTTTGGAATGTATTATTCATTGGCGATGGCCAAGCAGAAGCTGCCAAAGAAGAAGAAGAAGCACATACCTCGCCCAGCGCCACTTGACTCACCAACATACTGCAAGTCAGAAGGCAACTCGCCCCGCAACAGCATTCAGAGTTACAACAGCCCTCCGGCAGCTGCAACGGCAGGGGTGATGGAGAGAAAAAGATCAGGTGAGGTGCAAGATCTTGGGCTGAACTAAAGCCAGAGAGAGAAAAATTGGTGGTAGGAGACTGGGAGCAGCTAAACACCTTGCAGAGACTAAACAGGCAGATTCTCCATCATGTATGTTCCTCCATTAGGCCGCTCATCTCATTATGCTGAATTCATAGTTAAAACAGAGGTTGGCTTTGAACAATTCTCTCAGCACGTCCCTCTATTAGATGTTCCCTTTTGTGTTTATGGATCAGGGTAATTGGATATGTTTAGCCAAAGCTTCTGACTTGGTCAACATGTCGGCATGGTCTCATTGTACCAGCTAGATCTTGAGCCAAATTCTCTACTTTGATGTAAATGAGAAGTAGCTTTATTCAATGAATGACTTTGTTCTCAATATCTAATGGCTCCATGTAGCGTCAAAATTAGCAAGTGTTTGCTGTGGGGGACAGAGATGCATTATGATCAATGATCAAAGACATTATGATACATTTTTACCAATGGCCTGCTTCCACTATTTATTTAATAAATTTATTTTATTAATTAGTTAAATTTCTATACTGCCCTTCATCTAAGGATCAGAGGGCGGTTTACAATATAAAAAACCAAAAATATGTAACATAGTAACAAACAAAAACAATAACCCTGCCCCCGTAGTTTAAAAGGCCATAGATTATTTAATTAGCTGAAGGCCTGAGAGAAGATATGCATCAAAGGCGCCAGGTGAGCCTCCCTTGGAGGAGCACTCCACAAACAGGGAGCCACCACAGAAAAGGCCCATTCTCAATTGGAGGAGACACATGAAGAAGGGCTAATCTTCCAAGTGTCAAATCACCAACAGAGATCCCTGAACTGCTGAAGAGAGTGAATCCTCAGCAAAACTACTCTCATATCTCAGTGTCCAAAGCCACTCATTATCATGTGAAACACAAGGAAAAAATACCTTACATAGATCACTGCAAGGGGCAGCGTTGGCATTCCTCTCTCAGGGGAGTTGCGCAAGCTTCTCCTTTGGACATTACATCAAGGATGTTCTCCTTTTTGAACCTGTGGGGACCCTGATCTGGATCATGTCCTGATGGCAGGGGCAGAGGGGGGAGCTAAGCTGTTCCCTTTATGCTATTTTCCAATGGAAAATCACCCCCTCCCAGCTGCTATTTGTCCCCCAAAGCTGCTATTTGCTGCTGTTAATAGTGCAGAAAGATTCCACAGGGAAACAGTGGGGGGGGGAGGCATAACAATCCCCTGTTCATGGTACTTCCCACAACTGCTTTGAACCATGGGATTCAAATAGGTTAAGAAGTTTGCGCAGTTTGACCATGTAAAAGCAAAAGAAGATGCATGGTCTCTTGCCCATCAACTTCCAATATCGTGATCCATTTGACCTTTTCTGCAGCAACAAGTATTGATAATGGGTGCTCTTCAGCACCCCAGAGTCAGCCAAGAAGCCCTTGATATGTGTCATGCGTGTGGGAAGCTTGTGAACATGACAGGCAGGTGATTTGTTTCTGATTGTTGCAGTGCTTTCCCCTTTCAGCAGCTGGCACTTGTTGTTAAGCGAGGCACAGTTGCTGCCCAGGGCTGTGGCTCTCTAAGGGATTCCTCTTGCAGGCTCCTGTCTAGCAGTCGGAAGTGCTCTGGGACCTCTGTGACAATCCTAAGTGTACAGCACCACTTAAAGGGGATGAGAGAAAGAGAGCTTGAGAGAGAGAGAGCTTGAGAGAGGGAGAGGGAGAGAGAGAGCTTTATTGTCCTTTGCCACAACAGAGGCAAGAATTTGCATGCAAGAGCCTTCCAGTAAATGAATCCTAGAGAAACTGAGGTGGACATGTGCCCATGCATGAATGGAACTCAGAAGAGCATTGATAACAGTAGAACTGGAGCATCTTACACCCGCTGAGGATCTGCCTTGAATGGATTCTCTCTAGATTTAGTAATAACAAAGGGCTTTCAGACACGGGTCTCAGGAGGATGTCCTTGGCTCACCCTCCACATCACTGCTAGCAGGAAGCCAGCCTTTCAATTTTGTTCTTAAGATTTCCCACCTTGTTAGTGGCCAGATAATGCTTTTAGGCTGGCCTGTCAAAGAGGCTCAATGGCAGGCTGATTGGAGCCATTCTCAATTGCCAGTCTTGCCACCCGGATGAAGGAAGCTGTCCGGATATGCAAGCTCTGTTATTGGCAGAAAGTTGGACCAGGTATGACATAACTGGCACTAACTGGCCTTCTTGAGGAATCCAAGAATGTCAGAGCATGGTAGTTGAGCAGCTCACATGGTTCCTTCAGACTGTGGCATTGGTATGAGGTAATGAGTAGCACACCTGTCTATGAACTGGAACAGGGCTGTAGGGACGGAATGTAATCAGAGGCATCTCATACGAGGCTTATCAAGTACCTGATACAGTAAGCTGCTTGCAGGAGACTCCAGTTTCTGTAGAAACCATAGAGCCATTGCCATAGCAGTAACATTTGCTATATTGGCAGGCAGTTTCTGCAAGTGCTCTCTCTTTCTGCAGACTTATGGGGAGGAATTTAATGTAGCACTCAGCAGATTGCTCCATCAGTGCAAGCATTTATAATTGCCTAATGGAACCATCTGCCCTCTCCTCTCCTTGTGCCCTATTCTGGGGGTTCTAAACCCACAAACCAATTGGGGATGTGGGGCATGTGAGGGCAGAGAAGGGTGGTGGGGGAGATGCCCCATTGTGCTAGTGGAAGCCATTGCATTATAGAGTCAAATCTTCCATATGCATTACATTTTCTATAGCATACAGTATTTGATAACAGTATTGGGGAGCATTTGGTATGGTATGTTTTGCAATGGCAAAAGAGCTGAATGCAGACCACCACTAACCCCAAATCTGAAAGACAAGAATTTGATCCTAGATTGTATTGGAAGCATCCCAGGATCATGGCCGGACCATCAGATGGTATAAACTTGAAGGGAGATGGCAGGAGAAGAACGACTGCCTTGTCTCCCACAGCACTGAGGGACTTAAAGTACATGACTGAGTTGCAACTTGGTAGGTCTAACCTGTGCTGCCCATGTAGTCTCCACACTATGGCTGCTGCTTTAGCATCAAGAGAGCATTACCCTTCCCCACTCCCCTCCATACTGTGCAGCTGCCAGGTATGCCTCATCTTCTCCAAGGACCTTTGCCGTTGCGCTAATGTCCAGTTTGCATCTTCTCAGAGGCATCCTGTCAGCCACTGTGAGAACAGGATGCTGAACTAGATGGACCACTGGCCTGATCTAGCAGTCTCACCTTATGTCTACCTGCTTGCACAACAAAAACCTGCTTTTGTAATGGGACTTGTGGCTTCTCTTCTACCCCTACAGACCCTTGCACATACCCCCAAATCTGCACCAGAGCCCCCCACCTTGAGCAGATTTTGTGGGAACCTGGGAGAGAAGTGCAGGGGACAAAAGGAAGGAGAAGCCCTGCTGCAAGCATGGATGTGCTGATTATGCTATGTTGGCTCTCTCAGTAGCACATGCCTAACATTTTCCAGCAAAGTGAAGATTTACTTCAGATTCACTGCCTCTACAGAACTCCTCAGTTTGCAGGGTGGGCAGTGAAAGAAGAGCTGAGGGACAAAAGCCTCCCCACCCCAATTTATTGCATTTATATCCCACATTTTTCTCCAAGGAGCTTGAGGTGGTGTACATAGTTCTCCCTCAGTTAAATCCCACAGCAATGCTGTGAGATAGGTTGTGAGGCAGTGACTGGCCCAAGGTCACCCAGTCAGCTTTATGGCTGAATGGGGATTTGAACCCTAGTCTCCCAGCTCCTAGTCCGACACTAACCACTAGGCATGCCCGCCCATTGCTTCACACACTGTGGGGAGCGAACTCTCACTGAGCCTGCCAGAAGGTTTTCCAGAACCTTCTGTGTTTTTTGCTTCTTTGCCAAGCAGCTACAGATTCAGTCTCCTCCCCCCGAAACACTTACCTCTTTGCCTATTCTTTCTCCTTTCCAAGATACCAAGCAGAACGGCGATGCCAACGTGGTGCTGTCAGACGAGGAGCAGCCTCTTTCGCCGCCTCACGAGGAGAACCAGCCCATGAGGCGCTCCAGTACCAGGGACAAAAACAAGAAAGCAGCTACCTGCTTTCTTCTGAGTGCTGGAGATTTCTCTTCCACTGCTGATGGTGGCATCCGGAAAGGTATGAAGGAGACCTAGAGGCAAGCACCGGTGGATGGAGGGGAGGTTGTGGACGAAAGAAACATGAGGCAGGAATCCCAGCTGGGCGGCTTTGCAGTCTTTGTCACAGCTGAAAAGGGAAGAAAATACTGCTTTTTAAAGCCCACAGCCCTTCATGCTCTTTTCCTGCCTGTGATAGAGTTGCCAGGTTGGGACCTAGAGGACATTTATATAAGTCTCCCAGTGAAGCAGTAAACAAAGGTCGCATCCACCCCATGTATTTAACCACTTTAGCAGTCACAGCGTACCTCCAAAAGCACCCTGGGACCTGTAATTTGCTAAGTGTGCTGGGAATTGTAGCTTTGTGAGGGGTCTCCTCTCAGCACCCTTCATGAACTGCAGTTCCCAGGATGTCTTGGGGGGGAGGCACATCTGTTAAAATGTCCTAAGAGTGCTTCAGAAAATGGCATGGATGTGACCAGGGCAGCCGTGACATCTCCTTCCCTCTACCTTCTTGGTCCTGTCAACAACCCTCCTCTGACATCTGCTGTGGCAAGCAAGACTCCAGGTATGGTTGGGAAGAGGATGGAGGGCAAGATCAGGGAGGTAATGCATGAGAGAAGCTGTAGCTGCCTTGCCCCTCATGGCAACAAGAGATTTCAAGGCATATGAACACTCGGGCTGCGGCTCCCTTTGCCCACAAGAAGCAATACTCTCCTCTTACATTCATGTAGCTCATCAGAACTATCTTTAACCAAAGCCACACCTGGTTTGTGCTTCTGTTCCATCTCCAACCATTTAGGCTATGTAACTCATGTCTTTGGAGCAGATTTGTCAAGGTGTTCAGGTTGGGTTTCATAACCTTCCATCCCACCACCTCCTTTCTTTCAATTTTCATCAGACTTTGAGCGTGGCTGTATTTGATTTTACTCTTCTTCATTTCTTCATCCATCTGCCCCACCATATGTCTACACCAGAGCCCCTCTAGAGATGGTCCTTCACAGTTTCTTTCCTCATGGTTTGTTGCCCCTTGTTCTTCCTTGATGTCGCTTTAACTACTCTTTGTGCAATGCTTGCCTCTGTGTGCTTCCTCCTCTTTGACCGTAGGCTGTTATTTTGGTTAATAGCTATTTTACATGCGGAAAAGGCCCAAATAACACCTATGTACTCTTACATTTGCATTGAAGTGTGAAAAAATATCAGGTTGCACACAGCCTCCATCTCTGAGGGAATATAGAAACCGTTGGAGCTGTATAATGTCATGAAAAACAAACAAATAAAATGAGGTGTCTGCTTGTAGGGCAGAGTACGTGGATGCATAGGTAGAAAGAAGAGAAACAGTGAAAATGGAGGAGAAATGAGACAATAGGGTGAGGACATTGAGAGCGAGAGATACATACCCACAAATATAGGCAATAGTTCTGGAAAGTGAGTAGCTGCTTAACTGTGGTGTCAAATTTCACATGGGGGGGGTAGGATCCTTAGAATTGTTACATTAACCACAACATTTCCAGATCCGCCAAGCGTCTCCATTTTCCAGGGACAGTCCAGAATTTACAGAAGCCACCCCGGTTTCTGATCTGATCCCAGAATATCTTGCTTCTCCTTAGAATGTCCCTATTTTCATAGGAGAAATGTTGGAGGGTCTGGAGTTATCTAACCCCCAAGCCATTCGAAGGGCAGTTTCTTGCATCTGTCCCTTACATCTTTCTTTCAGATTTGCCTTTGCATAGAGACTCAGGTTAAATGCATTTATCTGATTCCCTTCCACTTTATCTATTAAGCCCATCTACCTGTTTAGTTAACTTCCTTCACTCTGCTCTATTTATGCCTGCCAGCCTTTATTCCAAATGGCTTTTTAATATCCCATCCTAGCAATAAAGGCATATTTTTCTCTGATTTACAACTCTTGTCCTTGTTAATATCCTATGAGTTCAGAGCATTTGAGCTCTGATTTACACTAGCAAGCATACGAGGAGAACAGTGGGTAGATTTTTAAAAAAGAGAAGCAGTTCACAGTAACTAGCCTGAGTAAGTTTATTGATTTCAATAACACCAGCAGTCAGCAGCTATTGGCAGTACTTTTAAGACAGACACAGTTGAGAAAACATAATCAAATAAGGCTGAGTCATTAGTATGAGCAGTTTTGCTGGCTCTTTGCCTCTTTGTTGAGAACTGAAAAGCAAGCCATAGCTCAAGGACAGGGAGCCTGTGGCCCTGTTCTTGTTGCTAGACTGCAGCTCCCATCTTCCCTGATCATTGGCCAAGTCCAACAACCACTGGGCCCCCCCACAACTTTCCCCTCCCTACCCCAGCCGCTTAGATTTGAAGCCTTGTCAACACACAGCAGCAGTCATACCCTGGGGAATGGCTTCAACCAGCCAGCTAAGCCAGGTGTTGGTAGCCAATGGGTCTCAAACCCTTGGTAAGTTAGGGACTTCCTCTGCATGCAAAGAAAGGCTCCAGCAGATGGAGCAGACAAGACCAATAGTGGGAGGCAAGATGGGACTTGTCCACCTTGGAAGGTTGTTCATCTCGGACAGTGGTTCTCAACCTGTGGGTCCCCAAATGTTGTTGGACTACAACTCCCATCATCACTGAGCTCAACCCACAGGTTGAGAAAGGCTGATATAGGAGAAGGAAAGCTCTGACCCTAAACCTCCACTGCCTTGCAGATCATCTTTAAGAAAAGGCTAAGGAGCAAACCCTTCACAAATCTGGAGTGGGATCACCAGATACTGTTTCACTATCTGCTCATCCCTGTCTCCAAATCTGCAGGTCAGCCTGTCCTGTTCCTGTCTGACCTATGAAATTGACAGGGACCAGCATGGGGTATGTAGTCTTCAGAGGTAGCATCCCACAGTGAACACTTGGACTTGTCCCAAGAGGAAAGGATAGGTGTCTGTCTCAAGAAACATCTAGCTGCATTCTCCAGTGCTCAACTGGGGACATGAGAAGCTGGTACTGGTGCCAACTACCTGCAAAGAAGTAGCAGAGGAGTTTCCATGCTTTCATAGCATGGTGAAGTGAGCATCAACAAGGTTGCAACGATACTTTCATTTGGGACTGGTATCTAGATGGGGACTAAGAAGGGTATTTTGAGCAGGCTATTTAGATCATATGTTTCTATTGCTAGCTTATAACAGTCTAGTTGCCCCTACTCATCAACTGGAAAGGCCCTAACTATGGGATTTGTGGATTTTATATATTAACTCTCTCTCTCTCTCTCTATATATATATATAGAGAGAGAGAGAGAGAGTTACAAATTAATTATATATTATATATTAACTATATTTAAAATGCAGATGAGCAAACCACATATGAGATATTTACATTTGATATACAATGTAAATCACACCTTTGTTTCTGTGAATGTACTGGGTCTCTGTTGCAAGAAAGGATCATTTAAAAGCATACTGAGGGTCTTGGATTCAGTCCATGATGGGTCTCCTGTGCTTGTAAATAGTTCTGCAGAACCAGGAGTTATATTGGGTGCTGCTTCTTACAACAGCAGAAGACTGTGGGCTGCTATTGATTCTGGCAGTCCTCAGCTGAGCTCCATGGTGTATGTCTAAGTGCACATACATGGATGTGGAAGTGAGTAATTGATCATGAGGCAATGCAACTCATTTCATGTCTCTTTCTCCAGCATTAACGTATGCCCATAAATCTGTGTGCTTCTGTGCGATGAGTGCCTGCACGCCAAACCTATGAAGTATTGTGATACCAAAGAATGATCTCAGCTCCCTTCCTGGTGGCCCAGATCTCTTTGTGAAATGCCTTCACGCAGTTCCCTGGCAACAAACAAAACCCATTTTTAACCACTTAGGGTGACTTCAACCAGTGTCTGTGTGCATTGCTGGGAAAGCTGCCTGTCTAGTTAAGCTGCACTCATAGCAATTAGCAGAGCAAACAAAGCAACAACAAAAACACCTTCTCACAACCATCTATTGCTTGGCAAATTTTCTTATAGTTGTTTCAGAAGTAGCTCTGGATCATGTGCTTTTTTGATATCAGTTGTCTATGTGTGGACAGGAGTTTCACTTGCTCCTTCTTGACACAGATATCAAGAGAGAAAATGCAAATAAGTGCAGTCTGGTACAGTACAATTGTATTCCAACACCATACTGCTTTTTTGGTTCTGGCATTTCCAGGTCGATGCAGGTTGGTTGTGCATTAGAGCCATGGAATCATAGAATTGGAAGGGACCCAAGGGTCATCTAGTCCTACCTCCTGCAATGCAGGAATTTCAGCTAAAGCATCCATGTCAGAAGGCCATCCAACGTCTGCTTAAAAACCTCCAAGGAAGGAGAGTCCACCACCTCTTGTGGGAGTCTGTTCCACTGTGGAACAGCTCTTACTATCAGAAAGTTCTTCTTGATGTTTAGTTGGACTCTCCTGTCTTGAAACTTGAATCCATGGGTCCCTCAACCATTCCTCATAAGGCTTGTTTTCCAGACCCGTTATCATCTTGGTTGCCCTCCTCTGCACACATTCCAGCTTGTCAATCTTCTCCTTAAACGGGACACAGTATTCCAGGTGTGGTCTATTACTTCCTTTGACTGGGACACTATACTTCTATTGATGCATCCTAGAATAGCATAGCATTTGCGCTTTTTTTTTTTTTGCTTTTTTTTGCTGCTGCTGCATCACATTGTTGAATTGTGTTAAGTTTGTAGTCTTCCAAGGGCCCTGGATCCCTTTCACATGTACTACTGGCAAGGTGTCCCTCATCTTGTATTTGTGCAGCTGGTTCTTCCTGCCTAAGTGCAGAACCTGACATTTGTCCCTATTGAAATTCATTTTGTTAGTTTTGTTAGTTTGATGGCATCCATTTCAAAACTAGGTCACACCATGGAAACAGCACAACTGCAAGCACAGTCTGAAGCAGGACTGGGAAACCTGTGTCCCTCCAGATGTTGTTGAACTACAACTCCCATCATCCCTGATCGTTGGCCAGGCTGATGGGTGATGGGAGTTGGAGTCCAGAGCATCTAGAGGACCACAAACCCCCCACCCCTGGGTCCAAAGGCTTGTGGAGATGTAACAATGACAGTGGCTGGTGTATGCCAGCATAAGGCATACAATTTGAAGTGAGCCTATTTTTTAAAAAAGGATAGCTGTCTTTTCAAAACACCTGCTCCATTTGCTTCCCACGCTAACAGTTTAGCTTATGAAAGCTGAACTTATGCCATAGGGAGCTATTGTTTGGACACAGCTTTAGGCACAAAAATTGAGCTGCCAACCTTTTATTCTGATTATTACTTCCCATCTATGCTGTGTAAAATGGAAATGCCTGAGAGGCTGGGCTCTGTCATGCTACATCCCCTCCTTCTAAACCCTCCATCTTCCCCCAATGGTCTCTTTGCCCATCCTCCTCTCCTGCCTACTCTCAAACAAACACACAAATATTTTACTGCTGATACTTATTACCATTGCAAGGTACAGTATAGACACAATCAACCTGCAGGATACTTAAGGCTGCCCCAGGGCAGACAGGTGAGAAGGTGGCACAAGGGATGCCTCTGCTTCTGCAGCCTTGCAATGGTAGTCAAACCTGCTGCCCTCGTGATGCCTCTTTGCTACCTCATACAATCCTAGAGCTGGAAGGGAGCCTGAGGATCATATAGTCCAAGCCCTTGCAGTGCAGGAATACACAGCAGTCAGGGATTGAACCTGCAACCTTGGCATTGTCAGCAACATGCTCTAACCAACTGAGCTATCCTGTTATCTTGGACTGCAACTCCCACCAACCTCAGTTAGCATGGACATGTTGGCTGCGGCTTATGGGAGCTTTAGTCCAAAGCACTTGGAGGGAACCATGTTGGTGCAGACTGATCAAGGATTTCTAGATGGCCTGAGCTAGAAGATTCCTCAGCTTCTGCTTTCTAGCTGCACACATCTCTTTAACATCAAATGGAAATCATTCTCGGATGTGGCTGAGCTTCCTGTTTCTGAAACTTGAGGAAGGTGAAAGATAAAATGCAGAGACTTCCATCAGCTTGTAATTCCTGTGCTTTGGTAGCTCTGAATGAACTCTGCACTACACCAGTGAATAATCCGCTGCTTACATCCGGCAGGTTTGTCAGGCACTTGTTCCATAGGGGCATACTTGGCACTTGTGCAATTTTTAAAAATTACCATAAGTGTATTCATTTACCTATTAAGCTTGCCATTCTCAACACTTTGTGAGTCATGCAGTAAATATGCTTAATACCACACACTCTGTTCATTGGAGAGAAATAGGATTCAGCTGATCAGAGAAATGATACATGCTTCTTGTCATCACTCTGCTGTATCTGAGAAGAATATCATTATTTGTAATCGGCTCAGCTGCATAGCACCCCGATGTGGAATAAGGCCAATTCTGCAAGTCAGAAGTCACACAAGCATGCATTTGAGGGATTGGGTGCACTACAAGTGATCAAATCCAAAGGAGGGTGTGGCATTTGGAACCTTAACAGTTATGTAGACGAGGGAATTTTAGCAGACACAACTATTCTCAGCCCTGCAGGTCAAGTTGCACTTGCTGAAATGCTATCAAGGTACACTCAGGGCTTTCTCACCCATTGGACAAAAACGGTCCACCACAGGTGTGCACAAGAGTCCAATCTGATCAGATGTGGGAGCTGAAATAGCATCCTTGATTAATTTAATTTAATTTTAATATAATTGTAGGAGGTGTAGTTTGCCCAATCATATTTAAATAATCACCTGTCAGCTTTGTTAATTCCTTCTGTTTTGTTATGACACCATCATTTTGGATATTTTCACTAGGTTTTTTTAAAGCACCACTGAGTTGAATCAGCAAATGTTTTTTTACCCTTGCTGAAATTTGTTTTCTTTTTTATTGGTTTCTACATTTCCATCTTTTGCTCATCCAAAAGGAATGGCTTAAAATGGAGGGCTGCATAAAACCCAAATAATCTATATACAGGAGCCTTATTCTGCTTCACATCTCATCACCCTCATTGCTCTTGTACACTGTGGGTCTCCTCTGTGACCAGTGGGGGCGGTACAGACTTCCAGCTCTTGGTATGTAGATGCTTCTGTAGATGCCCAGTTGAGGCAAGGCATTTAGATCATGCTGCTTGCACTTTCATCTGGGTGCAGTAGTACAGAACTGATGCCCAAATGAACAATGCTGTGGACAACCCTGTGGATTGAAACATTTGGTAGCTGGTTAGCCAGAACTTTTCGCCATTTGGACATAACTCAGTAACATGAAAAGAAAAGGGTGCCGCTCAGTGAAAATCCCCTTGACTTTGGAACTTAAACAAAAATCAGTGCAACTTGAAGCTCCTGTCCAGTGCCCTGGCTTTTTAAATGCTGAACATGCATAAACAAACCCCTATGCACTTTTACACACCCTCATTTCTATTAGCTGCCTTCCTACCTGCCATACCTGTGAGTTGAAAAATAGCTTTTGAGCAAGTTGCGGGGCTGGGAGGTATCCAACTTTCAGTAGTATTTAACTAAGGTGTTCCATCAGTACAAAGATTTTCCCTTGTGCAATGGAACTTCTCTCCTCTTCCCCCTGCCCCATCCATAGATCTGCACTGGAGGGTTTGGGGAACCCCAAAACAGATTTAGGAGACCTATGGAGGCAGTAGAGAGGGCAAAGTTCTGTTGCACAAGCAGAAATCCTTGTGCTGATGGGAGTCTTTCTTAGTGCTACTTTGGACAAAGTCCTTAGTTTCATTATGTCTTGTTTTTATATGGGGCAGTCTATTAACATAGCAAAAATGAAAATTCCCTGCTCCCCCAGAAGCTTACATCTCAACAGTTAGGGAGGACGACAAAGGAAGCAACCAGTTGTGTTTTGTTAGAGCACCTCTGCACAACTCACAATTCCCACCCCCAAAGTCCACCACAGACCTCCAGCTTTATATTGTGGCCTATTGGGTGCATAAAACACCTCTGCTTTTGCAGTCCCAGACAGGCAATGAAAGCAGGGAGGAAGGGGGAACCTAGAAAGCTTATCAAGGGCCTGGTACACAGTGGTGGTTTTGTGGTCTGACATTTTGTGAAGCTGGGCTGCTGCATATGTTGCTTGATAGGTTTTTGCCAACTTGTAGAAAATTGCTGCTTAGTGTCATTTAAATGCAGGCTTCTAGCTCCCCATAGATGAGTTGCAATTATCTGTTAATATAGCAGTCAAGGGTAAAATGAGGTGTGTGTGTCTGCCCTGAGGACCAGGGGTTTAGCACAGTCACAAGCAGCTTATTCGTTACTGATGAGACAGCTGTGGCCTTTGTCAGGCAGGAAGTCCAATTAAATTACCCCAATGAGCCTTCTCCTTCACCATTCCACTTCTGTGCTTGTATGAGGTGCTTGCAGGAAACCTGGAAAGGACACTGGGATTGAAAAGTATGTGGAAAATATTTTCATGGTTGTTTTCACAGGGTCTTTGGCACTGAACAAAAGAATGGGAGCACCCAAGTGGGTTTAGGAGCCATAATTGGGCGATACATAGCCAGGTGGCTTCTGTTATTGGCTTTCTGGTGTTAGATAGCCGGGGGTCTGAATCTGATTTCTGTTTGAACCAAGGACAAGCCTGTTGCTATTTGACATGGAAAATCCTCTGTGGACCAAGCATTCCTAATCAGCAAGGATAATATTGTTTCAGGCAGCGCTTATTAGAACTGACATGCAGCTCTGCTATGCAATTTTTAGACTTGGCATTATGCAACTTGGTATATAAGGCATGACTAATAGCCCTGCTGCTGTGAGAACAAAAACCAGAATTAGGGAGTGAGATACCAAGAGGCTTATTGGAAGCCTCCTCGCTGTTGATAAATCAATAGGTCTTGCTCCCACCCTGCCCTGCTCTCCTTCTCAAGCACATAACATGTGGGGTCTGTCTGTAATATCCACACAATGTCAGTGCAAAATGTTCCCTAGAATGAGCCTCCCCAAAGAGACACAGTGAGAGGAAAATTTCAAGTTAAGAAGAAACTTCCATGGAATAAAATGGAAGGCCAGAGGCACAGAGTTAAAGCCACAAAAGAGGGATTACACAACCCCCATTCCCTCATCATTGTCTTCTGGTGAAGGCTGCAATTTTAAGTTTATTGATCTGAAATGTTTTCCCCTAACACCAACGCACAAAGGTGAAGAAAGACTCAAGTGATCAAGATGTGGCCTCAAGGGGTTGCCAGACTACAACCCAGAGAACGAGCAATTACCATTAAATGTAGAGATCAAGTGAAAGACAGTGGTTGATCTTACGTTCCTCCCTTGTTGCCTTTCACTCTTCCCCCACCCCACTTACAGCACCAACCAGGACTACATGGATACCCCATAGGAGGCTGTGGAGTGGGGAGGGCCAGCAAAAGCCAGCAGAATCTGCAGCCACCTCGCCTTCTAGTTGATTGATCAGTTTAAAGATAAATGTTTACTTTTCAGCTATCTGGCTGCCGTAGTCTTTGCTTGCTTTGGCATCACTGCGTGGTGCAGTCTTCACAGGACTGGCCAGTGCACAACAATCCATCACGTGTTAGACATGTGACTCAGTTTCACTGGGACCATCCGCCTTGGGTTTGCTTCTGTTTATTTTGGCAGGGACTCCTGTGCCTTTACCGGCTTTTAACCTCAACAGCCTTTCCTGGCATGAGAAAACTTAGTTGCCTGAATTGAGCTGAGAGCCCTGAATACTCCGCCTCTAGCTGATGTACAAAGTAAAAATGGCAAAAGTGGCATCTGCAGGTAGAGCACCTCACCACTGTCTTGCTAGTCTGAAAGCTCTAAATTGATCTTCAGGTTCACCTACTTTTATTGAGACTTATCAGGAAGGGGAGCAAGAAAGATGTTTGTTAGGCATGCTATGCTAAACCTGCTAATTTCAAACTTTGTGCAGACCACTGAACCCGAAAGGTATTTCCTTCCCTGCTAATTTAGATGGATTAGAGCTCATCCCTTGGGAAAGGCCACGCTCACCCGTGCAACTGCTGATCTCCTGACCCATCCCTGGGAACAGGATGCAGCTGCCTGCAACCAATCAGCTACAAATGTGTCAAGTGACTGAGGTTTGAATGCAGAGCAGTCCCAGAGGAGCTGACCTGGGAAAGCATCTTAAGCCCATAAAACAAGAAAGACGTGCTAGTTGGGAAGGTTAATACACTTCTGTACCAAGAAGGAAGTGCCTGTCCTTTGTGATGGAGTTATTCTTACACTACATAGAAAACTCTCCCAGATCAGTTCAAAGCAGGAAGTGGGCTCAGATTTGGTGCATACGCATACATGCATTCAGGGAAAACCTTGTGCGTAAGTGGCCTAACCCAATGACAGGGACCGTCTCCGGTTGGCTATAAAAGGAGACCAGACAAATTAATGGAGGATGAAGCTATTAGTCAAATGGTTGTATACTACCAACAGGCTCAGAGGCCAGTTGCTGGGGTTCATGAGCAGGAGAGTCTTGTTTGTGGGCTTCCCATAAGCACCAGGTCATCCACTGTGAAAAGAGGATGCTGGACTAGGTAGGCCTTTGATCTGATCTAGCCAGACTTATGCTGTCTGCCCTCCCAATTACTATAACTATTCTTCTTTTGAAGTTAAATTACTTGTGCGATTGCAACTGCCATTGCATGCAAGGGGATAATGTTGGAATTCTCCCTGCCTGCACTTTGATTGGGTCTGCTTGCTTTGCTTTTGCAAATCACGTTTCAGCTCACATTTAAAGGCAAGCCAACCTGATTTTGCACTTTACAAACACCGTGAAAACCAAAGGGCAGTCATCCTTTGAAATGTGCACTTCTCTGAATTTTGCAATGCAGTTCTCTGGCCAAGGAATGTGTACAAAAATGCATATTTTTACATGCTACCCCAATCTCTGAGCAATGCAAGATTCCAGGGGTTCCAGGAGCTTAAATGGGTTTGTGTTTCCTTCAAATTGTTTGGGTGAGGGTTTTATTACATTTTTTATAAACAGACTGGAGGAGGGGGATACCTACAATATTGTGTGTGGAAATTGCACAAGTGTCTCTTTTGCTACATGTACATTTGCTTGAAATTTGCATCTTGCAACAGCTTCCAAGCATGTGGCTAAAACTACATGTGTGCATTTTTCACACATGAAAACCTGTGGCCCTCCAGTTGTTACTGGATTACAACGTCCAGCATCCCTCACCATTGCCCGCGCTGGCTGAGGCTGATGGGAGTTGGAGTCTAATGTCATCTGGAGGGTCACAGTTTCCTCATCTCTGATTCACACTTTCCTCACTCTACCCTTGTAGGGAAAACATTGGGTGTGAAGCAGCCCTAGTATTTTGGAGTCTCGATATGTCAAATACTGAGTCTTCGCATCAGTGCTGTCATGGCTACTTAGACCTATGAATCCAGATAGCCAGCTGAGGTACCAAAAGAGCCTCTCTGTCCTGCTGAGTGAGGAGAGGTTCCTCTTCATTTTTATAAGCAACAGCAGAATTGCATGGGAAGCCTCTTTCCTGGTAGAGGCCCCAATAAGCTTGCAGCAAGTCCACACATTCATCACTTGATGGCTGCACACCACATGGTGCATTTTATGTGTGAAACAGCCATTGCAAATGAAACACCGTGGCAGAGACATCGGATCACAAACACCAGAATTTTTGATCCACGAAGTTCACACAGCCAGATGCAAATGAGAGTGTTAAGTCTTCAAGAGATGTGACATTAATGATGCATGGCTCAGTTAGTTAGAGGGTGCTAATAACACCAAGGTTGCAGGTTTGGAACAGCTGCATATTCCTGCCTTGCAGGGGGTTGGACTGAATGATCCTCAGGGTCCCTTCCAGCTCTACAGTTCTGTGATTCTTTGTGTGAATCTACCCATAGCTACTTCCGACTATGGCCAGATTAAAAGCCCATGAAAGCTTGAAGCAGAAGATACTCCATTAATGTTCATGTTCATGCACACGATTGCCGCTTTCACCCGGGTTTTGCTTAATGCCTCCCAAAAGAAGTATGACAGGCAAAATTCAGCAGAAGAAGCATTACCCAGCAAAAAGCTGCAATAATGGGGAGAGCAGCGCTTGCTGGATAGCTCTTATAAAGCTGTTAATGGCACACACTTACATCCATAAAAAGGGTTACGAACACACTGAAAGCTATTCTTCTCATAATTGACTGTGCTGTGATATCAGTAACAGAAGGATAACCATTAGTGGATTCCAAGCAAAGACTGGCCTGGCAATTAAGGCTGTGGATGAAAAATCCAGATATTGGCATTTAATTATTGACTGAATGCCATAAAAGCTTGGGCAAGCCACTCCATTTCTCTACACCTAAGTATCTGGCTTGTAAATTGAGGGGAATCCAGGCAATAATTTCTTCTCATCCAAATAGATTCTCTGCAAGAGGCATATTCTATCTATTACTGTCTGGTTTACAGTCATTCAGAAAAGGGAGGGTAGGAGCTGTTTGTTGTAAGCGTTTTCACTTTCAATTCTCGTACCTGAAATATGATGAGAAATAGTTGCCTCAAACAGGCCCTTTTACTAAAGATGTGCAAAATATTTCCATTTTGTTTGTTTATAGCATTGTCAAATATCAGAATTGTTTCAACATTTACTCTAAATATAAAAAAGCTATGAGGATGTTTTCAAAATTCCTATCAAAACACCACTCTGAAAGAACATGACAATTCTGTTCTATTGATGTCCCTTTGCTTTATATATCCAGCTCTACTACCTGACCAGGTCCTGCTAATATCTAATATAAGCTACTTCAAAACAATTATAATTAAAATAAATTCTCTCTCCTTCCTTCCTTCCTTCCTTCCTTCCTTCCTTCCTTCCTACAACTCCTGAATCAATGGTATAGAAACTAGACCAACAGTGATTATTGATTGATATGGGCATTGTATAATGAAATAGTCAGATGGGTAGAGCTGAAATATTCTGCTACTCAAAGTAAGGGCAATCTGCCCCCTCAGTTGGGATAATTGGGATACCTGCCTAGGATGTAATCTCAGGCTGTTTGTCCTGCATATTTTTAGTGGGCTCAGTCCAGGGGGCAAATCACAGCCTAACCAGAGTGCAGAATGCAGTGCTCAAGCCACAGAGGAATCAGGTAGAGAAATTACATGTGTCCTCAGCGAAAGGCAGTGTGCTATAAGAGCATTTATTGATGTTACTTTTTTAATACCTAATATCTACAGCAGAGTTATCAAGCTCAGACAATGCCCCCAGCCCCATGCACACCTTTTAGGCATCAAAGGGTATGTGCTTTCAGCATGCATGCCTAGTACCTAGGCTGATTCAACACTCTCCTGAAGTTCCATCAAGAATAGTCACTCCGTGCAGAACTAGTGACTTGTACAGAAATATACATGCTCCAAAATCCTTACATGAGGTCTGAAGCATGGAGTCTGTCCTGGCTTTGGACAGATGCTACTATGAAAACAATTTTTATTCATTGAAAGGTCCTACTTCTTGTCTATAAAATGATAATATGGTGTTAGTAGGCATTTGTCCAGGGTCGGGGGCATACAGGTAGGGTAACAATGCTTTAACCCTCTCTGTGGTTGCTTCGGCATGGTGCTGTCAGTCTCCACTGAGCTTTTGTCTTCTCCCTCTGACTCAGCCAAGCTACCATATGTGCTGTCTGGGCACTTTCTCCAGCCTTTAGAAGGCCGAATGACTCACCACCGCTCTTCCCTTTGAAGCACCTCTGGATTCTCCAGCGCACAGCTCTGATTTTCTCCCTTACTATGTTGTTGTTTTTTTATAAGCCATTCATGTCTAGGAATCAATGGGAGGAAAAAAAAGTATCTAACAGTGTTTTCAGTGCCAGGTCTCTTAAATCAAAAGAGCTGAAAAGATGCCTTCCTGTCTAACCAGCTCCGAGGAAAGCTTTTGTCATGGGACACAGAGACAAGCATACATGAAGCATTGATTGGAAAACTATTTTTTCCCTTTTCTTTTCTTTTCCCCCTTTTTGGAATCTTTTGCTGGGACGGAATCTGAAAATGCTTGTTTTTGCAGGACTGTTGAATCCTCAGTGACTGTCACTAGAAGCTGAGATTGGCTCGAGCAATTATCCTGTTAGAAATGTAAACTGGGAGAATGTAAGCTGGGAGGACCTTCCTGTTTGCTGTAATCCTGCTTGCTATGTATTCAATGTGTGAAAACATCTCACGGGCATCCCAGGGTTTCTCCACACTGCCAGTGTCATCATGGGCTCTCGTCCTGTACCAGCACCTGAACTCTCTTCCATCAGCAGCAGCATCCTCTCTCTTTTTTATTGTGTTAACTGACCTGTTGGCTGGCATAGCTACTGAGCTCCACTGTAGTAACTTAAATGGTTCCTGGACCTTGTCATAGATGGACGTTGCTAATCTTAGATAACTTTCTTGCAGGCTCCTGCAGATGCTTCAGTATGTAAGTGCCAAGCATTGTCTGCAGCTCTTGTTTTTTTAGACTCTGCCGTATGTGCGCCAGACTTCTTCAATGGAAATGTTCCCTTTCTAAAAATGATATTCGTGGAATTGTTTGGGAACTGGAACCCACGAGATGTTGAGAGGAGAAGTCCTGACAAAGTAGCTTTGTGGACTATTATAACAGGAAAAAGGCAGGACTGTTAAACTGGAGAGGTCGCTATGTTGTTTCCCCCTCAGTGCTACTACTGCATCCCAGACAGTATTTAGTACTATTATCTCCTGTGCTGTACACATGCCTCTTCCTGTCGAACTGTACCTAAAAATCTTAATAAAGAGATGTGGGAGCTGAATTCTAACTTTTGGGTATTCCTGCTGTTGCCTTATTCTGGGTTACTGGGAAGGTTCAAGCCACCTAGCCGTTAGAGTGAAGTTCTACTGAGCTGCTGTGCCAGTGATATGGACTGTAATTATCTAGCCAAGAAGACTCTGATGCCTACGGCATGGTCATGTTCTGCATCCTGCAGCATCAGTGCAGTGCTCTTGCGGCAAAAGCGAAGGCCCACACCAACTCCCTTTTGCACAGCTCACTTCATGTGTTAACCCGACTTCATAGCCTCGCTTAATTGAAAGGGCTTGCGCAAGGATGTCACCGCATGCTATCTGTTTATCAGCAGCAGTGGAATTGGCTAAGTCAGCTGGCAGCCTCCCTATGGAGGCCTGAGAAGTTCCAGGCAGGGTGGTGGCGATGGGGCTGAGGTTGTTGCGATTCAGCCAAGAGGCCAAGCACAGACATGCCCCTTTTCTATTCCATCCCCCAACAATTACGTGTTTCTACATCACACGATAACTCTAGCAGTTCTTCCTTCCCAAAACTATTATGCTAGATTGTTTGCATAGCTGGGGAGTCCTTATACACAGCAACCTGGATCCAGCTCCCACAGATTGCAATGCAGCGCTAGAGCTTGCTCTGTTTGTGTTAAATGCAGAGTGTCTCAGCCGGGTGGCTTAACTCTCACAAAGCCTGAGGTTGTTCAAGGAAATGGGACTGGAAGTGAGGAATGTTGCTTTAAACCCAAACCCTACCCAGCCCTGCTGCTTGCCATGAACTGAGGTGAAACTGTAGCTTCAGTAACACATTCCACAGAAGAGCACTCTTTTCTTGCCTGCACCTTTAATCTTACAGACACACACACAGGGGGGCGTTCTGCCACCCCCGCCCCGGCACACTCTTTCTCCAGCTGCAAAAGTCCTAAGGCTACAACTGCTGCTTCTCAGCATCAGTTGCACCCTTGATGATCCAGATCAAGAGGACCCTGTGAGGAAGTGTCAGGAGGACCAAGGTGAGGACCCTAACAAAGTGCGAGTGGGTGCTGTAGTTCTAGGAATGCAGCTGGTAGCCAGAGAGATTGCCAGATCCACAAGTTCCGGAGTGTGCTGCTGTTTTTCACCTCAAGTGCCAGACCTTGACTGAGAGAAATGTCTTTCCAGCTTTCCGGCAGCAGCATCCTTCTCATCCTCTGCTGCAGGCAGGAAGGCAACAAGCTGTAGACAAGAGCCAGAACTGAGCTGTCCGTCACCTCTGATCTGAGGTCCATCTTTGGCAACAACAGTAGCAGACTGGGTTCAGCCCTTATTGTATCTCCCTGCCCTAGAGACCAAGGACCTTGGAGAGCTGCCAAGGTTCTCTGGCTGCTGGCACCAGCCCTGCTCATCTGAAGCCAAGGCCCTCAATTAAACTGGAAAGAAAAACAGCATCAAATCCTGAGCAATCCAAGCTTTGTGGCTGATGGCCAAGCCTCAATTACAGATAAAAACTCTCTGACGCACAGAGAGAAACTGTATAGTGCCCGCTGAGATGGGGAAAAGCCATTTGTAAATCAGGATGGCCTGAAAGCTGCACTGCTGGGTCCATAATGACATTGAAGGCATTGCTGGGGTGCTAATGATATTATACAGCAGGGCTTGTTTCCAAAATTGCTGCTCTTCAATATAAGCAGATGCAACTTTCGATGCCTGAGAAAAATATGGGAGCTGCTCTGTACATGGTACCAGCTTCCTCAGTGACCAAGGCACTGGTTTAAGTGCAGGTAAGTTGAAGGGCTTGTCCACATTTGAGCATTATTTAGCAATTTATCCACTTGTCCCCTGTGCAAATTAGACCAATGTAGTCCATTCCCACATGTATTTGAATGAGTACCGAAGAGCAACTTCAATCTTTCCTGTTCATACCAGTAGGCATTCCCCTTTGTGCTTCTATCCACCTTCTGATTTTTTGATTCCATTATGCCAATTAAGTACTGACAGGGCATGCATGTGCACCTTGTTTTGTCTTTCTAGTCTACCCAAGACATATGCTAAAGTGCACAGGAAATTGTAGATTTGCTTGTGCAGTTTTCTAGTTTTGTGCAAATCTGAGGAATCCAAAGAAACACAAACTTGTGATGTGCCCCTACTAGCATGTTAGAAAAGAAATGAAAGCAACTGTAAATTCTCAGCACACAATTTTTCAGACTGCTGCCCAATATATTATTTCAGCATAGAAATTTTTTATGTTGTTTGCTTGTGCAGTGCTCTGGTTTTGTGCAAATCTGATGGATCAAAAGAGGGGGGGAAAGAAACCCCACTGGAAATCACTCCAAGCACAGCCAGAAAAGTAATGGAAGCAATGAGGAAATAGCAGACATGGAAAGGGAAGTAGCATAAAGTGAAAATTAATCCACCCACCCCAAAAGAATGAAACAAATAGTCTGCAACCCTGAGTGAAGTGGTTGGAAGCTTGAGTCTCCACAAGTTATCTGATTACCTCTATCAGGTAAACCCCAAATTTACAAGGGAAGAATTATGTTATTGGAGGGTAATGTTATGTGGATTATAAAAATTAAATGGGAATGCAAACACACAGTAAACTCCAGTGTGGACAAGCCAAAAGAGCTATTTAAGTACAGAATGTCCTTAAATGAATCTGTCATGAAACTCACACTCCAGCATTCAAATCCAACTTGACACCAGTGAAATAAAAGGAACATTAGAATGGCGGAGGAATCAAACCATTAACCAAGGTTAGTGACTCAAAGGATACAGCTAAAAATGCAACTGTGCATGCTTACTTATGTATATGCTTCCATTAGGCAGAATGAGGCATCTGCCGCGAGATGCTGATTTTGGATGTCAAAGGGTTACTTAATTTATTATGATTGTATGCTTTTTTTATTGTCAGGGGGTGGTGAAAGGGCTTGGGGGAGTTTGTGCTTCATGTGCCAAAATAACTTGATTCTGGGTACCATGTATGATCCCTGTAAGACTGCCACTGTTTGCTGCTATTCCTCAAACAATACTGAATTGATCAAAGCTCCCTGCTTTGTATAAGCAGTGCTTTTGCACCAAAACTCCACAGACTGTGCTCTTGTCTTACTGTTTCGGGTTCCCTGTACCTCTCCCTCCTGTATGACACCTGCTCCCTGAACTTTCCTGTGGCTTCCTCCTTCCTCTTCTTACTCACCCCACCCTCAAATTTCTGTTTTACCTTTCACCTATCCAAACCTTCTTTAAGTTGTCAATTGTAATTGCTCATGCAAAGACTAGAAGTCCCTGGATTCGACTAGAACATGAACATTCAGATCTCTGTTGTGACCCAAAACACTCTTGGCTATGCCACCAAGAGTTGCTCTGCAGAGGCTATGGCCCACCAGCTCCCTACATGACATTTTACTATGCTCGACAGATACCATTGCAAAGGAAACACATTTTTTGCAATTTCATCACCAAAGGGTAAGATATTGGGAAACACTTTCAACTCTCTGTAAATATCTCATAGCCCAGCAAGATTGTACGTGCATTAATGACATCTCCATATAGACTTAGGAGCTGTCATGTGAATCTTCTCCAAATCTCTCTGCCTGCCAAATTTGATTGGCAGTGGAAGGAAACTCTTTTTACTTCCTTTATACATTTACACTTACTGTCTTCTACCAGCACTTAGGAATGCTTCCGTCAAACACAGTGAAAGCTTGTGCTGAGTGGAATTCAAATGGTTTGCCTTAAATTCCTTCTTACACAGATGAGCCAACGATGCTAGCAGGGTGGGGTGTTAACAAAAAGCTGGGTTGCAACATGAACCGTGGGACTAGGCAAACACATATATCTGGGGTAGTGATATTGTGTGTGTGTGTGTGTGTGTGTGTGTGTGTGTGTGGTTAGATTTGGGATGGGCCTAAGCATTTGTTTGGAGGACCTGTGTGTGTGTTGGAAATATTTTTATAGAGTGGGTGCTCATTACAAGATGAAACATGGTGATGATACTAAAAGGTTCTAATGTACCATGCTTAATGGCTCACTTGTGATGGCCACACTGAGACAAAGAATTCCAGAGAGTGCCCCATACACTGCATACTGCCTCTATATACTCAAATAAATATTTCAGCTCGGTTTATTTGCAGGTCTTACTTCCTGGAACAAGAGCCTCAAGTTCGGGTTCGATGTACCCAAACTATATGCATTCAGTTTCTAAAATATCAAGCATTCCAGTCAGGCTTTAAGGGCCAGAAGGCATTCACAATGTTCTTCAGCAGCAGCTGGTAGCTACTGGGCCTGGTGGAGCATCTAATGGGGTCCCTCGAGGCCAAAGGGTCACCAGAGGGGGCCCCAACTTTTTATGGTTTTCTCCCCACCCTTCTCTTTTGCAAAGATACTGTTACACACCACCCCAATATCCTAGCAGTGTGAGATTCCAGGGGTTCCAGGTGCTTACACAGGGTCCATGTTTCCTTTTGGAAATGAGGCACAGCAGAGACTGGGGTGCTGTTTCTTTACACATATATGCAACCTGAGCCTATGGTGGAGGGGTTCACAGTACGGACATCCCAGGAGGGTCTTGCTTCTCCCTTAGCTGCACTATTGGACTCAAACTAACCTCAGCCATGGTTCAGACTCTCTCTCCAGCTTGCTTCCTTTTACAGAATGTCACATGTACCAGACATCATGCAAAAATGCCAAATCCTAAACTCAACTTTAAAACTCTACTTACTTCAAAACTCTCTTTTGTCTTCTAAACTATCGCTGAGTTGAGGCAGGCCGCACTCCCATTTGGCTTTCTTAATGGCCCATTACCTTCCCATCGACTTTTTAATGGCTCATCTCCCAGGCGATTTACCTGTCTATTCTGGCAATTGAATATGCACTAGAGCCAGGAATTACAAAGGGGTCCAGGCATTCAGCCTACCCACACAACTCAAAGCAAAATGTGGATAGGGCTCTGTCCCTGTTGACCAGGCCTCCCATGATTCTTGTATATGTTCACTTAAGTGTGTGTATACATAAGTAGGTATTTTCTTTATGAAGATTGGGGACAGTTTTCCTTAAAAGTTCCCTCAATGCCACAAAGCCCTAGAGGACAAATGGCAACTCATTGTCTTTTGGAATAAATTTGCCCCTAGACAATATCAAAGGGAAGTGTGTAAAGATTTGTTAAGCAGACAAAAGTACTGATTCAACTCCCAGGGAAAGAAAGGGGACAAGCAAACTAGGCAGAAGAGGGATTAGCAGCCTTTTGAGAGTGTTCGAATTTTACAGAAATTGTTAGGAGGAGAAGGAAGGGAGGAAATAGGTGAAACCTAAAAGGTAATGGGAGCTAGCTAGCATAGGAGAGGAGATAAAAGCCCATGAGACAGACACAGAGGAAGAGAAAAGAAGAAAGCGCGGAAAGCAATGGAATGAATTCACAAACCCTAAAATAGAATCTTCACTCAGCATGCCTGGGTTTTTTGAACTTGTGAGTAGTTGCTGAATATAATGAGAACATTTTGGTAAAGAAAAGTACTTTGAAAGGGGACTCAAAAGAGCTGATGAGACAAAGACTTTTGATCTAGGAAAACAACCCAAACCGTCATCTAATGGGATTGAATCCAAACAGATGTCAACTTTGTTTTTTATTTCTAGTCCACAGTTCAGACATATTTTCCCCCAATCAGAACTGAAAGACAGTATTTGTGTAGCCTAATCGCAAACTTGAGGCAAAGAATCAAAGAGAGAAACTGAAACCCGAGCCTAGGTTACTGCTGCCTTATGGGGGAAACATCATGCCATCGGTTTCAGTTTGGCATGGAGAAGAGAAAACTCTGGGGTCATATTCTTCAAATGCACACATGACTGTCCAACATCTGCTGCAAGACTTCCTATGGGGGAGAGACCACCCGCCTCTGGGCAATTACTTCCATTGCTGAGCTGCTGTTGCTGTGAAGATACTTCTACTAATGTTCAACCAAAATCTGCCCTTCTGCATCGCGTTCTAATCAGGGGACCACATGCCAGTGGTGGACAGAGCAACACATGTAATTTTTACTTTTGTACACTAGGTTCATTGCTACACACATTTGCACAGTAGTGTCAGGTGGGGGGTGGGGCTGCACTGCCCTCCCAGCTTCCCAACACCATGGGTTGCTGCTGCTTACCAAGAGGTATGCAGGTGGCACTGTGGTCTAGACCACCGAACCTCTTGGGCTTGCCGATCCTAAGGTCAGCAGTTTGAATCCGCACTACAGGGTGAGCTCCCAGTGCTTTGCCCCAGCTCCTGCCAACCTAGCAGTTCGAAAGCATACCAGCATGAGTAGATAAATAGGTATGGCCACGGCGGGAAGGTAAACGGTGTTTCCGTGCGCTCTGGCACTTGTCATGGTGTTCCGTGTGCCAGAAGTGGTTCAGTTATGCAGGCCACATGGCCCAGAAAAGCTGTCTTCAGACAAACTCCAGGCATAGCTGTCAACCGTCCCTTATTTGATGGGAAAGTCCCTTATCCCAGCACTGTGTCCCACTGCTGTCCCTTATTGATGATGTCCCTTAAATTTCCCGGGTTTCAAAGGAAGCAGCTCCTCTCCCTCCCTCCCTGCCGGCCAGGGAGGAGGGAGGCTCCAACTGTGTTGCTTGGCTGCGCTGCTCACCCAATAAGGAGTCTAAGAATGACTGGGGACTGGAGCTTGCATGCCTTGTGCTGATCAAATTGGCCGTGTTGCCTGGGGACTCGCCTTTGCTCAGCGCTTCTCAGTGGAGAGGTGACGGTGGTTTTCCTTGCTGCATCCTCTTTGCTGGGTTGCTGCGCTGTGGGAACCACCGCTTGAGGCTTTGTTTGGCTGCTGGCTGGGCTTTCTGCCTTTGGCTTGGAGGAGCTCAGAAGTTGAACATACCTGTGCTTGGAAAATCCCTTATTTTGGCTGCTGATCCCTTATTTTCGAGGCTGCTGATCCCTTATTTTCAAATCTGTAAGCTGACAGCCCAGTAAGCTGACTCTAGGGCAGGGCAGCAGGGAGCTTGGCACAGTGTGAATTCGGTGGCAGAGCCAATCTGACCCTCCAGCCACTGCGCCAAGTGTCCTGCTGCCTTGCCTCTCTCCCTTGGGAAGCAGCAGCAAGAGGTTGTGCTGGGAAGCCAGGGGAGCAACACAGATCCACACGACCTACTGCCCTCTCCTGCAAATCACACTCTCCTCTCTGTCCTCCATCCAGACAAGCAAGAGGCATTATCAGAGTTCAAAGACACATCCCAGCCAAGCAGAAATACCTGGGGTGCGAAGCAGAGATCTGAGCAACTGAACTCAATTAAAGCAAGACATAACAGTGGTGGCAGTCGGTGAAGAAAAGAGCATATTTTCTTTCAGAAAACTGAAAACTGCCAAAGAGAATTTGTTCAGGTTGTCATGTTTAACCATGCTACCTCTCCAAAGGTCGCTGGTTCTCCCTTCTTCAAGTGCCCTTAAAAGGAGAAGCAGAAAGCCACAGCTTTGTTCCATACATCTTCGCTGTGCCTTGGCACAGTGAGATGGAAACTAGAAACAAGGCCAGTGCCTGAACTTATTGCAACATGAAATCATGTGACATTGTCACTGGAGGTGATGAATGGTCATGATCCAGCTAAAGTTTGCTGGGGCTAGGTCTTGCTTTCAGTACGACAAAGTAAAGTCCTAGGTGAGGATTCAGTGCTGATCTTACTCTGAGGAGACCCACTGAAATTAATGAACCTGACCTTCTTTTCTGCCAGGCCTTTGGATCTGAATTATCTGTGGTCTCCTTCAGTGGGTGTTTTAACCCTGCTTTAAACAAATATATGAATATGTTTTAGATTCTTCTTTTTGTTTTATACTGGTTTAAATGTACGTGTTGTTTGTTTATTGCTGTGTAATAACAATGTAGTTCTATTTATTTCATTGGGTCTACTCTAAGTAACATTTAGTTGTTTAAATATGGTGGTAGAACATGAGACTGTTTAATCTCAGGGTTGTGGGTTTGAGCCCCACATTAGGCAAAAGATTCCTGCATTGCAGGGGGTTGGACTAGATGACCCTCCCTGTCCCTTCCAGCTTTACAAATCTATGATTCTATGGATGTAACCCACTGGCTTTAGTCATACCAACACTAAAAGTTAAGTTCTGTTTAATTACCTTCTGGGCTGAAAGAGCACTCTCATGAGATACCCACACCACACAGTAAAAACAGATAGCAATAATAATAATTGCAGCTTACAGTCAGAAATGCTATGGAAATATATTTATCACAGAAATGGGAGCCTCATAACAGAGGGTCCTGGTTGCGCTCGGGACCCAAGAGCTCACTTGACAGGGTTAAAATGGGGGGGGGAGCAGGAAGTCCTGGCCATTCCCCTGGGATCATGCCAGGCGGTTTTAGCCAATAGCCAGTAGGTGGTGTGATCCCAGGGGCTTTAAAAAAGGCAGTGTGATGCAAGTGGGGCACTTGCATTTGCACGGCTGAACACCCGCCCACCCTCCCTAGTTTAGGTAGAGTCGCTTGCCCTTGCTTTGGTTTGGGTCGCCTGTTTTGGAACAGGGGCTGGGTAGGAATTTTTTCCATTTGGCAGATTGGCTTTAGCCATTTGGTTTTCGCCTACCCCTTAGCAAATCGTCACAACTTGGAAGGTGGGCATTGGCTCAGTTGGATTGTGGGGAGGGGAGGTGCAGCCATCACCTGCCCCTCCAGGAACTGGGTATTCTGTTAAAGGAATCTGGGGGTCCTGGATCTCGTCCGAAGTCCGCTTGAGGGGCTAGGGCCATGCCAGGACCACAGGAACCCCGAGGTGAGCTTAGGTTTGTTCTCATCGACCTTGCTCCCTCGTTTGGTTTACCCCATTCGACGATCACCCTGAGAGGTGGAGTCAGTTATAGTGGGGAGTCAATGCCTAAGCCAATACCACTCACGTGATTGTATTTCAATAAAGTTGTGGCCAAAATTTGCCCAAAAACTTAAACTACTATAAGTGTCCATGTGTATTTATTTTGTGGGTGGGTCTTGGGGCCTCAAGAAGCAATCAAGAAGTACACAGTGTTCCTGGCCTAGATAGACTAGATAGATTTAACTACAATGCACCTCACTTATTCCTAGGGTAAGAGCCCATTTCATTTTCCCATGAACAATGGCAAATTCCTAATCTAGTCTGCAGTTCTTTGGTTGGACACTTCTTCACGTGTTCCAGTCTGGCTTAATTGTAGCTGATTCATAGAAATTCTGAATCCCAGCAGAAGCTACAGCAAAAGCAGAGTCAGTTTAAGATGCTTACCGAAGTTCAGGAAGAGAATGAATGGTGTGTATTTTTAGCCCATGGGGTAGCTGAGTGGTATTAAAATTCAGTCTGTGTTACAGACACTTGGGTTGAATCAGTATTCCAGCACGAGTCTCGCTCTCTTCATACTAGCATTTTCAACTGAGTGTCTGAAAAGCGAGTGTTACCATGGAGACTCGGCTCCAGGGCAACAGCACTTCCTGTCAGAAAGTGGCTACACAGGTAGAAATATGGCCCAACAGAAACCTAAGCAGCTTAGAGAATGTCATACAGTCCATCTCCACAAAGCAAATGTCTTTAATAAACTCCATCTGGGAGATACAGGCTAAACAAGAATTAGAATTCTTGGTCTGAAGATCCCCTGCAGGAAAACAGGCTTCAAAAGGCATCCATTGAAGCACTGTACATTTCCCCAAATTTTATTTCTCTGTTTTTTTCATAGTTCCAAAAAATCAAAGACCTTCTTGAGAGAGAGTCAAAGACATTCCTGGAAGGAATCAGAAATGTGTAGATGCAAAGAGAATAGACAAGTGGCAAGATTAGAATAAGGACAACAATTTCAATATTAGAACAGCAGAAAGTTGAATGGGTAATGTCCTACCCTGAGGCTGAACATACTTTTGCATACACCCCAGTTCTCAAAATCATGCAGTGTTTCAGGGGTGCAGTGCTTGTCCGGGTTTGCTTTGCTTTGGTAGGAGGTCATTGGAGGCTTAATGGCATTGTGTAATATTTGTGTGCATTTATAAACGTGCAAGGACGTGGGTGGCGCTGTGGTCTAAACCACAGAGCCTAGGCCTTGCTGATCGGAAGGTCGGCGGTTCGAATCCCCGTGACGGCGTGAGCTCCCGTTGCTCGGTCCCAGCTCCTGCCAACCTAGCAGTTCAAAAGCACGTCAAAGTGCAAGTAGAGAAATAGGTACCGCTCCGGCAGGAAGGTAAACAGCGTTTCTGTGCGCTGCTTTGGTTTCGCCAGAAGTGGCTTAGACATGCTGGGCCACATGACCTGGAAAAACTGTCTGTGACAAATTTTGGCTCCCTTAGCCAGTAAAGCGAGATGAGCGCCGCAACCCCACAGTCGTTCGCAACTGGACTTAACTGTCAGGGGTCCTTTACCTTTTTTATAAACGTGCAGGTTAAGCAGTAGCACCGTGAATCTGCAACAGATGCCTCTAAACCTGTTGCATCCATGTCAGATTTCATGGAGAACAACCAGCATCCTACGATTTCCTTTCCTCAGCAAGATCAACCCACTTCTTCGCTACACTGAGGTCTTCACATCAAGTATCTGGTTAGGATGGGCATAGAATTTGAACACCCACCACCACCATTTAGCTCTCTAGGAATGCTGCTGCCCCCTTGTTCTTGCAGAATAGTGGTCAGTTGTGTTCCTACAGGGCTCTTCAGTAGCAGCAGATCACCCATATCTTGCTCTGGGGAAGGGTTCAGAGATTGCCTGCTCCTCTGATGCTTTGCCACAACAAATACTGTTTAAGTTTTAACTGTTAATATTTAAACTCTGCTTGCTACTTTTAAATCTAAAAAGGATTCGCTGAGATATCTTTGAGGCTGCCTGGCCCACCTTGCTTTGCTCCACAAGGACCCCACATTCCCGAGGGTCATTCATCAGAATGAGGCTTTGTCAGCTGGGAAACCTGGATAGCCACAGAACATCTGCACTGCCACCGCTGCTGTAGCTGCAAAGTCAAGAGGAGGAGGAGAAAGGATGAGGTCAGCACTGGGAGGGAGCAGCATGTGGGGTGGCAGCGGCTTTGCTTCAGGTGGTAGAACGTCTTGGGCTGGCCCTGTTTCCCATTCTCCCTTTCTCCAAACTGAGATTTCTTCACACACATAGCTTGATGACATTGCCGTCAAAGAAAGGCATGTTCCCTTCTCCAAAATGACTCTCCCCCTTTTACAACTGTCTCTGGCCAATAACTTGTTCATCAGCTAATCTCCACCCAACAAAGGGAAGGTACTGGCAGATTTTCCAGAACTATTAACAAGTCTAAACCACTGAGCCTCTTGGGCTTGCCGATCAGAAGGTTGGTGGTTCGAATCCGCACAATGGGGTGAGCTCCTGTTGCTCTGTCCCAGCTCCTGCCTACCTAGCAGTTCAAAAGCACACCAGTGCAAGTAGATAAATAGGTACCACTGTGACGGGAAGGTAAATGGTGTTTCCATGTGCTCTGGTTTCCATCACGGTGTTCCATTGTGCCAAAACTGGTTTAGTCATGCTGGCCACATCACCTGGAAAGTTGTCTGTGGACAAACGCCGGCTCCCTCGGCCTCAAAGCGAGATGAGCACCATAACCCCATAGCCGCCTTTGACTGGACTTAACCATCCAGGGGTCCTTTACCTTACCTTTACTGACAGCTTTGCCAGAACTATCGAGTCCATTGCATGCCTCAGGCAACCTACACTGATCAGAAGCCCATTCACAGAAATCTTAAGAATCACAAATCAGTCAGCTGGAAGGGATGCCAAGGGATCTAGCCCAAACCCAAACCCAGCATTACAATCAATACATGTTGACTGTCACAGTAAGTCAAACTATGGCATATGCAAACCTGCAGCTTCTCAAAGAAGACCTCACAGCTACTTTGTTCCTCCAGAGTCTTTTCCCCCTCCCACATCATACTGAGCTTGTCGTCTGAATAGCCTAGCCTAGAGAAAAACCTTGGCTACAGTGCATGGTTACTGAGGAGGAAGCTTAACCATGAGCCTGGCTTCAGATAACACACTAAGGCAAACATTGGCTTAGCTCAGCATGCTGTGAGAGAGAAAAAGACCAAACCAGGCCACTCTGACAACAAATGGTCTCCATCAAAAGCATTTTCCTTTGCTTGTGAGTCACCATTGGACCTGGAAGTCCTCCTTGCCATACATTTATTATTCCTGCTGCAGTCTAAATGGCCTTAGCCACATTTACAGGAGTGTGAAATTGAGCTGGTTATCCTCCATTGCATGTTTAGTTATTCTTTCGCATGAGTTTCTTGCATTTCATTCTATTGATTTTTCAGAGTTTACCATACCTAAGTTGGTGCAATCCCTCCATTTTTATGCCACCTAAAGAAACATTCCACTTCAATGTATAAGTAAATCCATTTTGGCTGTTCCTAATGGCACACTACTGCTATGTGCACAAAGGGCAGCTGTTTCATATTCTAGCATACGGCTAAATACTGAAATTAAAGTGATTGGTCTATAATTTCCTATGTAATAATTTCCCCCATTTCAAAACATAGGAATTATCCTTACCTTTTCCCAGACTCCCAGCACCATGTCTATCTTCAATGAAGGCTCAAAATAACTGCCAGTATTTCTGAGTCAGTTCGTTGTTTCAGCTTTTCGACTCCTAAGGTGTGATTTAAATCCATTCAAATGTGGCAAATATTCTTTGTTACCAGGAAGTGCGCTTCTTCCTCCCCTCCCCTCCCCTCTTTATGTTAATGTTGTTGATTTGTGGCTTTACCTTTTCCCTTTTTGTGACAACAGAAGTACAATCAGCATTGAGCTTTTTTAAAAAAACAAACCCCCAAAAACCGGTTAGCAGTTCATGTTTCCATTATATAACTGACCCCCTTATGCTTAAGGTATGTATTTAAAATCCTGCTTCTTTTTGCTTGCACCCTCCCATTTTGTTTTTTCCCTTTTCATTTTATTCAAGGGTATGTACAGATGTATATAGAAATTAAATAAATAAAGTAAAGTAAAGGAAGTAGTCATTGCACTATGGCACACAATTACCACATTGTTGGCTATGTACAGAGGCAGATTTAGGGCAGTGTGAGTGGTGCGGTCACACTGCGCAGCTGAGGAAGGCACCTTCTCAAAGCCCATTTAGCCCTGGACCAGCTTCAGGGAGGAGGCGTAGGGCTCTGACAAGGTTCTAGAGTCCTCCTTTCTTCTTCCCAAAGCTGAGCAAGTGCTTATCGGGCTTTGGGAAGGAGGTAGGTTGGCTCTAGGACCCTGCCAGAGCCTCATGTCTCCTTCCCAAAGCTCAGCTTAAGCTGGCACAGACAGGGTGGCATAATACCAAGGCAGTCTATACTCTGCATTAATAAAATAATAAAATAAAATAAAATAAAATGTTTAGCCCTATTCTGCACCAGTTCTGTGATCTGCATAAATTATTAATTTTTTTACATAATTTTGCTTATTTGGAACAAGTTATTCTCTTTCTGGTAACCATGGAGAGAAATGAGGAGCTATGTAAGACTGCAACCCTGACCCCACTTACTTGGGACTAACCTGCATTGAATTGAATAGGAGTTACATCTGAGTAGACATGGTTCAGATAGCACTGTAAGCCACTGAAGCCATAACTGCTGAGCATTGGGAAGTTTACTGGGTTCCTCTGTAGTTTCAGAGATTTCACTAGAGGTTGCCACAAGCCAGCTTTGCAACTATGTGGCCTAGAAACTTGTTCTTAAAAATTAAATTCTGGATTCAGTACCCAGAACCAAATTCTGTAGGGGGTTTTTTGGCACTCGCCGTGGAATTCACCTGCCCCCTAAATGTAGTCTGAAAGATATGGACTAATATGTAATAAGTATTTGAGTGGCATGTGCCATAGCGAGGAGTAATGTAGAACAAGTGATACTATAGTGGTCAGACTTTTCAACAGTCAGAACTTTTCCAGCACAACTGTTCTTTCATTCTATAAATGATGGATCCAGAAAATCCAACCAGTCAGAAGAGCCAAGCCCATTCTTCCAGAATAAGAAAGAAGCAGAAAAACATCACTGAAAAATATTGGACTTCAAAGATATAACCATGCTTATTATATGGAAATGAATAAATAAATACACTGGAAACAAAAGGGTTTGGACGGTTTGGAGTTATTCTGTATTTTGTGCGTGAACAATTTCTCTGTAGTTGCTCTCTGTTCCCTAGTTCCCTAGTTCATATGTGTGCCTTGCACTAAATGTAGCCTCTCTATGTTGGAAGAGAAGGGAAAACTCACCTTAGATACCCACAGTGCAAGAAAATAGAACCCAGACATTAAAGGCCTTCATTCCAATCAGAGGTGACAAGGCACACATCATTAAAAAATGTTTGAGCAACAAAATAGCTTTGAAACATTTCACATTACAAAGAACACATTTCAAGATCAGGATGGGGGGGGGTGACTTTTGCACATTTTGAATCATACCTGCCAGCTCTTGTCAGGTCTAACGTTTGTTTCCATAGGAAAAAAGCACAATCTCAAACAACATGTGGGTATGACTTTATAAGTTAAAAGAAAGAGAAATTGGGGCGGTGGAGGTGGAGGGAGAGAACACAATTCTCTAAAAGATTGTTTTCATTTAATTGAAGATACCCTTTTCTGTGGTGGATGTGATACCATCGTACCAGGCATTGAAGTCCAAAGAGTGTTTGTTGCTAGAAGTGAAAGGGTTTATACTAGCCTCAGAGAGATTATCCTTAGCTTTTGTTGTACAATAAATGCTTGTCCATTTATAACCCAGGTTACTGGGTAGACGGAACAATGTGGAAACGGCTGTCTCGAGGACACTGCGTATCGTATCTGGATCGAGGATCCTAATTGTGTTTTTTTGTATTAGGCACAGTTCAATCTGCAGCAGCCAACACCATCTTGGCTCCGTGACCTTGTCAAAGCTCACCGACGAGGCAGGCATAGGACAGCGGCCGCAAATCATTTCTGTAACTTGACGCACGTTGTATGACTGGCATATGCATGGAAATTGCTTCTTGCTAAAACCTTGAGCTCAATCCTCATGGGAGCTGTCCCATTTTTGGAAACCATGTCATCTGAATTCATCCTTGCGGGTGCTTCGTCAGAAACACAAGACATCAAACTCTTCTGAGAAAGTACAGTGGTACCTCAGGTTAAGTACTTAATTCATTCCGGAGGTCCGTTCTTAACCTGAAACTGTTCTTAACCTGAAGCACCACTTTAGCTAATGGGGCCTCCCGCTGCTGCCGCGCCGCTGGAGCACAATTTATGTTCTCATCCTGAAGCAAAGTTCTTAACCTGAAGCACTATTTCTGGGTTAGCGGAGTCTGTAACCTGAAACGTATGTAACCTGAAGCGTATGTAACCTGAGGTACCACTGTAACTTCCTGGAGTGTGTGCAGGTACAGAGCAGGTACTAGAAGCGCACTTCTAATAGCACTGAGGAGATCACAAGATCGGGGATGGCAGAACTCAGGGCTGCCCCACACATGAGGCAAGGTGAGGCACTGCCTCGGGCGTCAGGCTCCACTGCGGCAGCAGATCCTAGTGTCAATCTTTCTTCCCCTTGCTCCTGATGTAGGTCTTCCCTCACTCCTTCTCCCCTGGTGGGGAGGGGGGTTCCATTTTGGGCTCCACCTCAAGTGCCAAAACGTATTGGGCTGGCCTTGGCACAACTTAGCCCCTTTGTGCTAATATGCTTGATGCTGTTTAATGGAGGGTGCCCCACTGAAGGAAGCTAAATGGGTGGCCTTGGGTTTGATTGAAGGTATGTTTTGTATCCGCCCCCCCCCCCCGGCTGTTCTTAGCATCTGAGCTTGTTTCCTGTTGCTTGAAATTCCTGTACACGTCTTAATGTGTTTTCTGAATAAATGTGTTTCTTCCTTTTGAATCAGTAGGTGGCTTCTGGCCAGAATTATTATTATTATTTTTTATAAATGCTAAATGTGCATAGAAAACAGCTGAATGCTCCTATAAATATCAAAAATGTTTTTTTTTCCTAGAGTGTGCACCCTCCCTCCTGCAAAAACAATTGAGGAGTATGCTTGTTTGTCCACACAAGATCAAAAGCTGAGGAAATGGAACAGAATATGCGTCTAGAGGTAGAGAGTTTGATGCAGAGATTGGTTTGCACAAAAGGAGCTTTGATTAAGATGGAGTTTGAGGGTTAGGACAAGAGCTGAAGTGAGAGGCATTATGGTGTGTTTGCCCAAACAATCATAAGAGACTTCTCAGTGAGGTTAGCACACATTTTATGAGGTATTGACTTTTGTGCTAAGAAACGGGATGGGAGTGGAATGCTAATTAGATGCAAAGTGCCCAGATGACTAAAGGTTTTTACTGGCACAATGCATCCAAAACCCAGCTGCTTCAGACACATTGCCAGAGAGAATACTATGCCCTCTTCATCACTTCCTGCCTGAAATATCTGTGAATAACATGCATGTTTGAAAGAGCCAGAACACAGGTCATACAGTATGTTTCCGAGCACAATTCATAGTGTTGGTGCTGACCTTTAAAGCCCTAAATGGCCTTGGCCCTGTATACCTGAAGGAGCGTCTCTACCCCCATGGTCCAGCCCTGACACTAAGGTCCTCCTCAAAGACCTTCTGGCGGTTCCCTCACTGCGAGATGTGAGGTTACAGGGAACCAGGCAGAGGGCCTTCTCAGTGGTGGAGCCCACCCTGTGGAATGCCCTCCCATCAGACATCAAGGAAATAAACAACTAAGAGACATCTGAAGGCAGCCCTGTTTAGGGAAGTTTTTAATGTTTGATGTTTTATTGTATTTTTAATATTCCATTGGGAGCCACCCAGAGTGGCTGGGGAAACCCAGCCAGATGGGCAGGGTATAAATAAATTATTATTATTATTATTATCATCATCATCATCATCATCATCATCATCATCATCATCATCATTATTATTATTATTATTATATACATTGTGGGCAGAGCTTTTCCATGCCAGCAGTTCGTCCATTCAACTGCAAGCTATAGAAACCAGCGATCAAGTGACTTTGCGCATGTGTGAATTGACCCACTGCCCTTTATCTATTACAATACTACCCGATCTTAGCCCAAAGGCTCAGAAGTGATGATGGGCACAGCATGAATGAGGCGAGAAGAAGAAAAACCAGACTGGTGAGCCTAAGGTGGCCTGAGTCCCATTCCTGATTCCACAATGAGAATCATTTACATCCCTGCTGTTTTTCCACACAGCTACCAGCTTTTCTGCCCTCCCACCTGCCTAGAGCATATTGCCCTGCTTCTCATCAGCACCCCATAGTGAGTAGTCAGCAGGGGTTGTTTCCACAGCTCTGGAATATTAAAACACCATTGGATCAGAATGTATATGAAATGCAAAGTTATGTTTTCAGGTTTGGATTGCTTCCCACTGCAGTCGCAGTGGACCTGCGTGTCGACTCAATTGCTGTCATTTGCAGTTCCGACAAATCGCTCTCCATACCTGCTGTTAGTACCTGTTGCCGCCTGAGACTGGGGACAGTGGGGTGTTTCAGCTTTGGCTGTCTTTATATGCTGATAAGGTTTTTTTGGCTGTGTTTTCTGAGAAAAGGGCTAAAATATCAAAGTGGGAGACAGCATATGCCTGCACTGCCCAGGGCGGGCGTGCTCCCGAGGGGGGCGGGGCACAGAGGGTGCCCTCCCAGGCACGGGATAGCCACTTGGGTGCATAGAGCAGTGCGCGCACCCTGCAGTCAGGGGCGGAGAGAGTGACTGCCAAATGTCACTCCCCTCAGCAAAGACATCCGGGGCGGTCTGCCCCCACCACAGCCCCCTTCCTCCGCCGCTGGTGGGAGATAGTATTGTTTCTCTTCTGATGGAAAGTGTGCATGCATACAACAAACACATTTTTAAAAAGTAGTCATGTTAAACTGTAGCACAAGAACAGGGAAACCACTGTGATGTTTTAGAAGCTGCCTGGTTTGCTTAACACGAACTCTCTCAGGCAACTAATGGAACTGTGGAGCGATCAAGCTATGCAGGAAGGAGTGGTTGTAGTCTGTTTGATACTCAACGTGAAAAAGCAACAACAATGACAACATTGCTTCTCCCTGTACTGGTCTCCTACTCTGCTTCTGCCAGTCAACATCCTATATATATAGTTTTTATTTTGTTTATTTATATATATAGTTTTTATTACATTTTCTAAATTACATTTCAAAATATCCATTTAAACAATCTTAAATCAATGACTTCCCTTCTTCTCTTTTGGTGGTTCATTTTGCATACCATACAACCCTGCATATTTTACATGAACTAAACCATTCAATAATCCATTGTAACATCTATCAAAACTTAGTTACACTGTTGAATTTATCTTAATGTTACCAGCATTTTTAAATGAACACAGTTTTTACCCATATATTCCGTAAACATTTTCCAGTCTTCTTTAAACGTGCATTCTTCTTGTTCTCTTATTCTATATGTTAAGTCTGCAAGCAGCGCGTATTCCATTAGTTTAAGTTGCCATTCTTCTTTGACTAGGATCTCACTCATTTTCCATTTTGGGGCTAACAAGACATGAGCAGCGGTAGTGGCATACATAAATAGTCTTTTTTGACACCTGGAAATTTCCATCTGAATTATCCCCAGCAAAAAGGACTCTGGTGTTTGTTTGTTTTTTTGGAAAGGTATTTTAAACATTTTTTTCAATTCATTATATATCATTTCCCAATATTAGAATATTTCCGGTCAACATCCCCTTCTGGATGTGGTTGTTGTCCTTTAGCCCAGCAGTAGCGGTGGTGAAGTACTTCCGAGATGTTATAGGGCATGCACATTAATTTACAGACATATTGAAGAGCTCTATAGAGCAACGGGCAATGAAGAGCAATTAGCTAGGGCTGTGCCAAAAATTTATTCCCCATTTTCTTTGGCCATTCTCCATCAACTAATGGGAGAAGAAACTGAATTCTAGGGCTTATATCTAATGCAGTGTTAAAGAAGCATCCCATAAGCACAAGGATTCCCACTTGCACAATGGGACTTCCCTCCGTCTCCTCCCCCTGCCCTCCCCAACTCTGCTCCAGAGGTTTAGGGGAACACCCAAAACAGATTTAGGGAGTGAATGGGGGGAGGGCAGGAAGGAGGAAAAGGGGGAAGCCTCCTGGTGCATGTGGGAATCCTTGTGCTGATAGGATGCTAACGTAGAACTGCACTGGATACAAGCCAACCATTATCAAATAGGATGGTAAATTCCAGTGGCGGTCCCATTCATAGGGTGTAGGGTATTTGTTGTGCTTGCCGTGCCTTTCAGGTGACCAAGCAGCTTTATGAGCAGCATTTCTTTCATTCTCCAAATCTTATCTCCAGTGCTCTGCATTCTGCAGCCTTGCCAGGTGCCCACACTTTCTGAAAACCCCATAACTTCTTCGGATGGGCTTTCCTTTAAGCAGAGGAATCCTGGGAGGCTGTCTACCATGCTCTAGACAGCTGTTCATTTTAAAATATATCCTTTTTTCAAAGAAATCATTGTGGAACTGTTTTTAATGGTAAAAGGCTCCCCTTAGAAACAAAATCACTGAGTGCACTGAACTCAGACACGATAACGAGCCTCCAGGGCTTCCCACACCTTCTTCAAGCTGGAGGAAGCTGTTTAGGCAACTCCTCCCATTGGGCTTTTTCAGATCAGGAAGTGTGGGCAGCTAGGGAGACTGCAAAGCATTGGAGAAATGTTTAATGGAAAGCAGAAGGAGGAAACACACCACTCTCGGCTACCTCACAACACAGCAATAATGTAAGCTCGGTGCCAAATAGGGATAGGTGAACATATTAATTTCAATTTCTTTTGGTTTCTCATTTTTTCCAATCTTCAGTTTGCTACATTTCCATGTTAGTCTGCAAGTTGTTGTTGTTGTCAGGGCTGTCTTAAGCATATGCAGCACCGGGGTGCAAAGATCCGCCTGGCGCCCCTCCCCAGGTTGCCCAGTCCCAGGCGTGCAGGAGGGTGGAGCCAGCTGGCCGCCTCAGCGTCTCACTGGCTCAGTCACCCCCAAACTCGCGGCGCTCCAACCGCCGGGTGGGCTCTTCCCCAGACTCCACTCTCGGCCTGACACCCCTGAGAGCCCGGCACCCGGGTACCCCACACCCCTTGCGCCTATGGGTAAGATGGCCCTGGTTGTTCTTGTTGTTTTAAAAAAGTTCTCATGATGAAAATTCACCAGAATTTTCATGAGTATTTATTCTAATATATGCATTTTTGCAAAGCAAATTCCCCCAGTATCATACATTGTTCTATACTGTTTTCACTAACAGAAACATTTCCCTTAGTGTATGCATTTTTGTGCACAATACTCAGCTGGAGAATAGCACTGCAAAATTGTGAAATGTGCAGGTTTGGAAGGATGGCTGTATTTCAGCTGCCATTCTCTTTTGGAAAGTGTTAATTAGGCAACTTTACCTTTAAATGTGAACTGAATCAAATTTCTTCTCCATCCAGTAAATAAAGAAAATGGATCGAATGTTTCCTAATATTGGAGGCGACGTTGTGATGTTGGACTGGAGGATAATTATTGTAGACTTTTATAATTTTATTTGGAGAATATTCCTTGGACTTCTTGAATTGAAAGAATTGAAAGAATTGAAAGAATTGAAAGAATTAATGATCCAAGTGATCTCATGTAGAATTAAGCACCAGAGCTAGTATCTTTCTGGTCCTAGTTCAGAAAGTGAGCTGGCTACATCCACCCCTTTGGAGAAGGTATTTTATTTGCTTGTAGGGAAACAAATGCATTTCATTTTGGATACTTGTGCATGGAAATGTTTAGGTTTCTCTCTCGTCATGCGGCTCTTGGATGTTCCCAAAGGGAGGCTGTCTATTCTGCCTAGCTAGGGTGGTTCACGCACCGTCTTGTTGCCATAAGCTTGGAGCTGCAAGTGGGTGCTCATTCCCAAGGAGGCTAGAATTCTGTTCAGTGTTATGTTACAGCAAATGTGCTAGACTAGAGTGAATGGAAGGCACCCTCTCTGCCTCTCAGCTCCACTCCTCCTTGCTGCCAGGGGCTACAATTCAAAACAGATGTTCTGTGTTGACAGGAGACCAAACAACCTTCCTGTGTCCTAGAATGAAAACACATGGTTGTGAAATCAGGGTGTTCAGGATGATTAGACTAAGTTGGACGGAAACTGAATTTGCTTGTGAGGGAAGAGAAAATGCAAGCACACTGTTGACATCAGTCACATGAGCACAGTTCTCCTCAGGGGGAAACACTGCTGTTACTGCAACCGAAGTACAGACACTTTCAAAGTGTTTATACCCATACACACGTTGATGATACAATTTCTCATTTTGACTAGGGGACATACTTTGGTTCAAATTTTTTCTCACAGATGGATGAAACCAAACCAAAAACCCATCAGAGGACACTTTCTAAAATGGCTTAGGGAGTTTTGTGGGGTGGGGAGCATTGTTGCTGTCATTGTTATTCATTTTTTGAATCTTTATTTTAGATCTGATTTATGTGGAAACCATTTAATGTGTATTTTTAAATGTTTTATTTATTGTCCATGACTACTTTTGTTACGTCTGTAATTATGTGATTTTCCTTTACATGTTGCTAGCCACTTTGAGCGTGGTTTTAGCTTTGGAAAGGCAAACAAATAATATGATTGATTGATACCAGCAAATTCAGGTTGCACAATTAGAGTGGATTTAGTGCTCTTGCACAACAAACCCATTTCAAAAAAGAGAAGTATTTCCAGGAAAATGCACTGTAAAGTATGAGATATCAATTGCTTATCATAACTTTATACGATATAATCTTCTCACAATCGAATCAGAATTAATGCTCAATAAACAGGTTGCCTCGAAGCAATCATAGGAATATTTTGAGTAGTTTTGAATTTTTAGAAACAAATCTACTTAGTTTAATGACAGCATTTTGAGATGCGTGTCTTTGAATCAGCCTTGTACATGAGGTTTCAGGCAGATCTCCCCCCCCCCCCCAAATCAGGTGTATTGAGTGATGTTGGCTTCTATATTATGGTCCCCACATGAAAGCCACTTTATGTCCCAAGGCAGTTATGACATAAGGGACCATTTGTGTCTCGTGGTTCATTGTGCAGAGTGGCCACTTTCTCTTCTTCTTCGTTTTAGCTGCTTGCTGTGACATTCAAAATAATTACTAAGTCTCAAGTGGTGCTACACATGAACACATGTGATAGTGGCCATCCTGAGGACTGATTTAATACAGCCTCCACACTTAAAGTGCAAACTGTGCCCAAGAGTGGTTTCAACATGAGTGCTAATAAAGTGCAAAACTGCTGTCAGTCGACAGATGACTTGTACAACCCAGTGCTCATAACCCACAGACATATCCTGTCCATCTCTCTATCATATCTATACAGGCATATTCACTTCCTCTTTTTTCCCTTCCCCCATCTCCTTCTCAACTGCCAAGAATGAGCCTATTACCCCTCCCATGATCGTTAATCGTGGGATCCTCCTAAGGTAGCTGTTATCTCTTACAGGTATTTAGGCTGGGATCCTCCCAAGGTGGTACAGTCAAACCTTGGTTCCCGAACGCCTCCGTTATCGTATGTTTCGGCTCCCTAATGCTGAAAACCCGGAAGTAAATGCTCTGGTTTTTGAATGTTTTTCGGAACCTGAACGCTTGGCTTCCACTCAAGTGCAAGAAGCTCTTGCAACCAATTGGAAGCCATGCCTCGATTGTTGAACATTTCAGAAGTCGAATGGTCTTCTGGAACGGATTACATTCGACAACCGAGGTTTGATTGTACACCTGTACACTATCTCTTGTAGATGTTTAGGCTGGCAAGCAGACAACTTACATGATTTAGCAGAATAAGGCTGTTTAGCAAGATAAGGCGAACTGCTGCCTAGGAGAGTGGTGAAGGCCTCATATCAGCGAAGGAGCAATTGTGACAGACCACTATGCCTCAGTGCACAATATACATTCTGCTGCGTTTCCCATACACCCTTGCAATACGAATTTTGTCTGCATCTTAACACAGCACTGAATTGCCATCACCACAAGTGGTAGCATGTGCAGCCATGGGCATTCAACTCCCCCTTCCCTGCTTAAATGGCTTTAGGATGTCTCACGCATCAGGCAGTTTCCCTGAGCAGGTAAGCACTGTGACAGTGTTTCGGAACCGCTGTTAACAAAGCAGAATCTAAGCACAGCTACACATTTTAAGAAGGCACAAGCTTACTGCTGGTGTTCCCCACAACAGATGCATACATAAAGTGTTAGTGACAGATACTCTTCCTTAATGTGTCATAGGGCTGTACCTAATCAGGGCTCCCAGACCAGTGTATATGGGTAAAGGAGCAAACGTGCCTGTTTTCCAACACTGTGCATTTTCGACAGGAAACCACAGCCTATCTGCAGCAAACACAATTGCTGATAATGTACCAATCCACTGTCATTTGGTGGATGACTTGTGGAACCCACCAGCCATAAGCCACTAATGTATCCTGTCCAGCTCACTATCATGCTTGTACAGGTGCACTCACTTCCTCTCTTTTCCTTTCCCCATCTCTTGCTCAACCAACTCTTGCACAAAGCAATCCCAAAGCAGAAGCTGTTGCTTTGGCTGGGGGTTGGGTGGAAACCCTCCACAGTGGCTGCCTGCCAGGAATGCTTCCACACTGCTGTACTTCTCTGTCAGGAAACCCCCTTGAGCAAAATGTTGCCCTTATTCCTTAGAAATGCCTCTCCTGTCCAATGTGGCCAAGGAAATATGGTAAGGCTACACCGAAAGCACGTTGGAGGCAGATTAACGGCAGTCAAAAGGCCATTTCTGATGTGTTCAGGGACAGACGTTTCCCAGTGATCACATGGGTACCTCTATATAAAAAAGTTACATGTAGACTAACATTACAGTATAATATCATAAATAGGATCTGTCAGGTTCTGTTCCTGGATTTAGCTCTGGAAAACTTTAACGGGTGATTAAGCACGCTATAATGGAACTCCTTGCGGGCACTGACAATATCATTTTCAAAAATGTATCAGTAAGCACATTTGAATTTTACCAAATTGCTTCCGCCACTATGCCTCAGTTGAGGCAATAAGAAAACAACATTGTTTCCTACTCAGTCCCCCCTTTCTCTCTCTCTAATATTATCAAATGTCTTTTTTTAAAAAAGGTTTTATTCATACTTTTCAAGTTTATACATTTCATTAGTTTCATTAGTTTTACAATCAATTTAACATCTCAAAATTTGACTTCCTTCCCTCTCTTTCTGCGGTTAAATTTATTTTTAAAAATATCTTCTGAATATCCAAATTCATTTAACTTGCTCATTTAATTATCTACTATAAATATATACTCTTATGAAACTGCAGGTTGTTACAATAATCCTGCTAATGTTTTTATCTGTTTACAATTTATCTGTAAATATTAAACAAACAAATATTATATAAACCATTTCCATTGTTTTATAAAAAGTTTGTTATCTTGATTTCTTATTCTTCCGGTAAGTTTTACCATCTCTGCATATTCCATAAGTTTTTGTATCCATTCTTCCTTTACTGGGACTTCGGCTTCTTTCCACTTTGGGACAAGTTTCCTACTCAGTCTCAGCTATGCAGAGCATGCCATCAACAGCCTCAGAAACAATCCTGACATCATAATTAAAGAAGCCAAAAAAGGGGAGAGGCTGTTATAAACAAGTGTCTACATATGAGTGTCTGAGAAGTTACTCTCCAACAGCACATCTTATAGTCCCCTTGTCCTCATACCCAGATGAGGAATACCAGAAGGACCTACATAACTTGATGGAGGAATTTCCTGCAGATGTGCAGGAGGCCTAAGTCTGCATAGATAAGATACATCCTTGGAAACTCAGTGAAGGGTTTTCTATCTGTTACTGAAAGTGCACAAGGCAATCCCAGATGCCCTACAGTTTGGGGCATCAGTACTATCACAATTGGGGTACCTGGGTGTTATGTACTGAAGTTCTCACCCTGGGCCAGCAGGGGATATTGTAGATAGTTATGCAAATGAAGGATCGAAAGTGACGTTCAGTGATTGGATAGTTTGTATGCAAATGAAGGATCGAAAGTGACGTTCAGTGATTGGATAGTTTTAGAAAATGGCAACAGTTACATTGTTCTGGAGCTCTATATAAGCAGGCTGACGGAGCTCCTCAGTTAGTTCTGTTCCAGCTTACAAATAAAGAGCTGCTTTGGAAGAATCGCTGTGTCGTCTGATATGTTCACCCACAACTTAACACTGGGTATGTAGACTTTATTCTCTGATCAAATACCATCAATACTCCTAGAGTGAGATCCTAGCCCTACTTGTGAGCTTTGCATAGAGAAATGTTTGACCATTGTGAGAACAAGATGCTGGACTAGATGTGACCAGCCGGGCTCTTCTTAGGTTCTTAGGAAAGTGTATTTGCTGGATGTGCCTCCAGCTACAATCTTATATACAGTGGTACCATGGTAGTCAAACGGCTTGACTCCTAAATAAATTGGCTCCCAAACACCGCAAACCTGGAAGTTAGTGTTCCGGTTTGCAAATGTTTTTTGGAAGCCAAATGTCTGATGCAGCACCCGTGGCTTCCAATTGAGTGCAGGAGGCTCCAGCAGCCAATCGGAAGCTGTGCCTTGGTTTTTGAACCGTTTCGAGAGTCAAACAGACTCCTGGAACGGATTAAATTCAAGAACCAAGGTATCACTGTACTCTTATGTCACATTGTGATGAGTGGGACTTACTGTTGTGTAACCATGCATATGATTGCACCCGATTCCCTGTTTCCAATATAGAACTTCTACCTCAACACAAGGTGTGAATCTACATGACTTGCCCACTCTAACAGCACTATAATTTTCCATCATTTCAATGAGAAAACATTCTGAGCACAATAACCAGAACACAATAAAACATAAAATTAATAGTGAAAACAAGAAAATCAGGAAGCAATTAATGCCAAATGGTTACCTTCAGAGCGCCCTATGATAGAAATATTCTTCACTGTAGACAAAAGCTTGGCAGGGATCAATATAAAATTGATGTATGAATGGGGGTGGGGAGTAATAAACTTACCTACCTCTCCAGAAAAATGCCTATTTAAGGCAATACGATTAAATTGGGAGATTAGTAGTACTGGTGCCATGCCAGAAAAATGATAGGGTATCTTTCATGCAATCTTTCAGGATTTTTTTTTAACCCTTTTACTTCTGAAAAATAAACAGTGCTTCTGGTCAAGGCTTAATTGGCACTGTTAAAGCAATTCTAGCATGAGTATTCACAACATTCTCTAATATCAGCCCAAGTAGTTCCTAATTTACTATAACAATGAAGAGAAAAGTCAGATATATATATATATATATGCATAAAAGAAAGGAAGGGCAATTAATGATCCAAGTTTAAAGCGCTGGCACAAAGGCAGCATTACTATAAAGGTTTTTAGTAGGAGAAATCTGGAAAGAGTGAAATTTGAGCAAGAGATCAGTTCATCGTTGTTGCTTAAATTGAATTTCTATTGGACCTTGTGCATGGCCTATATCTGCCTGCATTGCAAATGAGATTTGAAGTGGTTTGGCAATGCAAGGAAGACCCCTGTCAATGCTGAATTCCCCCATGCCACATGTAGAGAGGCAAGTCCACTAAGGAGAAGAGAGCACTGTAATATCAGCCTCAGTCTGCCTTCAGTAAGGAAGAGGGGGAATTAGTTGCCTCTGCCTGCATTTGACTTCTGGCTTCACCTACTGTTTTTGGCCCAAGCAGTCCCAATAGCCAACAGCCACAACTGCATACCGGTGGTGAAGGCTGGCCCATCAAGGCAAATGAGACAGTGCTCCACTAACCAACGTGCTGCCATCTGCCTTATTGCAGGGCGGATATGAGGGTAAACCATACGCGGAACGAGTCTGCCCCTGCGGCTTGATGGAGGTAGAAACTGTCTCTCATGCCTTGTTATGCTGCCGTTTCTATGGGGATATACGCACGGCATTTATTACCCCTGCTATGCAAAAATCTCCAAATTAATCCGAACTTCAATGTCTAAAATTCCTCGTAGAGGACAAGAATCCTGAGATCACGTTAAGGGTAGCCAAATTCTGTGCGATTGCCATAAAACTTAAGGAACAAGCTGTACTATCATAATGATTAAGGTTTTAAATGATAATGTTAGGTTATATGTTAGTGACTAAGTTTTAATTTATATACTTTTTAACTGTTGCTATATCTGTATTGTCCCTGTTATACCTAATTGCAAATTCAAATGTATCCCCATCATGTTTTATGACTTACCTGTGTTCTGCCCTATTGGCCTCAATGGGCACCAGGTACCACTGCATAGCTCGTTTCTCTCAATATGAAGAGATATTGGGTCATACTACTACTTCTGTTGTTAACAACTGTAGCAGAGCTAATAGTACAGACTTCAATAAAGAGTCACTGGGGGTTTGGGGGCTAAAAAGTGTTTAAAGAGAGGGAATGAATTTTAGCACTTCATTCACAACACCAATATATTTTAGACTGCCATGCAATCTTTTGACAAATTGTGGTATGGATTTTTTTTAATTAAAAAATATAATTATCAACAGCTTCTAGGAAAGGAAGGAACTTCTGCCATCTTTCCGGTTCAATGAGTGCTCAATTGCCTAGGGCTGCCTGTTCTGCCACTTTCCTCAACTTTTGTCCATTAGTCTCAGAGCACTAGAAGAAAGTGGCCAATGATTGCATTAATGGGTCTCCCATTATTTATTAAAACTCGGCACCACCAGTCGTCATTTGACTGAGCTGGGATTGGTACAATTAGGCAGAATTACTCTGGTGAGATGAGACATTTCAATAGATTTTACAGTTCTGTTTCTGGAGGCTCTTGTTACTATTATCTGAGGTCAGGTCATCAACCGCAGATGGAAAAGCACATTTGGAAAAGCAACAGGGAAATTCCTACACGGTTTCTGCCCTCTGCTGGTCAGTGCCAAAGAAAAAACATGGTTGTTCCAATACTGTACATGTATTAGACATATCATAGTGCATTTGTCTACCCCAGTCATCTAGTCATAGACTCCTGAAGGGCGAGGGTTGTAGAAGGAACCCCAGCCAGGTGAAGCAGCTTGTGACGTATGCTCAGGACGACCCAGGATTGAATCTAAGTTATTACCTCGAATTAGGAAAAGTGGTTAGGTCCTTTCAACAATCAGGCATACCTGACCCAATCAGGAGTGCTGCATGGATCAAAAGCCTGGCTCCTGCATGGACCAACAAACCTTTTTGGCCCACTGCTGGCAACCATGTGACCACCCCTTCCTATTTTACCTGATGGGCTGAGCAGATCTCATTGTCCTCTTCCCTCATCATCTCAGCCTCTCTTCTTCACCAGCTGACTGCATTCTACATTCTGCAAGGCTTGCCCCATCACATACCAGGGAACCTGCATTGGATAGAGCATACATTGGATATGATGGCTGTCCCGTGATGCAGAGGCAGCATATCTCCACTCCTGGCATGATGTAAGTAAAGGATTGCTCAGTAATCTTTTGTTAAAGCACTTGGACTTTACCAACGGTTTTCTGACTGCTGAAGTACACCAGACTTGCTAATGTTGCCCCTGATAGTATTCTCTGCTCTTTCCATTTCTCAGTACCTGTGGGACGGCTCCTCTCAGAAAGACCTACCACAACAAAAACAACACAACGTGACACTGGACTGAAAATATTTTTTAATGTGATTTTGACAAAGGTTATCTTAGATAAATATTTTTTATAATACTAATTTGCAATTGTATAAAACGTTGCATTATTACCTTCCTTGTGAATGTAAAGAAACTTACTCTAGAAGCATTTTTAGTGATAAAATGGTCATTTTGCATCTCTCAAGACTTTAGGTACATTTGAATGCTAAACTTAAAAAAAAAAGAAATGGGGGCAAGGAAAATGGTTGAGACTTTGACAGATCCAGCATAGTATTCAGTAATGCTGTATACAGTAATACTGTATTCAGAAGTGATGCTGAAAAACAGTTTACAGCTGATGACAATCTGGTCTAAATCCCATTAAGATCAAAGCTAGTTGTGTATGCTTTTCTGCTATGTCATCCTTCTCCAAACCCAGTAAAGCTGCTCAAAATAGAAGTTAATGGAGGCTCTGTCAATGTGATTTGAAAATAGATTCATGCTAACCATTAATTCGTTTCTATGACACCCAGTCTAACTGAGTATGTTCTTCTGCCTGTCTCCCACACAGATTCGTAAATCTTTATCCACATGAAAGTAACCTATATTGAAATATGAAGTTATTGGCTCTATTGTCTAAGATTAATACATATCAGACTAATTCAGTGTAATATTTCAGTGTAAACTTTGTAGCCCAATTCACTATACAGCTAAGCTAAACATTCTTGCATTTAGCCCCCAAAAGACATTCACATCCAATTTCTACATTGGGTGAAATTTCTATGTTTGGATGGAAATTTCTCATGGATTTCACTTGGATGTTTCCCCTCCATATGAGCAGATCGGTATAACCGGTAAACAGATGTCACCGTTCACCAATCACAGCCACAGACATCAGACATATGAGGCTACAATACAAATACCAGTTAATACTGGACTAGACAATTTAACACCGTTATTAAACAGTGCAGGGGCTAGAACAGAATTGGGGAACCTCTGGCCTAGGGGCCAAATTAAGCCTTTCAGGCCTCTCTGTCTCAAGGCTACAGCCTGTTTCCCTGCCCCCCATTTCATCCCAGCAAGCTAGGAGCATTGATGGACAAAATCCACCCAGGCAAAAGCATTTGATGAGGGCATAGTGGCTCAGGAGGCACAAGGGACCAGGACCTCTCCCATAACACCAGTAGTAGAGACTCCCATTACGGTCCCTGTCAATCCTGCAGTCCCTCCTGTTCCTCCATCTGCAGGCAGGGGGACTAAAATGCATAGCAAACACAAGGCTAGGGGGCATAACAGGAGGTGCAATATGTCCCCATCACTATCACCCTCACCCACCACCTCTTCCCATTCATCTGCCAGGGGGCAGAAGAAGGGGTCACACTAAGAAGTGTAAATACAATACCAAGAGCAGACATGGCCAGAAGCTTAATCTAGTCTGGAAGTAAAAAATAGCATGGATAGCTGATGCTAGGTCCACCTTTTCTGAGAGGCTGCAACTTGTGAATCTACTGAAATGATAAAAGGTACCCTGGCAACTGTCTCCACCTGGGCATGCAGGGAAAGCATTGGGTTGAAGAGTACAGTGGTACCTCGGGTTAAGAACGTAATTCGTTCCGGAGGTCCGTTCTTAACCTGAAACTGTTCTTATCCTGAAGCACCACTTTAGCTAATGGGGCCTCCTGCTGCTGCTGCACGATTTCTGTTCTCATCCTGAAGCAAAGTTCTTAACCCGAGGTACTATTTCTGGGTTAGCGGAGTCTGCAACCTGAAGCGCCTGTAACCTGAAGCGTCTGTAACCCGAGGTACCACTGTATTCCCAAGCGGTATGCCACTCTTTCAGTGAGTGTACAGACCCATGGAGGGTAAGATTACCGTAATATCCTTTTCTAGATCACCAGAATTTAGGGCTGCCAATGTAAAACAGGACAAGGCTTCTGTACCTTGAATAGTTCTGTACAAGAGGGACTTTCAGCAGCTCTGATCTTGCATGGCAGGCTACACCTGCTATAATTATTTACACAACTACTAGAGGTGCAAGAGCCCTGCCCTCTTTTGCGCCTGCTCTTGCTACCAGAATGACTGATTAACAATACCTCCACCTTAAGTTTTAGCTTATTTACTCCCATCCCCTCCTGAACACCAGATGCCGATTCATCACTTGCACTTAGCTGCTTAGTAAGGACGGATCAATTTGTCAATTACAATCTTTGTTTTTGTTTTTTTCAGATCCTAAGTCAATTTGCCACATCTCAGAATTACTGTATTTTCTGATATTTTTACAGTCCTCCTGAAAATTCTTCAGCATTAGAGTATTGGGAATGTATAAGTGATAATGAAATAACGTTAGTGGCATTTAAAGAAGCTCTGTAAAAACCTAAGAAATATTGCAAAAAAGAAAAACAGATGTGGAAGGGTATGTTAAAAGGCAATAGCAAATTTAGGAAATGTGTAATTAAAAAGTTTAATTCGGATGATTGTCAGAGAGGCTGAAGGAAGTCCAAAAATGAGAAAATTTGTTAAAGTTGTAATGTGGTGTGATATGTATTTTTCTTGATGAAAACCAATAAAAAATATTATTAAAAAAGAAAGAAAATTCTTCAGCATTTTAGTCCAGGTTTCTCCTAATATACACATTTTGTACATATGCAATTTTGCCTTTTGCAAGCAATTTCCCCATATATAATGCTCTTTTTTGTATGTTATTTTGCTTATGCAGTTTATGTAATCCCCCCCCCACGTACACAATTTCATATGCATTTTTGGATAGGAGAACTGGAGCACAAAATGTGAAGAAGTGGCAATTAGAAAGAATAATAAGAAATTCAAATAATTGGAATGCTTTAAATCTTTTAAAATCATGTAAGTTGGTGGTAATCGCCACATCTTGTGACAATGAATTCTAGAAATTAATTTGGTATTGTGTGAAGTACTTCCTTCTGTATTTTGAGGAAGATCATCTCGGAGCCTGATGCAACTGAACTCTCCCTCTCCTCAACCTGGGCTATCTACTACCACATGCCCTGTGGAAAGGATCCTGGTAAAGTATTATATTCCAAAATTATTGCTGTGGTTTTATTAAAGTATCTCTGTTACTTGTATGCCATCTTAGAAGGGTTTGTATCCTCAAAGATGGGGGGGGGGACATATATACACACATATAGTATGCCCTTAACTACTGCTAATCAGTTTCATTAGATTATCCCTGGTTCTGGTATTACGGGAGATTTTGTTCACCATCTCCACACTTCACATAATTTCCTAAATCTCCCTCATACCCACTCCCTTTCCCCCCCTAAACAACCCCCTACCCAGTGTACTGGCCATTCCTCCTAGCAAAATTGCTCTAACTCCCTTATCATTTTTTCCAGCTGTTTTTTGAGATGGAGCAACCAGAACTGTACATGTGCTAGCACCATAGATTTATATAAGAGCATTATGATACTGGCAGAAATAGCTTTTTCTAGGTAAACTGTTCCTTTTGTCTTTTCACAGATTATCATGATTGAGATAATCACTGGGCAGAACATGACTCTCAAGCTATCCATCTGTCAGGAAATTTTCCTATGCAAATCTCATTGAAATGAACCAAATCTTGTAAGAAATTATTGTCACTATGGTAGAACTCTTCCACACCTCCTACTAATTTCAGTGCAGCTTGTGTATTGAGACTGAGCTCAATGAGACTTGCTCCCGGATGTTATTAACACTTTCGGGGCTTGCTCCTGAGTATACACAGATAGAAAACATTTAAGATGAAATGAACTTTCATAGACAGTGAGTTTTAATACAACAAATACATTATGCACAATGTATTTTTTTAATCAATTAAAAAAAGGCTCAAGACAGTAAACTGTATAATTTATTCACCTGTTTTTGCTTCTTTTTCTGCTTTAAAACCTTTACTAAAGAGAGAACCCACTAGCCTGAATTAGAACTAGGACATGAAATTAAAGCTGAATAAACATGAATTCTGTTTGAATACTTTTTGGATGAAATCTTTAAAAAGCCAAGTAGAAAGGGGAGAATTATTTTAAAGAATTATATAAAATCCCTGACTCTACCTAATTACTATTAACAGCTTCCACTGTATTCAGGATGTAAGGAGTGTTTTATGTACCGTCAGATACAAAAGATTACAGGGCACCTGCATCTTTAATACTTGTGTACAAGAGGGAGAAGCTACACCCTTAATCCCTGACCTCCTTTGCATCTGGCCATCCTAACAAGACAATCTTATCTACGTCCCACTGTGTTCAGTGGGACTTATTGCAGGCAATAATCACGTGACTCTTCCCCAGGCATCTTAAAGATGCATCGAAGTGTTAGGATTTGTTGCATTTCCAGGGTAGGATGGTATTTATACGGATTTATGAATCCATACACAGTATATGTTTTTGTATCAGGTTTCCCCTGCTACAAATAATGTCAAATGGTGTGACTGTGAGAAGTTAGTAAATCTGCTAGAAAATATTTTGATACTCCTTTTTGGGTACCATCTAATACAGTTACTTGGGGGAAAGTTCCACTAAACTCAATGGAGCTTACTTCTAAGTATACATATATAGCACCACATTATGTGGATTCTGCTTGAATGGTACAATTGCTCCTGAAAACTAGGGTCATTACCTGCCAATATTGTGTATATTGCATGGATGGAAAATCCCTGTCCAACTTCAAATGTGGTCTTCAGTGATCTCTGCTCCGCCTATGCATCTCAGGAGGTGCATTTTATTGCAGAGCAAGCAGCCCTCCACTTCCCAGGAATTGCATGTGGGGGTAATGAACCTCCACTGCTGACCAGGGCCGGCCCACCTTGGGCGGCAGGATCCACAGGAGCAGCAGATCCCGATGAAGATCTTTATCCCCCTCTTGTTCCTGATGTGGACTTTCACTCAGCTATTCTTCTTCCCTGGCAGGGAGGAGGATGCTATTTTGTGGTTCACCTCGGGTGTCAAAATAGCTTGGGCTGCTCCTGCTACTGGCACACCAGGGCTTGTGAAAACTGTACCATTGGAATACCTGCATCAGTTACTGCACGAAGCAGCCTATTTAAAATGTTCAGCGGGGAAAAAAACAAAGGGGGGGGGGCTGCAGCTGTCGCTAGGACTGCATGGAGGTTTAGGATCTGGGTACCACAGAAGAGTCCTCCCCAGTTGCAGAACTTGTGGTGTGCTTCAGGACCTAAGCAATTTTTTTTATTCGTTTGGACTTTCAAAGTTAACGTTTATTATTTCGAAGTACTGAACGTATATTCATGTTACGGTGTTTTTACTGTATGTAATGTTTTATATACTACTGTCGGAGCCAAGGCAAAGATGTTTTTATGGACGTTTTATCAGTGCGGGACTCTGGGCGGTCCTCCGCATTTCTGCAGCGGAGGCAGGGCGAGTTCTGAGGGACGAAGGCCGGTGACGATGGAGGCAACGCTGTGCGCAGGAAACGCCAGACTCCGAGCTTTTCCCAGCAGAACCACCAACGCCGCCTTGCCTTCGCGCCTCAGCCAAATCAAACGAGCAAGGCCGCGCCTTATCTCCAGCGACAATCGTCGACAGGCCAATGAGCGGACGGCTACTGAATCCCAGCCGCCAGTTGAAACGGTCGAGTTGGGCATCGCCAACATCCAATCAAATCAAAGTTGCAGCGCGAGACCTCCCCGCCCCGCCCGGTCCCACGCTAATAGGAACAAGGGAGAGACAGGAGCCCGGATTCGAAGAAAATGGCCAATGAATGCTTGGGCGACTCGGGCTGTGACGGAGGGAGAAATAAAGACGACTGACAGGATTTTTGTCCAACCCAATCCCAGCTCCTGCTCGTAGCCTCTCCATAGCTGGCCTATAGTGTGACTCTCCTGCTGCCGCCGTTCAGCGGAGCTCACGGACCTTCGGAGTGACGGGCGCCTCGTCTAATAGGATGATGAGCGCTAGTTAAGAAGGAGGGTTTCCGCTTCCGGGGCTCTGGGCCGATTTTTCCCTTCCCCTCGCCTCACACTGACAGACTTTCTGTGCAATTAGAATGGCGGACCTCGGTTAAGTCGTCCAATGGATGCGAAGTGGGCGGAGTTGCCGTGTGCAGGAGGGTTCCAAGATGGCGGCGGGTGCGTGAGGCGCGATACTCGGCGCGCGATTCCCTCTTGCTGGCGCTCGCCGCCATGAAGGGCAAGGAGCGTTCCCCTGCCAAGGCCAAACGGTCCCGGGGCGGCGAGGACTCCTCTTCGGCGCGGAGCGAGCGGAGCAGCAAGAAGCCGAGCAACGGCGGCGGGAAGTCGGCGAGCGGCGGCTCTGGCGAGGGTGGCGGCGGCAGCAGTCGGCGGAGCCTTCACTTGGAAAAGGCCAGCCGGGCCAGCAGCCGCGAGTATGACTCCGCCACGGTGGGCAGCTCCGGGGGCGGCGGCAGCAGCAGCCGCCACGGTTACAGCAACAGCAGCAGCAGCAGCAAGAACGCGGAGTCGTCCTCGCGGGGCAGCCGCGGCGGCGGCGGCGATTCCCGGGCGCCCCCCTCCGACTCCGGCAGCAGCAGTGAGTACAAGACGCTGAAGATCAGCGAGCTGGGCTCTGCGCTGAGCGACGAGGCGATCGAGGACGGGCTCTTCCACGAGTTCAAGCGCTTCGGGGACGTAAGTGTCAAAATAAGCCGCCTGCCGCCCGGCACCGGCGCTGGCGACGAGCGGGTGGCCTTCGTCAATTTCCGCCGCCCCGAGGACGCCCGGGCTGCCAAGCATGCTCGCGGCCGCCTGGTTCTCTACGACCGGCCGCTGAAGATCGAGGCTGTCTACGTGGGGAGCAGCAGCGGAGGGGGGAGCGGCCGGCGTCGCGCCAGCCGTTCTCCTGCCCTTTTGGACAAGGAATCTCCCTACGGAGCCGCAGCGGTGGGTGTTGCAGGTGCGGCACCTGCAGCTATCAGGCACCCCTCGACTGGGGCTACTCAGAGGGCGCTTTCTCCTGCTGGTGGAGGAGCTGGCTTGGGATACAGAGACTTCAGGCTGCAGCAGCTTGCCCTGGGCCGCCTTCCTCCGCCACCGCCACCTCTGCCTAGGGAGTTGGAAAGAGAACGAGATTATGGGGGCTTCTATGACCGCGTGAGGCCCGCTTACAGTCTGGATCGAGTTGCCGGGGTGGCGGCAGCTGCATTTCGTGGGGTTGGTGGCACTGGAACAGCCAGTGAGGAAGAGATTAGCCCCGAAGATGACCAGAGAGCCAATCGTACCCTATTCCTCGGCAATCTGGACATATCGGTGACTGAATCGGATCTACGCCGAGGTTTTGACCGCTTTGGGGTAATCACTGAGGTGGACATCAAGAGGCCATCCCGAGGTCAAACTAGCACCTATGGATTTCTCAAGTTTGAAAACTTGGACATGGCCCACCGGGCTAAACTTGCTATGTCCGGTAAAGTGTTGCTGCGTAACCCTATCAAAATTGGCTATGGTAAGGCCACCCCAACCACACGACTTTGGGTGGGTGGTCTGGGGCCTTGGGTACCATTGGCTGCTCTTGCCAGGGAGTTTGACCGTTTTGGCACTATTCGCACCATTGACTATCGTAAAGGTGACTCATGGGCTTACATCCAGTATGAGAGCTTGGATGCTGCACAAGCTGCTTGTAGCCACATGCGTGGTTTTCCTTTGGGTGGGCCAGACCGCCGTCTCCGGGTGGACTTTGCTGACACTGAGCATCGTTATCAGCAACCTTATTTGCAGACATTGCCACTTCCACCCCCTCCTCACTATGATCTGGTAGCAGAGACATCTGCCTTTGGGGCACATCGTGGAGCCCCATCGGATCCACTCCGAGGTGCTCGGGATAGGACTCCACCCCTAGTGTATGGCGATCGTGACAGAGATCTCTATCCTGAGACAGAGTGGGTGCCTCCCCCACCTCCAGTTCGGGACAGGGGGAGCAGAGCAACTGTTTATGATACACTAGAAAGTTTGGAACGCCGACGAGATGGTTGGTCTCTAGAAAGAACTCGTGGGGAAAGGGAGTTAGTCATAAGCAGTAGGGATCTACCCAGGAAGCGAAGGCTAGTGGAAGATGGGGGGCGGCATTTGGACCGTTCGCCAGACAGTGAACGATCATCTTCATCTCGCAAGCGTCACTGTCCTGCTGCAGCCTCTCCACAAGATCGTAGTCCTGAGCCAAGTATGGGCAGAGACCGCTATAGTAGCGATGCAGAACGACCAACCTCTCGTTTGCTGTTGCTGGAGCGCCCTTCACCCATCCGAGAGCCACGCAAGGGTAGCTTGGAGCGAAGCCAGAGTGAGAAGCGTGACCGCAAAAGCTCTGAGAGGGAAAGAAAGCATCGCACACTTACCACTGCTACCACCCAAGAATGCAAAAGTCCAGCTAAAAAGGATGAGCATGCATCCGAAGGCAGCAGTGGTGGAGGATCTCGGCTGAAACCTCCACCTCAAAAGCAACAACTGCAGGATGGAACCTCAAAGTCTGGGTCATCCCCCAAACTGTGCCTGGCCTGGCAAGGAATGCTTCTATTGAAGAACAGCAACTTTCCGTCTAACATGCACCTACTTCAAGGGGATCTGAGTGTGGCCAGCAGTCTCCTGGTGGAAGGAGCAACTGGTGGCAAAGTGGCCCAGCTAAAGATCACACAGCGCCTCCGTTTGGACCAGCCCAAGCTGGATGAAGTTACCCGCCGTATCAAAGTGGCAGGGCCCAATGGATATGCTATTCTTCTGGCTGTGCCTGGTACCACAGACAACCGTGCCTCATCTGGGGCTGGTGAAGCTAACACCACCTCTACACAGCGGCCGCTCAGAAACCTGGTGTCCTATCTTAAACAAAAACAGGCAGCTGGGGTGATAAGCCTCCCAGTAGGGGGCAATAAAGACAAAGAAAACAGCGGGGTCTTGCATGCTTTCCCACCCTGTGATTTTTCTCAGCAGTTCCTGGATTCTACAGCCAAGGCCCTGGCTAAATCAGAGGATGACTATTTGGTCATGATCATTGTCCGTGGTGCATCTTAAAGCCCTAATACTTTCTATGCTCTCTCCTGCTGCTTCACACAGCCCCCCTCCCCTCTGTTCCAGTGTCTGCCAGGTGCTATGCGATAAGCCTTAGCCACTTCCCCAAGTATAATTTTAATTAAATATGTAGTTAATCTTACCTCCCCTCAGTTTTCTATAAACTCTCTAGAAGGCAGACTTGTTAGCTGTTCTTTAGTATGGCTAGGCTACCATGACTGTCTTGCTGATGTGCAGGTAGCAGGAATGGAAGGTCTGCTTCAACTAAAATATGAATCCCAGAACAAGCGTATTTCTTTCTCCTCTCCCCCTTTTTAAAAAAATACCCTTTAACTTCTTGTCCTCTTTCATTTCATAACTTTAAAGTAGACATAAAAACTTCCCTACATTTACAAATCTAAATGGCCAGATTTAAAGCATTTGTGGCTCATACAGAATCACATGCCTAAAGCAAATGCCCATTGTGAGCCCTATGGTTAAGTGAAGGCCTTGGGCTTGTAGCCTTGAAATCAAAATAATCCCTCCATCAAGAACCTGAAAATAACATCTGAGTTTGAATTGATTCAGGGTTGACTTCCCCAAGGCAGATGATACTTTATCTTTTGTGGTACACTAGGCTTCTTTCACTGGGTATTAGTTTTGTTGCCAAGTTCATAGAAGTGCATGCCCACAAAGAATGTGTACACAGGTGTACTTTTGAATCTCTTATTCATTTTGGGTTGTAGTTGTGATACATGATAAAGAACCAAGAGCATTGCTATAATCCATGAACATCTTGCGCTTCAGTATGTAAGAAGCAGGTGCTTTGAAGACAACTGTGATTACTTGCATTTTTGTTATTGCCCTTTGCTAATTGTGGTAGGGACAGTGAATTCCAAAATGTAACTTGGAAATATAAATTTCTGAGATGGCACTTAACTTTTGTAAAAAGTTCTGCCACATAACCATTTCAATATCATTTTATAGCCATGAAAATAGAAGTGAATGCTACCTGGTAGTTACTTTCAGGTAAAAAAACGGGCATTATGCAAGGTTTTATAGTCTGGATTGCACTGTTTTAATCTTGACATTTTTGCAGTCTTATATTTCCAAGTGTAGGGGAAGCAGTTCAGTTTATTCAAAGAACATAATTTGGGTTTTTTTGGGAAATGAGGTTTTTTAAACTCCACAAAAACATCCTGATACAGATAGGGGGGAAGTAGTTCAGACATGTGGCTTCATTTTTCTAATATTTTCATTCAAACATTTTATTAACCCTCTAAGGCATTGTACCAGCCTCTGAGTAATGAAGAGTGCTGTTTTCCACTTGATGTAAAATGGTTTTGCCCAGGTATAAAGATTTACATTCTTTGAAATGTGGCTTGGTGAAAGCAACATGTTGCTCATTGTAAGCTTAAATTGAGAAGCATGTTAAAGTCACTTTTTAGAGTGAAGCCTCATTTCTGAAATCAGTCAATCCTTTCACTTTTTAGCACCCTAAAACCCATTGATGAGTAAATGCAAGTTTCAAATAACCACCAGCACACACTGAAAATGTCTGCTGTCCTGTAATAAAGGAAGAAAACTTTGAACTGTGGGCTGAAGAGCCCTTCAATGTGCATGCAAAATCTAGCCACTTTCCTTACTATTAATGAGAATTCTGTAGGGAGTTGTTTTCATATATTCTCTGCTTCCAGACGAAGTCTCAGTAAAATAGGCCTATGTTGCCAGTTAGTGCATAACATGACTGTTGCTGAGTTATCCATGTTATTGCACTTGTCAAGCGCTGGTGGCATATAGAGTGGATTCTCTTACGGTTATTGTAACAGAGCTTGATCTCTATGTTAGACTTCTGAGTCATTTATGGAAGGCCACCTATGTAACCCTTCAAAACCTTTATATTTGTGAACAATAGTACCCATTCTCCAATATGCAGTACTCTTTTGAGAAAAGCCCTACAGAACTTGAATTTGCAATAAATTGTATGAATAGTCTTGCTTACAAGCAAGGCACTGACAACTGGTGTCAGAAAAACTCAACACCATGGGGTTTCCTCTTTGAAAATGGAAACAAATTATGTTCATTGCTGCTTATCTTCATGACTTGAAGTATGTTAAGGTTATGTGAAATGGGCAATTTCAATTTCCAAATCCTTACTTAGATTTTTTTAATTATTATTTAGTAAAAAATCTGGTTCATTTGTTAGCTAGAAAAGGAAACCTAGCATTTTAGGAGCCCTTTGTAGGGTAAAACAATTGACAAGCAACATTAAATGTCACAGCACTTAGTTAAAACCGCCATAAAATCTAAATACAAGTTTGGGGGGCTGTATTTACTTTTGAGTGTGCATAACAGAGCAATTATCCTTTTGAGCCATCTGGGTAAGAGTTCAGCACTAGCAAATGTTGCATTTAATGCCACTTTTATACACAACAGATCAGAGTTATTTTCTCTGTATATGGCATTATGGAGCTTCAGTATGAGCGATGCACACTTGATTGGTGCATATATTCACAACTGTTTTCATTCATTAAGTGTATTGTGTTAGAATGGAGAATTATCTTTTTCTGATACATCATTTAATAGCCACTTTTTGTTGCTTAGGGGAAAAAACTTTTAAGTGGCATATTGCCATTAATACTTTTTTTTTTTTTAACAATTGGAAACTTTAAACAGCGGTTTGGCTGTTAGCCAGTGACTGCATGCTTGAAAGTTCAGCATAAAGACTGCTGTTGGCTGACAACATGGCATGAATTTAAGGCTACCTCATTATTGTGAGATCCACTTCTGTGTTCTGTAGAATGGCTTCCTACATGGGCGGTCCAAATGGGAGCAATCGAAGTGGAGGCAAGATTATAGCATTTTTAAAGCAATCTTCAGTGTGGATCATTTCCCTAGGAGTATAATAGGCAAAATAAATTTGGGTGTCTTAAGCAAGCAGCTGGAGCCTGGCCATGATTTGGAGTGAAAAGGTGCATGGAAAAACCTCCTGGAATTAGATGGTTAAATGGAAAAGCTAGAGGTTACCACAAAAGTGTATTCAGGAACTATACTTGGGGGCACTTGATAAAATTTGAATACAAATTAGAAGTGAAGAAATCAATGTAAAAATAAGATGTGTAGTAATTTACCCTGGCTTCCATTTATTTTGTGTAGATAAGAATAGATACTCCAGATGTGTCATGGAATGTAAACATTTCCAGTTGTATTTGACCAAACTGCAATACTTTAGAAAAACTGGGGGGGGGGGGTGGTGGAATTGTGCAGATGTAATTTGGTGGAATTTGATGTATATCATTGGCTTCCCCTCCCTCCTGCAACTAGTGGGCTTGCTGCTAGTAATATGCAGTAAAGTGAGAAAATACACATACAAACAGAACAGTTAACTTTCATGTTCTTGTTTGAGTTGCCTTTTTGAAAAAGCGAAATTGTGTGAATTGATTTTCCTCCTGGGTTTTTACCTTTTTTTACCAGTTCAGTTGAATAACTTCAAACGGTATTTTATGTTTTAAAACCCCTGGGCTATTCATTGTGCATCTATATATAGATGTTAATTCATTTCAAAAGTTTTGTGCCAGTGAAGGGTGATTGGTGCTTTCAGACTTTCCCTAGAATATTCAGGAAAAGCCTTGTAGTTCTATAAATTATCTGTTAATGTAGGGAGAGGACAACTCTGTTGTAAACACTTGTACTGAATAACCTCTTCTTTCCTCCTGAAAGCAAGGCTGGTGAACTGCCGAAGACAACAAGGGATTCCAAGCTCTAATGGACCTTTGCGAAGAAAAGCTTTGGCTTGTGTGGAATTTACATGGGCCTCGTGGAAGAAAGCTTATCTGTTTAGTATTTGTGCATTTTACTAAAATGGCAGCTTAAAAAAAAGTTGTGTATCTGCTATTGTGATGCCAATGCCCGTGTTTTAAGTGGAAAATTGACCTCTTTGCTTTGTGCTGTGTACACAAGATTTCTGCAAAAGTAAAGGAAAAAAACCTTTTTATGGCTCACACAGCTTAAACTAGCTGTCACTCAAAACATGCGCTCACAGTCGAGCTAATTTTGTTTCATTCTAAATAAATTGTTTCTTTTGAGGAAAGTGGTTTTTCTGCCTGGAAATGAATTGACAACAAACCTTTGACCCCTTTGTTTGCAGCTGTGGGGGTATTTTGCTGCTGCTGCCACTGCCGCCGCTCCTCCTCCTCCTCCTCGATCTGATAGTTGTGGGTCTCAGACAAGAAGCAGGGAGACCTACGCATTGATATTGACCATCCTGTTGTATCAGATCTGAAGAATCTAGTCTGTTGTGTTGCTGTGTCCCATTGTTTACAGTGAATGGGGATCAATGGCTGCTATCTCCTCATCTTTACGAGGAAATGGTGCTGTTGCTGGCATGCAAGAAGCAGGGAAAGCATCTTTAAGTCTCAGAACAGTGTACAAATCTGGGACTTCATTGATTTTGAAGAGCTGGAGTTCCTGAATTTTAAGTTCTTGATTTGTTTTGTTCACCTAACTTGTTTGGCCTTAGTTCTGATTTTAGTTTGAAGAAAGTTTGAAATTGCTTTGCATCTTGCGCATAGAAACCTTTCCACCAAATTGAAAAAAAGAAAAAGTAACTCAAAAAAATTTAAGTGATAGCGCGTTTCCAGACAGCTTGAAAGAGCTCCTCCGCATCCAGGGGCTTTTCACCAGAGTTGTGCAGTCCTGGGTGTAGTTCTGAATGGATGAAGAGTTCCTGAGAGCTAGAATGCTGTCATTAAAACCTGTACCATTGGTATTGGTGCTCTTGACCAGTTTTGAAGCAAATTGTCTACACACCTTGGATGTGCATGCAACCTTGATCGTTTCCTAGGTACCACTGCAAACTTGTAGTTTGTAGTACAGATGATGAGAGGAGGAAAAAAAGTGGTGACACTTTGAAAAATGTGTCCCTGCATTTGGGGACCTTGAGCTTTGGAAAGCTGTTCCCACTGTGCAGGAGTACAACTCTTTGCTGCAGGAGACTTCGGGGCACGGTTGACGTCACACCACCAGAGGTCAAGAGGAAGCGAACAGTGCTGCACCTGCACCGTGGCTGCAGAAACCGCATATGTTTGCCATTCTGTCTTAGAATTAACTAGTTGCCATTTGACATGCAGATGGAAGACATCTTGAAATACAAGCTTGCTCTGGTTGCCTTGAAATATTTAACCTATTGTGGATAAAGAACACTAGCACTGTCCTGTATTCACGCAGGATGATTGCTAGGCAGCAGGTGCTTATCAACACACGGATGCAACGATTGTGTTCCACAAATTATGTGTTCCCAAGGCAAACTGCTGTTTAAAACACTTAAACAGGTAAGGGATTTTAAGAGGTCAAACTAAATTGTAATTCTAGGGAGCTGGGTTTACTGCTTTTAGGCTTTTCTCATTATATTATAGCCTTCTAAGTCCTTAGGTAACTGGTATATCTCTTACTAACTCGCTTTTACCCAAAGTGCTATGACTTCCTGGATGGCTGAGTACTAATTCAAACTTGTCATTTAATGTCACTTTTAGTTGATTTCTGATTTCCTTTTTTTAAATCTGCAAATAGTTGAGCGGTCAAGCTATTGGATGGTATCTAACTTAGTAGTACTGAGAATAGACCCATTTAAATCAATGGACTTAAGTTAACTTAAGTCTGTTGATTTCAGTGAGCCTACCAAGTATGACTAGTTGGATACCACCCATTGTTCCTAATAATAAATGTGGATATTTCTGTTGGGTAAATTAAAGTACTGGCTCAAAGGGCTGCTTCACACGTGGCTTTCTATATGGTCCAGGACATCACTTTTCTGTATTAAAATCAATGCAGTCATGTGAAAATGCACACTTGGTGTTGTGTGCATACCTAGAAACATAAGCAGATGCTCATCATTTGATCATGCCTTTTCCTGCATGGAATATATATAGGAAGGTCATTGAATGTGAAGAGATAGTCATACTTAGATTTTAAGTGATTCAGATATTGTGAGGATATTGAATTCTGGCAAGTGATACAACAGATCTGCTTGAGTAATGATGGAGCATATTAGAACACAGCTTGGTATCAACAGGCACAGTTTAAATTTTTGTCACAACTGTCTGGGTTTTGGCAAGTAATTTGAATTTCCCCTCAATTGTCTTTTAAGTACAGAAAGAAAAAAGACCTTTTAAATAAAGAAATGGAAAGAGGTGGTTACACATCCTTTATCGAAATCTGAGTAATTAGGACCATCACCAGCACAATCCTGTGCATGACTCCTTGGAAGTAAATCCTGTAAAGTTCAGTGGAACTTACTTCCAAGTAAGTGTGTGTAGGATTGCAGTCTACTCTGATGGTGCGAATGCCACAGCTGATTTAGATGTTCACACTTGAAATGCAGTCTGCTATATTTACAGTATTCCTTTAATGATTTTTTTCTTAGAGGATCGTTCAGGTGAATTGAGTTGATTCACTTTGAATTAAAACTACACAGTTGTTTGTACTTTCCCTCTTATTGTTTACTCCAGTATCTTTTAATTGCAGTTCATTTGTGATGCTGGGGGATGCTCTAATGGCTGCTCCATAATAGTGAGTTATTTCTTCACAGGATTGGTCAGCCCCTCTGGATTGGTTAGAGGGACATCTTTGTCTGAAAGGTAAACTGTACATTTTTCTTAACATACTGAATTCCTGCTGCTTAAGTTGGCTTGGGCTATGGCATATAAGAATATGAAAAAAATGGATTTAACTCTAAGCATACCAAGCAGAGAGAAAAGTATTTAAATACTGAACCTGCTTCTTTATAACTATGCATTCTATGGTAAGAATATTTTTGAAGTTCTTTGCTTATCTTGAACTGCACACCAAGTTTGCCATTCAGTATATTAAGAGCGTGATCCAGCAAAAGTTAAGTCTCATTAATAGACTTTCATTAAGGGGGAGTGAAGAGCATACATATTTTTTCTCAGAAATCAATGGGACTGAAAAGTGCTTAGCCATTGCTCTTTAGCATTAGTTAATTTTCATAAGAAAATGATTACAAACAGGAAAATATTTAAAAATAATGTACAACCAATTAAAAAAATATAACTGACACAACTGAAAGTGGATTGGTAGATCAGTGTTTAAGGTTCTAAATCTTCAAGCTAAGCATTTCATTATAAAACGTATATAAGATACACCAAACAATATAAAATATTTCTGCACCTCAATAAGAGATGGTTTGTAGTTGTATGCAAACTCTTACTTCTACATTCTGTCTCTGAATATTTGAGAAATAGCAATTGCTTACACTTCAGTGTAGTGTCTGAAGGAGGACTGGGAAAAACACCTATTCTTAATTAAAAGAAGTATCAATTTGATCCCCATAGAATTCACAAACCAGTGTATAGTTCTAGATGTTAACGTTATCTTTTCACAACAAGGGCTACAAAGAACTTTCTCTGTATTCGTAGGATGGTATCCAACTCTGAGTTGACTCCAGATCAATGGACTTGGGTATAACTTAGTTGGATACCTCCTGTTGCTGTTTTGTTAGGTTGTAAAGGAAAATAGATTGGTTGAAAGCTATTATCAATGGAAGCTTATCTAAAGTGTCTCATCTAATACAAATTTTAAGTTTAGCAATTGGTAAAATGTAGAGGTATGGACATAAGTTAGTGTCTCGAGTTATTCTGTTTTAGGTAATTTGTTAAAACTAAGACGATAAAAAGTAGGCTGTGATCTGTGAGTGGTCATAGACCACTGATTATTTTCTGGCAAATCTCCTTGTACCTGCTGCTTTTTGGGTTATTGGAAAGAAAGCTGGGAGTGTGTAGACCTTGGTCAACCAGCAGGGCACTTGTTGCACAGGTTAGTTATGCCCTAATTTAAAGATACTCTTAAGTATGTACTTTTGCTTTGAAAATTTAAAAGAAGTTGGTGGTCCATGGGGATCCATGGTTAGACCAAACTTCGCTAACTTTGTGACCTCCAGCTATTTTGGACTGATGGAAGTTTCAGTCCAAAACATTTGGCATGCACCAAGTTGGTGAAGACTAGATTGGATCCAACATGTAAGAAAGACTAACATTGTTCTTCCCTTAGCTTTCGAGCCTTGTGCTCTGTAAAGTGTCTTCTCCAACCTTCCCCCCAAGATGTTATTGGACTACTGATTTCCTCATCCTTGACAGTTGCCCAGCTGATGGGACGATGGAAGTTGTTGGACTACAACATTTGGGAACAAGGTTAGGGAAGGCCGCTTTAGAACATTGGATCATGAGAAATCGGTTACAATTAGCACTAGATCAGGGATGGAAAACTGTAGCCCTCTAGCTGTTGTTGGGTTTTTAGCCAGTGGTGAGGGATTGTGGAAGTTGTCCAGCTGCACAGGTTCGACATCTGCATTACATAGTGTCAGTACTGCATTTGAACCCGAGAAGTTTGTGTGAGCTTTATGGATCCCATTTTGGACATCCTAACAATGTGAGGAGTTTGCCTTCTGATGCTTCCTGATCTGGGGTTTTGAATCAGAAGAGAGTGATCCAACTAACTGATCTTTAGAGGCAGAGGAGAATGAGCGCATAAGGTATGCCAGTTTTCATACTTGAAGAGTATATCAAACAAGCAGGTAATACTAATAAGGTGGCCTTAAAAGTGCTTATCCAAATAATGGAGGGTCTTTTGGTAAGAAATCAACCTTGTGTGTGAAATTACTTACATGTTGGCAACTTAATGTCAGGGGTGTCCGCAGTTATAGGCTGCATCCATTTACAGCTTTTATTGGGCATGTGGCCCTCCAGGCCTCTCTAACTAGCACTCGGGACTCTCTCCAGGCCACACTCCCTCCTGAGCCACCAGTCCTGTTTGCACTCTCATTTGAGTACTTTTGCCTGGCTGGAATGTTTTTGATCATGCTCCTTGCTTCTCTGGCTGGAACGTAGTAAGGGATATGTGGATGTGAAGAAATTAGCTTAGTATACAAAGGTAAAAAGTTCACATGCATTGCTTTGCCTGCTTTTTCCTTCTGGGCGTCCCCAACAGTGGCACATGGCTTCTGGAAAGTTGTCTAGAAGGGAATGTGGACCTTGGACGGAAAAAATGTTCCCCACCTCTGGCTAATATTCAGGCTTTTGTTGTACATACAGTGGTATCTCGGGTTAAGAACTTAATTCGTTCCGGAGGTCTGTTCTTAACCTGAAATTGTTCTTAACCTGAAGCACCACTTTAGGTAATGGGGCCTCCTGCTGCCGCTGCACGATTTCTGTTCCCATCCTAGAATCATAGAATCATAGAATCATAGAGTTGGAAGAGACCACAAGGGCCATCGAGTCCAATCCCCTGCCAAGCAGGAAACACCATCAGAGCACTCCTGACATATGGTTGATATGCTCCTGATATTGCTCCTGAAGCAAAGTTCTTGACCCGAGGTACTATTTCTGGGTTAGCGGACTCTGTAACCTGAAGCGTATGTAACCCGAGGTATCTCTAATGCATCCACACTGCAGTCTCCTTTGGGGCAACACTTAGATGTATTCAGGGCTTAGTGAATGCTGTAATCCTGCACAGAGGCAGATTTTAAATATTCTGCCCAGAAGGCAGCATCCTGAGGCACTCTGCTTTCATGGTTTAAAGTGGGAGTGAAGATGTGTACAGATATGCCTACTACATCTTAAGTAGAGGAGTGGGGACATGTGAATAGGATTCCCACTGGTTAGAAGGGTAGGGTTTTGATGCCCTGTGTAGATTCTTGTTCCTCATTAATAATGGAACCAAAATAAATTATGCAAGATAAGCAAGTATATGTAAGCATGAATAATTTATAATTAGCTAAATTTAGATTTTCTGAGTACAGAATTTTGATTTTGGTGCACACAGCCCTCCATTTACAGCCAGTCAGAATTTAATCTCTGGGACCTTCGTCTGTGGCACCTGAGCTTCTGAGAAAATGTAAATGCAAGAAAGTGCCATATTTGTTTTCCTACATTAACTTTCTGTGTTTTTCTGATCACTTGGACCTCTTTCACTGCTTAGGTCAGGATGCAAAAGACAAGAAGCTCAGATGTGCACACCAAGCTGTCTTGCATAGCTTGCATATCAATTTCTGCTTTCAATCCAGCCTTGCGTGCTGGAGGTAGATTTTTAGTCTGCTTGGTGTGCGTTTCTGAAATTGGGACTGCAAATCTAATTGGAACAGTTTAAAAAATGAACCAGTGTAAAATGAAAGGCTACCGCAGGTTAGATTCTGGTTGCAGTTGAGCTGTTTTATCCAGTAGCCACCAGTCAATGATATATTGAACACTAGCAATATAGTGCATTTCTCTTACTTCCTGTTCTGGGCACCAAGGATTGGGGGATCTGAGAACCATCTCAGTTGTTAACTGAATACAGAATGGATTTGGGAGCGTTATGCTTTTTCATATTCAGTACTCTAGGACAAGAGAAATAATTATTCTCTTATATCAGCCTAGTTGATGGTAAGGGAGAAGAGGTATCATGAAGGTCAAGGATTTCTGTAGCTCAGGGGTAGGGAACCTGGTGCCCTCCAGATGTTACTGGAAAACAACTCATCATCCCTGAACATTGCCCATGCTGGCTACCACTGATGGAGTCCAAAGATAGATTCCCCACCCCTCCTCCAGCTGCTTCATACCCTAATTCTATTCTAAATACCTCACCTTGACATCTTTCTAGTTGATAATACTGTAGTCTTGCTGAGTTTGAGAATTTTTGCTCTGGGGAGTGAATGACTGGGGGTGGGAGAGGAATTAGCAGTCAGTTGCTATTTTAATGGGAAGTGGAAGAGAGCAAAGTGTGTAGAAAAGCACTTTAAGGGCATGGTGATGCTCTGGTCATTTGCTTCTGCTGTGTAACACAGGACCAGTAGTGAGCAAAACAACAGACTAATTTGTTTATTACCAAATCTGGCTGTGTAAAGAACAGTGTTTCTTCTGATGGAGCCAACCAGGCATTGGGGCAGTGACGTGGAGCATAGGACAAGTGTCTTTAAAAATGCCTTAGTCATAAAAAAAGAAAATGTGCTAAAAGGTTGTGACATAGAATTACGTTCATGGAATTGGAGGTCTTGGTTGTTGTTTAGTCGTATCTGACTCTTCGTGACCCCATGGACCAGAGCACGCCAGGCACTCCTGTCTTCCACCGCCTCCCGCAGTTTGGTCAGACTCATGTTTGTAGCTTCGAGAACAGTGTCCAACCATCTCGTCCTCTGTCGTCCCCTTCTCCTTGTGCCCTCCATCTTTCCCAACATCAGGGTCTTTTCCAGGGAGTCTTCTCTTCTCATGAGGTGGCCAAAGTATTGGAGCCTCAGCTTCACGATCTGTCCTTCCATTGAGCACTCAGGGCTAATTTCCTTAAGAATGGATGGAATAGGTTATTTTGGAAATTTCCCAAATATTGGTTCAGTAAATGCTGATTCACATATTTCAAGGAAGATCTGGGACTCTTGGAGCCCTTGATCATTTTGGATCTTTCTTCTCTAGTTGCTTGGACTGCTGCGTGTAGTAGGACACACTAGGAACCAATACTTATACTAGTATAAAAATGGATACTCTGGCTATAGATTGTGAGAGAACGTTATTGTCATTCAACTTTTGGAGGCATAAATGCCCCCCTTTCTACATGGTGGGCAGGCAAGTTAGTTTGATTGTTTGTTTCTAGAAAGCTTCAGGAATTAGGATATACTCCTAGGGTTCTGAAATCTTACTGTCAGTCTCATGGTTGCATATAATAAATGGCTGACCTAGGACTGCAACCCGGGCATTCATGAGTAACAATGCCCACAAGTTACCCTGTGTTTGATGTGACTGGTTTATGGAAGACCTGAATGACTGGGAAGGGAGACTATTGCTGCAATAAAAGCATCAAAGGGATCACTGATGCTTTCTGTAGTGTGTGATTTGGCCGAAAATTCCAGATGTGTGAATCTGAGCTTTGCCTACCCAGGAACTATGCGTTTCTACACACACTTGCTGCTATTGTGTATACCACTTTCAGTTTGCATTGAAGGATTCTCTTATGTACACAATTGAGAATGCGCAATATTTGAGGTTCAGGATGCACTGCATCCTCTCAGATATATGGGATGTCTCTTGTCAATTAAAGTCATTCCTGTCCTGGCTGACAAGGCATTGAAAAGTGGGGTCCTGTGTTTGGAAGTTAATGTTTCAAGGATGTCTTGAGTAATGAGCAGCTGCTCATTTGCTTTCCTAGGCCATTTCCTGTAAAGTTCTTTCAGATGGAGAAAGATGGTGTTTGGAGCAGTATAACAGCACCAAGCTGTTTCTTCTTTTCATCCAAATCAGATACTTCAGTCTTGATACTCATTCTGTTTGGAGACTACTGACTGTAGTGGAGTAATTAATCAGACATGGCCAAAATAAACATGGTTGGCACCAAACATTCGGTGATAATGCCTGCTTGTGGAATGGAAATGGACTTCTTCCCTGCAGATCCCAACAATCTGGTTTCTTTGTCCTCTCTCCAGTGCCCTTCATTCTCCCTCAATGATATCTGATTTGGGGTGTGTGCAAAGGGCTTCAGGGGAATGTGTAAGTGGACACTCACATTGGATCTCACCCTGTATTACTCAGGATGGACCATGATTTAGAGTGGGGATAAATTGCGATGTAACTAGTGCAATTATTCTGTGACGAAAGAGCAATAAAATGTCAGGAGATTTAGTGTAAGTACAGAGGCAATATACAGGGGAAAGTCATTGTGTTAGTGCGAGGAATCCTGTCTGTGCAACAGAATTTCCTCTCTTCTCCCTGTCAGTTCCTCCACCCTCAAATCTCTTCTGGGGGGTTCCCCCAACCCTCCAGAGCAGATTTGGAGATGATGTGCCAGAAGAGGAGAAGGAGAGCAGTTTTTCTTCTGCATAGAGAAGTCCTTGGACAAATGGGATGACTTCATTGGATACAAACCATGGATATATACTTGCAGTAAGGTAGAATTTTTGTTCTCCATTGAACTACCTATTGACAATACGGTAGGATCTTTAGTGACTAAGTCACAGAAATTATCAACTCAGTTTAACAAAGGTGGGCAATTCAGTTTGGGGAAAGAGACTGAAAATAAAACAGACATTTCAATACATTTATGGTACGGATATATTTAGGATATTGATTCAGTGGTTCAGAAAGGATATGAATTCGTCCAAAGTCTTTTTTCAAACTGTTTAAATTAGTAGCCGATACATGTTAACTAAAAGTATCCCTATGTCTGTCCTGAATCTACTTCTAGTCAACTTTGTTGGGTGCTGTCAATTTCTAGTAGTGAGAGAGAAGAAAAACAATTCACAAGTTTCTACTTCTCAATAGTATTCACAATTTTTTAGAAATTACAATGATTTATTTTAAATAATTTTTATAAACTGTCAACTCAAAAAATATCAAAGTGATATAAAATGAAGTCACTTAAACATAACATTAAAGATAAGGAACAAAGTCCAACACTGAATTGAATTAAACCAAATTAAGTGATTCCATTTACTTCCCTCCTCCCCACTTTATAAACTATAAGGCCACAAATGTTTTACAACTTCTTCCCAAGGTATGGTTACCAGTTTTTTTTCAATGAATCCGGGGACACCTTTTCCCCCCTCTTTTTTTTTGAAGCTGTGTAGCAACAGGGAGTCAGTAGTGGGGATGGTGAGGCAAAAGACCCTGGGCCCAAGCACACATGCATATTGTATAAAGGTGCAAAGCCCTTCTTTCGCACCCTGTGAAACATAAATGCGCAGAGTTTTAAAAAAACTGGGCAATGGCGTGCTGCCCGCCCGTGACTCCCAAGCCTTCCCCGATCTCCTGACCCCTTCCCCCTTTCTTTTGACAGATCGGGGGAGGCTTTGGAGTCACGGGCGGGCAGCCGTTACCCAGGAGGAATGCACAAGGTGTGTGGCTTCTCTGCTACACAAGGTGCAAAGCCCTTCTTTCACACCCTGTGAAACAGAAATGCACAGGAGGGCAACGGCCACCCGCCCACAACTCCCAAGCCTCCCCCGATCTGTCAAAACAAAGGGGGAAGGGGGCAGGAGATTTGTACCGCTGGACGTCCCCAGTTCCCCTTTGGCAGTGGCAGCGAGCAACTCCTGAAGCCAGCCAGAGCCAACTGCGCTACCAGGCTGGCTCCGGGCTGCTGAGGATGCCGCTGCCACGTTTCCCGGGGACAGATTTGCAAATCTTGGGGACATTCCACGGACGGAATTTGTCCGGGGACAGATTTGCAAATCCGGGGACATTTGGGTAACCCTATGACCTAAGGGAGATGCATCATCCCATTACATCATTACAGTTCCTTCTCTGTTCCTTTCTATCTAACAATACACGTTTTCTAGATAAGTTGCCTGAACTGTACATGAAATTCTAAAAGTTTCTGTGCCATGTATCTGTGTAATGGCATGACTGGACCGTAAAGTTTTATTTTCATTAATTTCTCCAATACTTAACTTGCCCTTTTCAGTCCTATGATACCCTGAGCAGAGTTCTTCTATGACCTTAAAACATTTCCTGGAGAGTTACTGTGAATTTAGATCAACATCATCTGAATGTGTAAAGTTAGAGTGTGTGGTACTTAGGTATGTCATTTACACTCAATAAGATTGAGGGCTCTGCTCAGAAGAAAATACTTGGTGATGTACAAAGCAGGTTGGTTTGCCTTGTACCACTTCAGAGAATCCCAGCTTGGATTTGGGTCTAAAGCAGAGCCTTGCCGCAGAAAATCTAAAGCTTTCCAGTGAACAGGCTGGGGTAATCAACAACTAGCTCTTTGCCCCCTCTTTACAATTAGATGAAGTTAGCCTCTTCTAAGTAGATAGGTAAAGGTAAAGGTACCCTTGCCCGTACGGGCCATTCGTGTCCGACTCTAGGGTTGCGTTCTCATCTCGCTCTAGAGGCCGTGAGCCGGCGCCGTCCGAGGACACTTCCGGGTCACGTGGCCAGCGTGACGAAGCTGCAGCTGGCGAGCCAGCACCAGCGCAGCACACGGAAACGCCGTTACCTTCCCGATATAAAGCGGTACCTATTTATCTACTTGCACTTAGGGGTGCTTTTGAACTGCTAGGTGGGCAGGAGCTGGGACCGAATGACGGGAGCTCACCCCGCCACGGGGATTCGAACCGCCGACCATACGATTGGCAAGTCCTAGGCACTGAGGTTTTACCCACAGCGCCACCCGCGTCCCCACTAAGCAGATAAAGCTTGCCAAATTTCATACAGATAGGTGCAGGGGTTGTTTTGCTAGGCCCCCTTTAAAGTTGTGGGGTGGATTTGAACTGAATTTGGCATTTTTGCCACTCCTCCCAGTCGCTGCCTTGGGGCAATGTGAACTTTACACCCTCCTACTTTTTCCTTGACAGAGAGGATGACATTTTCCTGAAGCATGGAAGTATACTGCTTGTCTACAATTATGACATCATAGGCTTCAGGTGCTCAAAAAACAGGTACAGGTGAGAAGGGGACATGTGCATACTTATCCTGCACCAATGTCCTTGCTTGCTCCACTCACAACCTTCTTGTGTGAAGTGGAAGGTCTGAATGGGGCTTGGTAAGCACATTCAAACTCCCTTCAGACCCACTTTTTGGGAGGGGAGAGGAGAGTAGGGACATGGGGATGAAGACCTCTATGCAAGTCCTTGCACCACCTCTGAATATCTGAAAGGGCACACTCACACATAACAAAGTACACACAGGAAGAGTTCAGTACTACCCAAACACATATAATGTTTTCTCTCTCTTTTTTTAATGCTGAACTTAAATGCATGTACAACTTGGGTCACAGTGAGGGAGTCAGGGGTGAAGGCAAGTGACTTCAGTATAGGAACACAGGAAGCTGCCTTGCACTGAATTAGGCCATTGGTTTATCTAGCTTAGTACTGATTGGCAGTGGCTGTCCAGCGTTTCTGACTTTAAGGCTCTCTCTGACCCCTACCCGGAAATGGAACCTGGGACATTTTCCATTAAAGGAGCTGCTCTTCCAATGAGCTATGGCCCTGCCTCGCAATAATAAATGCCCCACTAATATGAATAATGAGAAAGACACAGTAAGTGAAATGAAAAATAAGAGCATAAGGGATTTGTTGGGAAATTATGGAATGATTTTGAGAATGATTTCTCTGGATATAGGTAATGACTGGTTGGGATTGGAATAAGATTGGATGGGGAACCTGTGGCCCTCCAGATGTTTGACTAATGTGCCTGTCATTCTTGGCAATAGGCCATGCTGGCTGGAGCTAATGGGAGTTGGGGACACAGGAGGGCCAGAGGTCCCCCAACCCTGGTTTAGATAACGTAAGACAAAAAGCAACCACCAAAACTTCACCATAAACTCCTTTGTGATCTTTGGATGAAGGGCTGTATAGAAATTTAATAACTAAGTCGTAAAATAATTACTGTTTCTAAAAGTGAACTAGCAAACAACAATGAAGATTGGTGGAATTGTTCAGATACATCACTCGCAAAAGCACTCATGAGTAAGCCCTAAATGGAAGCTGGAGCTGCCAATCACAAAACTTCAACCTCTTCACGCAGGGTGCTTTCTCTTTCTGGAGAGCTTGGTTGTATTAACATTTAACTGACTGTTTTGGGGTGTCTATTTCACTCTCCATCCTGCTGACTCCAGATGATTCAGGAATACATTCAGTGACACCAGTGCTAAGACATATCAATGAAACTTCTGTTTACGTACCAAAAGTTAGTTGCACTTGTAGGATTCCTGTGTGCTTCTTTTCTTACCCCACTGTTATTAAACTAACCTACTTACCTACTACCTCGTTTCACTAAACTTGTCCTCCTTAAGCACTGCATTGGAAGATAACCAATTTAACAGCCAGTTTATAAAACAAGATGCAGGAAGAGATCCAGGAAATTACACACCTGTCAGTGTAATGTTGGTCCCTTCTCTACTGTAAATCCACTTTGCCACAATGTCTTCATCAACCTTAACCATTGTTAAAATGAGGCCAGTGAGATTCCCTGTTAAGCAGGGGTTGAAGCAGTTTTGCAAGACCAGAGTTAAAAGGGTGTTTGGTTAGTAAGAATAGTTAATGTCACGGCGGACGTATGGTTAAGGCTTTGAAGGGAAGAGCAGAGATTTACAGATCAATGTATTATGGCTGCAGTGACTTTCAGAAGCAGAAGTATGCAAAGTAAGAGAAGCCACTGCGCAGTTAACATTCTTCCAGATGAAATCAGTAGACATAATTAAGAAACGGCAGGGCATAGTCTACTAAGGCCTGTCCTGTCTGCAGCACAAATATTATAGAAAACCTTGTCCATTCTTTATGAATATACCTTTAACTTTTTATTAGAAAAAGGAGGATTTGAGGCTTTTGAAATACTGAAGAACCAAGGGGGGGGATGATGCTAATGTTTTAAAATACAGCAAACCATGTGGGAATAACCAGGTAGCATCCTCCTCTCCTGCTGCTTCATATACAAGAATTTCCTTGTTCTACCTACCACCATCAGTAGCATGCAGTCTCTACTCATTTTCAGTTCTTACATGGTTCTTTGTCTGGAGGTTGCAGGCTTTTGTTTTGCTGAAATGACATGGATTATATACCATTATTTCTGTAAAGATGTTTGTACATTAGTTGCACTATAGCAAAAGATGAGGTCATGGGGACTTAAGATTGTAAAGTAGCTGAGTTCTAGCATTATGAAACGATCAGTTGCACATCAGATCAATTAGCATGATGTCTACAGTGAAAATACATTTGAAAAGGAAGTTGCCAAGAAGGAGATGGCTCTTTAAACTAGTTGTGGAATGTTTGTCTTCTTTAATGACAGATGTCTACACAACTCCCCCAAAATGAAGCAGTGTACAGAAAAAGGGTGACCAATACTACATTATGGTGTAGTTGACAGCACATTGTGTATGTATCAGCAGCAGATCATATGAAAAACAGCTGATCTATTTTCATGCACACATTCTGGTGAGGACAGGGAGCTGATGATTCCATGGATGCATGGGCTACACACAGCCCTGAAAATAGCTAGCAAATGAGCTATCACCCAAAGTGAAGAAGAAGTGTGTATCTGTACATAAACATGAACAACAGAAACTAGACTGGTTTTGCCATCTTAGTGCGACTTAATGTTTAGGTGGAAGGTATAGGATGCTTTTGAGATGAAGCAAGATTTTTGGCCATAATTAGTTTTCACATTGCCATGCTGATGTTGAAAATCTGGGATCAGTGCATTTCCCTGGAACATGTATTTCTAGTAAACATGGTAGCAGCCCACTGATGGAATAAAATGGATATCTGTTTTGGTGTCCATGTGAAACTGTGTCTATACAGATGGTACATATCAGGAATTGTTCCTCTTTGCTGGACAAGGTCTGCCCAGCTTGGGATTGCTGGTGATCGGGTTCCCTTCTATATCTTTTTGTCTGCAGTTCAGCACCACTCTACCTCTATTTAGTAGAAGCACCTTCAGATCTGGCCTGTAGACATAACTGCAAAGTGTCAAGTCTAGGTAAATATGAATGATCCCAATTTCCTTCGTATCTTTGTTGCATTTGCATGTTTCTCTGTTTGGCTCATTCCATTATTTTACTGAAACATCTTTAGTAGCATAGTTAGTCCAACTCAAATGAAACTAAGATCAGCAAGCCATCTATTCTACTGCTGTCTGTTACCAGGCTGTACAATGAAAGACTTCGCAAGTCAAACCCAGCCCACGCATCATGAATGGTGATCCACTTGGCCGCAATAAAACTAGTGTCTGGAACTGGGAAAGCAGATTGTCAAGTGTGTGACAAGCCACAATTCCTGTCTGTAGGGATACATTAGATTTTTAGCTGGAGTTGCCTACGATCTTATACAAAAGTATGCACCCTAGTATTGGCTTGTGCCACCTTACAGGGTTTAATACCTCACATTTTGGTCAGTTCAGCCTCATGGCTAGGAAGTTTTAAATGCCTGCATGACGTTAAATACAAATGGTAATTCTCTCTGTGCATCCCATTCCATTGGGAAGACAATTTGAGTAGCAGCATTATGTACAAGGATAGATATTCCATTGCTGCCATCAAGTGGGTATTTGCTGGTGGGGTATTCACAGGGGTGATTAGCAAGTGGATACTTCATTCTTGCTGCCTGGAAAAAATGTTCTCACATGGAGCCACTTGACATGTTACAAACTTCCTACATGAAAGAACATGGATTTATATTTGATAAAAGAATTATTACATTTTATAATCACTGCTACTAATAGGTAGGAAACTACCTCACACCAGGTGATACTTTTGTCCCTGACGCCTTGTGCTGTGTGCTCTGATTGGTAGTGTCTTAGGCGGAGATTTCCCCTGCCACTGAATCACCTACTTTTTGACTTTTAACATTGGAAATGTGAGGTATTGAATCTAGACCTTCTGCATGAAAAGCATGTGCTTCACTTCTGAGCTATGGTCCCTTCCCATAGAATACGAAACGTGCGTCTCAGTCTTAGGTATATGCCAAGAAGTGGTGATGTGTGTGTTTATGTACATGCAGCAAAACGTGTGTGTGATGATCAGAAATGACTCTGGGCATTTGTAACCTGTGAACTAAGCAAATTAAGGGGACTGTTGACAGATTTCCTTGTTCATTTTGTGTGATAGTCCCTGTAGGTCATCAGAAGTGACATGATCGTTGATCTTTTTCTGGCCCTTGTTTCCTTTTGAGTATAGGAAAAGATGCTTTCCTGTAGCATATAGAATTACAGGTTTACATATGGAAGCTTGTTCATTCTCAAACTATTATCCCCCCCCCATTAAACCACTTTTAACATAACCTAAAAGGCCAATATACCATATTCTGTAATGAAAAGGTCTGTTGCACCAATATACGGTACTTGATAAAATTTAAAACTTGATGCCTATGGTTAACTTACTCTCTAATCCCTTCTAGGAGATGGTGTACTAAGAGCCAGCAGTGTTGTCTTCTGTCCAGATTGTGAAGACAGTTTGTATTTCGCAATTTACTGTTGAAATGGAATTGACTTTCGGAGGCGGGAGGGGGACATTTGCTGTTAAATGTCTTTCATCCCCTTAAGCAGCTTTTCCTCCTTGGTTTTTCTGCTTACTCTTTAAGTAGTGACCTCTTTCACACTTTTAGGTTGCTAGTATTTGGACCTTCAGAGGTGAGTTAGCTTTTTCTGTGTTTTGGGATATTGGGAAGGAATGGGATACCAGGCTTGTTAGACTTGGCTATTAAAAATGTTTCTTGTATACTTAATTTCAGTTTTCACAGTATATAAATTTACTACCACACTGGTATGTTAAGGCACAACAGCTTCAAAAGGATATATTTTGGAAAAGTCCTTTAATTTATTTCTTTTTATTACATAGTCAACAAACTGTTATAAATGTTACATGATATGGCTTCTTCCAATTGCTGCAGAATTTTGCTTGCTTATGTAGTCCAGCTTTTTTCTTGCCTCCATTTTTGGGCTACTGGTGCAAGGAATAGTGAAAAGGAAGAAACAAGGTAACAGCTGCCCGCAAAAATGAAGGAGTAAGCATATGTCTGAGTGTAATCATGTAGCCAACCTGTAGGAGGGAATCAGAGTTCAGTTACTTAAGTTTTTGATATTTCAGTTGAATATCACTTCATTTCACACAACATTACTACTGCAGAGCATATGTAGAAGGGCCAAGGAAAATAGTTGAGAGTTTAAATGTTTATTCTGCAAGACTATAGAAGTCCACAGTACAATACTCAAGATTTTGTCCCACCCAAAGCATTTGTTGTACAATACATTTTGGAGCATGAAACAAACACCAGTCTGGCCACACAGCAATCAGATGAGATATGCTCTTACTTTGCGATATCTGATTGGTGTACCATACATACAAATAAATAAATCCCTGTGGCCTTTTTTAAGTAACTCTACTAGTTTTCCTCTGAGCAATATTTTTGTCCTTGGCCAAGATGTTCTTAAAATGTGCCACCAGAGGGCCCACTCTTTTTTTCTTCACTGGAATACATGTCTGTTTCAAGGTATTCTGAAATGAACTCCCAATGGAGGACTGTTTATACAGATTTCCATTCACGGGGTGCTTCCACATGCAAGTAGAACTACTGCATTCAGGGGCCAATTGGCATTCAGAGGCAGGCTCCATTTAGCTATCAAGGCTAATAGTTGCTGATGGAGTTGTATGAATCTGGTTTTTCTGTGCAGTTCTATGCTGGTTTACTTTGGAAATAAGTCATACTGTGTTCTAAGGGGCTTATTTCCAGGAAGGTGTGCATAGGATTGCAGTCTTACACCACAAGTTAAATTCATTATGTGAAAGAGTACTCCCTTCTGAATCCACTGTGTGTCCATTTTGCTGATTGACTCCATGAAATAATTACTTTTTTATCAACTTCCTCTACACCATGCATAATTTTATAAACCTTTTATGCCACACCACAGTCAACTTCTCCCACCAAACTAAAACACCTTAAAGCTTTAAATCTTTATTTTAGGGAAGTTTATACAGCCCCCTATCATTTCAGTTGTTGTTTTTTGTACCCCTTCCAGTCCTTTTTGAATTGTACACAATATTGCAAATGCCGCCACACTAGATTTATACCAAAGAGAGAGACAGTGACTGTTTTAGTTCTTTTCCTAATAATATTTCGTGTTTTATTGCTACTGTGTCCCGAGTTGACATTTTCAGTGAGCTGTGCACTCAAGCAAATGCATTTTTCCCTCATTAGTTTCAGTTAAGACCCCATTGCTGTGTATAAGAAGTTTTGCACTAACTCAGAATTGCCTTTACTGTTCTTCTGTTAGTCATTCGCCCAGTTTAGAGAGATCTTTCTAGAGTTCATCACAACCTGTGTTTCACTACTCTGAGTAATTTTGTGTTATCCGCAGTCCTGACAGCTCCATTGCTCACCCTTGGCTCCAGGTTTATGAAGTTAAATAGCATTGGCCTCAACACACATCCTTTGAGAACCCTCCTGCTCCATTGTGAGAACTACTTTTGCCTTCCTGTTCTTTAACCATGTTAGCAGTTCAGATCACCCCCTTATCTCAAGCTAAGTTTACTTTGCCTTTTGTGACACTATAATGGCTGTATGATTTCTCCTATCTGCTGCTTTTGACCCAAATAATTCTAATTGATTTTAGTCTTTTAACTTGATATTCTTTCTCTCTCTCTCTCACACACACACAAAATTAGCCACCTTGAAAGTGCTCGTAAAAGGAGTACTATCAGTGACCAATATGTACATGTTCAGTAATTTCATGTTCTTTCTTTTAAGAACTCTCAGGTAATGTGACTGGGTTGCGCTCCAGTGACTTGTTAATTTGTAATTTGTCAGTTAGCTTTAAACATCTTCATTTGTTGCCTGTATTGAGACAGCACCTCAGATGCCCTCCAAGATAACAATAGATTCTGATTTGAATCTCTCTGCAGCTTCTACCACAGTGACTAGTGATGCAAAGATTCCGTTTAGCCTCTGCAGTCTCCCTCTCCTTATTCAGTACTTCTTTTACGCCTTTCATTAAGGTACTATGTCTTCCTGGTTGGTTTCCTGCACCTGCTGCATTTAAATACATGTTTTGCTCATGCCTTTAGCAGTTTCCTCTTCACTGCTTTAATTGTTTGCTTTCTTGTTACTTGATTCCCGCCCCCCCACCCTTGTGTTCTTTATTTTCCTCATTAGGGCAAGTCTTTCGCTTTTAAAAGTGCAGGTAGCCAGTGTAGTACCCTTCAGTTGCTACTGGACTAGAGCTCCCATCAGCCCCAGGCAGCATGACCAGTGTTCAGGGATGGTGGGTGTTGTAGTTAACAACATTTGGAGGGCACCAAGTTGCCTTTTTCTTCACACTGTTGCTTAACCATGCTAGTAGCCTGTTGGACTTGTATGCCACAGGTTAGAAAGGGAATGAACATTTTATCTGAGTTTCTGTTACAATGGTTTTAAACAAACTCCAAGGTTACTGAAGGGATTTGGCCATCCTTTCAACTTCTATTTTATGTTTTCAGTTTTGCCTGCTACGTAAGTCCTGAGGCAACATCTAGCCATTTTGAAAAACAGATCGAAGACTAAAATCACACACAAAGCAGGCAACTCAGGGCAGAGTTAAAAGGCATAGCAGCTTCCTGGAGATGAGCACAAGCAAAGGCCTGGGAGCACAAATGTGTTTTTAGAAGTTGCCAAAATGACATTAACTTTGGCATTTTCCTGAACTCAGAGGACACGTGGTTCCACAACACAAACACTACCACAGGAAATGTGAAACTACCCAGTTCAGGAATGTGAATGTGGGGTTGTAGGTGTGCTTCTCCATCCACATTGTCACCCAGTCATGCAGGACTAAAGACAGCTTGAGGTGAAAGTCTCTCCTAGTTGGCAATGAAATTTGCCAGCGTTACAGGACAAGCCAGCATTGGCTGATTGCCTGGGCAAATGGGATTTATTTTCTCTTTTCTTCCCCTCCCCCTTTCTCTTTCTCCCTCTATCACATGCAGGCTGCTCAGAGGGCAACGAGGTGCCTTTGTTTTCTCTCTTGTATTTAGTCCTTTTGCTAAATCTCACTTGGTGTGTGGTGCTGTGACATCATTAAGTGTGTATATTTGTTAGATTGCTATGCTCTCCAACAGGTTCCCAGAGCATTTTCTGATAGCAAACTGTGGCTAACTGCATTGCTTTCTTCTTAGAAAATGCTTCATAGTCCATTGCCCCAGATAATTGTTTACTTCCTATTTAGAGATGACACGGCAAGGGTCTTGTGTTCAGGTTTCTATAATCTGGTGTAGCGTTCACGGGACTTTATAACCTTTTGGAAAATTGTATTTCTGGTTTTGAATGGGTCTGTACCACCTTAAAAATCAAACAAGTCAAGTACATTGGATGTCACAGAAAAGGGGCCTTGTATTCCTCTAGTCCCTGTGAGGACATAAAAGGAGAACCAACATTGGGTGCCTACTTCTTGCTGCTATGGAAATCACTGCAGGGTGTTGGGAGCAAACCGAGGGAAGAATTGGATCCAAATTGGATCCTTTCAATCTAGGGAGGAAACTGTCAGCCCTATAGCTGGCACAGTGAGAGTGCTGCTCCACTTTTTCTCTCACCTTGCTGGCAAGACCTAGCAGGAAAGTAGATATGACAGTTTGTTTGCCTTCCATTCCCCTTTTAAAAAAAGGATTCCAGCCTCATTGAATTCAGTGGGGCTTACATCTCAATCGGCATGCAAGGGATTTGAACTGTCAATGTCTGAATAGAGAGGTTATTCCCCCCCCCCCCCCAGCTTTTCTGGATTATCTGTCATTTTGTTCCTGGCTGCTTCCTATGCTGCTGCAACTTGCTTGGCTAACAGCTACATATGTTCCTTTTACTGGTGTGTCAGTTACATGCTAGAGATGTATTAATTTTTTTCCAGGGGAATGAGGCAAAGGAACCCTTTATCACATGGGGCTGTGAGGCGGGATTTAGGGCCTTATTCCATGATCATAATTTATCCTAATGTGCCCATTAATTCAATTCCAGACGACTCTACACAGAAAAGGGAAAGACAAAGTAGGGAAAAGGCTAGTCCATGGGGATAACCAACACGATTCCCTCCAGACGTTGTTGAACTCCCAACTCCTATCAGCCTCAGCCAGCATGGCCAGTGATCAGTGACGATGGGAGCTGCAGCTCAACCCCCAGAGGACACTACGTTGACTACCCCTGGAATAGACAGTCTAGGGAAGACCATGAGAGCAAGAGAGGGCCAGAGCTGTGAAGAAGGAAGGTAGGAAGCAAATACCGTATTTTTTGCTCTATAAGATTCACTTTTTCCCTCCTAAAAAGTAAGGGGAAATGTGTGTGCGTCTTATGGAGCGAATGCAGGCTGTGCAGCTATTCTAGAAGCCAGAACAGCAAGAGGGATCGCTGCTTTCGCTGTGCAGCGATCCCTCTTGCTGTTCTGGCTTCTGGGATTCAGAATATTTTTTTCTTGTTTTCCTCCTCCAAAAACTAGGTGCGTCTTATGGTCTGGTGCATCTTATGGAGCGAAAAATACGGTGCCCAGCCTGCAGCAACCGTGAGCAATATTTTTCCTTACTATTGTTATTTATATTGCATTATCCATGTACCTGGTGTTTCACAAAGGGGCTTTACAATAGACAAAAGGGAAACAGAGGAAGTGGAAGGATATGAGATTGTTTAACATTTAAACAGATGGTGCTACACAGTTGCTGCCTTTCATTTCCCTTGTGGGTGGGCAACAGTTCACTGTTACTTCCTAAGGATTTTTTTCCCTTCTAGAGAGCTTGTACCCCACAGGCAAGAGGAAGGATTAAAAACACAAATGGATGCTTTATTTTCCTTTTCCACACACCTTGAACAGGGTTAAGGAAGACCCTTTTTTGTGCTGACTTTTACTATAAAATGAATGAAAGTCCATAAATAGGTTGGTCTGTTGATAGTGTTTTGGAGGGGAAAACCCAATACAGAATCCAGTGAAGTCATTGTGTGAGTGGAACAGCTTAACACTTGTGCAACTGAACTTTCCCTTCCTTCTCCTCTCCTAGAGGACTCCCTGCACCCTTTGAAATCTGCTGGGGGAAACACCAGAGCAGATATCAGGGGATGTGGAGGGGAAGCAGCTGGAGGAGGAGAGGGAAGGAAAGTTCTGTGGCATGAGTGGAGGTCATTCAGTTTGTGCAGTGACCTTGTTGGATACAAATTTTACTCAGCCTTGCTTTCGACAAGAAAGGAATTCTAGCACTCTTTCAATGGAAGGAAGAGGTTGTTTTAAGTTACCTGCAATAGGAGGTCCAGCGAGGACTGCAAGGCCAGCAATGAATGAGGCATGTCCCAAAGCACTGTGGAATCTGGAGGCTCCTACAAACTCTACCTGTTGAAGCAATCAGTGTTATTTATATGTTTTATAAATATTTTCAACACATTGTCCCCCATTTTGAAAACAGTTTGCATGTTCCCTTCATTTGCATGTTTAGAAATAAATTTTTAAAGTTAATAATAAAAATAAACCATCTAGACTCTGCAGTTAAGCCATAGGTGACCAATGGCTTATGTGATGTGATAGGCACATGGGTCTTTCTCTGGCATAGACTTGAGCGGGGGTGACAAACCTTTTCCAGCCAGAGGGCTACATCCTGACCCTTCACATACCCCAGGGCTACTTTGACACCTGACGCCCTTATGGTGATGTCAGGTGACATCTTCAAAAGAGCTCACTGTCAGCCCCAATGAGTTTCTTGGTGCCCACAGTGAGTCTCACTTTTTTCATTTGCAGATTCTGTTTGGATTCAAACTGCACCTACAGATGGAGACTTTTCTGCCGCAGACAAGCAAAGCTATCTACAAGGCCAGTCTATAGAAGAAAAATGTCCATTTACAGGTACATAAACTACACTTGCAGCAGATGTACAACTTCAAATGAGCTTACTGTCAGCAAGCCTCGTTTGATGAGGAACAACCTGAAGCACACTTTAAGCTCCAGATCACAACCGTATGTTTATCTATCCCACACTCCTGACCCCATGTATAATATCAGGTGGGTGAGGTTTGGGGGAAATGACTGCACAGAGCAAATTAGCGTCTAATTTGTTCTGTGGGTTGGAAGTTCCCCATGCCTGGACTAGAGTCATATCTCTACTCCTCCCTGTTTATCCAGCGTTGTACCACTGCATTCTCCCCAGCTCAGTATATAATAATTGAGGTCAAACCAACCCAAGGACTATAAATGTATGTAGCTTGCAGTAGAATGGAACAGTCTCATATTTTAGAACTGTGACATGCTTGCTAAAAAAGATTGGCCACCACAGGTTTAAGCAATCTGAAATTAGAGGGGATGACAATGAAGGGGATGATTTTCAGCAGGGAGAGAGCAATCTAGACTGGGAGAACATTTCATATCAGAGCCCTATAACTGATTCCCCCACCCTGCCCAAGTCAAAGGGGTTCAATTAAGCACACTTTCAAAAGTGTGACAGAAGTCATATGTAGTTTGGTTCTGAGGCCGTACAGAAGACTTGTTTAATTAATGCTTTGGAGGCAGAATCACAGACTCAAAATGCATTGGGTTCAATCAAATAGATCTTCAGAGCATCTGTAAGGTTTTCTCTCTCATGTTCCTATGTATAAATGGAGCCTCAGGTATATCATGTTCAGAGCATTTTTAATTTTCTGGTTTATCCTCTGTGTACTGAAGTAGGTGAAAGTTTTGGATGGTCTGTGCTTTATAAAAATTCTGGATCGCTTTGCTATTAGCCTTTTGATGATTAATTGCTTTCTTCTGCTTACCAGTACAGGAAGTATCAGAGCCAGGTATCCACCACTGAAAATGGCAAAGACTGCAGAATAGATCATAAGTAATGGGAAGGTTGTGGCAAGAGGACACAGCAGGTTAGTGACACCACAAAAAATGAGGTACATCTTGTGGTAATGATACTTCTTGATCCAGTTCTGATCTGCAATCCAACCAGAGAGCAAGAGGCTGACTGTCTCTGTTATACCTAAAGGGAAGCAGAAAAATAATGAATTTTCAAACAGAATTTATGTAGTAGAAGCTTTGAAAAACACAGATAAAAGGTCAGAAAGGAAAGAGTTTGTACCCTTCTTTTATTTCTGTAAAATACATGTGAAAATTCAAAATTTCAAGCCCAGAGGTTGGTGGCAGTTTACATGAAAAAAAAAGAATGTTATTTTACTACCTTTTATTTCTTTAACATTTAATATTTCCTTGCAGAGATCTAATACTTTTTTTAAAAAAAGGCTTTTGATTTAAAGAACATTTAAGAACATGCATTAAGTATTGTCAGAAGAATCTTTCTAATTTGTCAATAAAATTGAGGATAGCTCGGTTGTATTTATTTGTGCAATTTTAAAATATCCTCCCAAAATAAAATAAAAACAGCTCAGGAAACTTTCTGTCTTTTTTATGCCACTTCTAATTTAGCTTACTACTTGGTATTCTTATGAAAACATCAGTGGCTCACATTGATTGTTTTTGTTTTTGTTCAGGACTAATTTGTTGATCTGCTTAATTGAAAGGTAAGTGCCATCCATTAGAATTTTGTATTTCATCACTACTAATCGCCAACAGTGATATCCTGGTAATCTACCCATGGGGGGGGGTCTCAGGAATTTCTAGATTGTTATATGCCATTTGTGAAATATTTTTTGAACAAATACTAAAAATATTTTCAAAGCCCTGGCTGTCTTTTCCCCTCCTTTCATTTTACAACAAAGTATACTGGCTGCAGTCTAGCAAACTTGTTTATGTAGAAGGTTACATGTACATATGCAGCCAGTTTCTTTGTGTTTTGTTTTTTTGTTAAGAGAAAGTTTGCACATTTGAAATTATGGCCATTTGCCATTACCTTCAGTCTGCATGACTCATATTTTGTATCCCTGCTCAGTAACTAGCTTTCTTAAAACAGTCACTTAGTTGCATGCAATTGCTGGGTTAGGGCCCAAGTCTCCAACTCCTACCTCTCAAAATTGCTTGCTGACAAGTACATTTGCCACAGATGTTACTCCCTTCATATGCCACTCTTGGCTTTTGGTTGGCAAATTTCAGATTGGAGGGGAGGGGAGTATTTTGGGTGGGTGACTGGCTTTGGGCTTGGAACTTCTACTTGCTGATCCCTATTATGTATCATTGTCTTACAATGGGAGACAATGGCTTCATTTAATAAAGTCTTTTTAATTACTGGAGTTTGTTTCTTATTTCATAATACAGATATCAAATGGGGAGGGGAACAGATTCTGTTCAGAACAATTTACTTAGAAGTTGATTAAGACACATTTTAAAAAATAGATGAGGTGGCAGATTAAACACACCAGTTGGCATATAAAACACACATTTGAGACAAAGAGATGAGATATATTCCATTATTCAGTGTATTGTATTTACTATTAACAACACTCTTTTACACTCTTGATGGCTGCAGCACACCAGTGTCAATGTTTCTAGGGAGCTATTTATTAATCCAAAATCAGATTCAATTTTCCCCAGGATGATTTCTGTTGTGTTGTAATTTTTTTTATCCTTTCTTGTATTGCTATGAGATCTTTTTATAACTAATATTTTGATTTCATACTTAAAAACAACAGGTCTTTGGGTTGTTGTTTTTAATAGAGTTGTATGTTGAGCCATAAGCAGTGTTACATTTCTTTTCTACAGGAATTAGTTTCTCTTCACCCAAAGTGAATTATTAGTGAAGCTGTCATGCAGAGATCTTAAGAAAGCCACTTTAAAAGTTGATTTTTTCTTACCAGCCACTGAAATGATGTAAGCAGTATCCATTGGCTCAATGCCCAGTGTTTTAGCTCTGGCTGCAAGGTGGAAAGTGGGGATAAAGTAGGCTAGCTGGCTGAAGAGAAAAGACCATGTGAAAATGTAGAAGAAAGGGTTTTTTAGCTGGGAAAAATCAACATGGCATTGCTTGCATGAAAAAGGCTGATGCTTGGAATTTCCCTCCTTGTTTGTTGGAAAGCAGTTTTGATTACCATTCCGATTGGGATGTTTGTTTTTGTGGCTCCCGTTCTCTGGCACTTCAGAACACTTGTCGTTTTCTGGGGCTAATTGTAGTCCAACATGCTGTAGATTGTTCATACTGATGCATTCATGATCGAGGGGATCTGATCTGTTCGGTTCTGTGGTGCCAATTTTATCTTGGCTGTCTTCAGTGGTCTCTGCATTTTTTAGATGCACAGGTGTTTGTTTGTCTTCGTGTTTAATACTTACAACTTTCTTTTTCATCATGTTAATCGGTCGTAGTAGCATGCTAGAAGGAACAAGGTTCAACATCACACCACCATATATCAGTAGGGCACCTAAATGATGAGACAGAGATTGAGATGTGACATTCTGCTGCAATAACAGGGAAATAGAAATGTTAATAAATTTTATTAGCACCCCCTCTGAAGGAACTTTTGGGGCCTTTCAGAGGGTCTAAAATAAGTTACTTTTCAGTCATGCTGGGAGAATTGGCATTCTTTAAGGCAAGATATCAGAGGCTTTTCTACTTCCTTCCCAGGACTCCCCAAGGAGTCTTCTTCCACTTGCAAAAGGTTTTCCTGGTACGGAGATGATTTGGGCCTTGAATGACAAAGACGTACACAGGAGTACCCCAAAGCTATGCACTTGTTCCTTTAAGGAGCAAAGCACACTCCCTCAGTGCTACTCTCTAGACTTGACTGTGCAGGTGGGAATGAATCTACTAACAAAGTGCCTTCCTGACCAGGAAGATACCATGGTCAATAGTATAAAAAGCCACTGAGAGATTGAATAAGAGTAGCAGGGTTGCACTCCCCTGTCCCACTCTCAAAGCTGATACACATAAGGTGGTAATTACCGTGAAATGTGGGAAGTGAAAGCTACCAACCTTGCCATCCATACGTTTCTATCAGGACTTGAACAAATGGTGTGAGTATAACACTCAGTCCCATTCCTGAACGGCCGATTGCATTGGCTAGAGCCAGGCGTTTCTTGAAGTACTTGACAATCATCACAGCTGCTACCTGATACAAGCTAGCAAAACCCAGTCCTAAAATGAAAAGAAACACATAAGAAAGATGCTCCTTCTCCTGGGCCCATCCGGAGGGTGGTAGGCAACCCTAGATTTGGGTGCCACACAACGAAAGGAGAGGGAGGGAAGCTTCTGTCGTACAGGCTCAAGTCATTGAGCGAGTGGAACTATTTTGTTGAATACAGCCCAAAATGTAACATCTTGATATTTTAATAAGCATATATATATATATATATATATATATATATATATATATACACACACACAGTGGTGCCTCGCAAGACGAAATTAATTCGTTCTCTGAGTTTTTTCGTCTAGCGAATTTTTCGTCTTGCGAAGCACGAAATCCCATAGGAATGCATTGAAATTCAATTAATGCGTTCCTATGGTCAAAAAAAGTCCAAACAAAGCCAAATTTGGTACAACAAGAGTTTATTAAGTGCTCTTTAAAGTCACACATACTGTAAAGAGCATTTCAAAAATTGAAGGAACAATAAATTAAGTTTCTAAACATGACAGAAAAACATTTAAAAATCAACAAAGTGTACAGTACATTTTCTAAGACTCTGGGGGACAACTCGAAGAAGGTTCCTCTTCCACTCTTTGCTTCTTGCTGAAGAACCTGTCCATGGTCTGCTGCTTCATCCGCCTTTTCAGCACCTCCCTGAAAGGCGACATGACCTCGTATCAAAAGTGTTCACAAGGTCATGTGCCACGTGCTTGTCAGGGTGGTGCCGCTGTGCAAAAGCCTGCACATCCTTCCACTTCAGGCAAATGTCCCTCAGTTCTTTGGAGGACAGCCGTTCCTCAGTTGCTTCCTCCTCTTCCAGCGAGGCCTGCTCCTGCGCAGCCTCTGCCTGCAGTTCGACCAGCTCCTGGGTGGTCAGCTCGTGGTCGTGCTCCTCCACCAGCTCGCTGATGTCCTCCTCTGTGACCTCCAGGCCCATGGTCCTCCCCAAGGCAACAATGTCCTGCACCACTGTTGACTCTGGTGCATCAGAGTCACTTGGTGCCACACAGTCCGGCCACAGGCTGCGCCAAGCGCAATTCAAATTTCTCTGGCTGATCCCGTTCCAGGCCGTGGTGATCATCTTCAAGCAGGTGACGATGTCGAAGTGGTCCTTCCAGAATTCCCGCAGGGTGATGGTGGTGCAATCAGTCACCTCGAAGCATCGCCTGAAAAGCTCCTTGGTGTAGAGTTTTTTGAAATTGGCGATGACCTGCTGATCCATCGGCTGGAGCAGTGGCGTGGTGTTAGTCGGCAGGAACATGATGCTGATTCAGCTCCTCCAACAAGTCCTCCTCAAGGCCTTTAGGATGAGCAGGAGCATTGTCCATCAGAAGCAAAGCCTTCAGCGGCAGGTCGTTGTCCAGCAGGTACTGTTTGACAGCAGGGCCAAAAGCAAGATTGACCCAGTCCACAAACAGCACACGTGTGACCCAAGCCTTACTGTTGGATCGCCACATGACACTCAGCTGCTCCTTGTCGACCTTGTGTTTCTTGAAGGCCCGTGGGTTCTCTGAGTGGTACACCAGCAGGGGCTTGATCTTCAGGTCGCCGCTTGCGTTGGCACAGAAGAGCAGGGTCAGACGGTCCTTCATGGGCTTGTGGCCAGGCAACTTGGCCTCCTCCTGTGTGATGAAAGTCCTTTTGGGCATCCTCTTCCAAAACAGCTCGGTCTCGTCGCAGTTGAAGACCTGCTGTGGAACGTAGCCCTCCGTCTTCACAACCTCCAGGAACTCCGCTGCAAAGTCTTCAGCCGCAGAAACATCAGAACTGGCAGCCTCTCCATGCCTGACCACGCTGTGGATTCCAGATCTTGTCTTGAACCGGTCAAACCAGCCTCTGCTTGCCTTGAAGACTTCTGGCTCGCCTGAGGTTCCTGGCTGTTCCCGGACGAGGTCTGCGTGCAAGGCCTTGGCCTTCTCACAAATGACGGCCTCAGTCACTGTGTCCCCTGCACGCTGCTTCTCTTCTAACCAGATGAGCAGCAACTTCTCCACCTCCTCCAGAACAGCTGGGCGGTTCTTCATGATCCTGGTGACTCCCTTGGCTGCATCAGTCGCAAGGATCTTCTCCCTCATCTTCAGGCTGGTCCCGATGGTCGATGGATTCCTCCCGTACTCCCTGGCGAGGTCTGTCACACGCATTCCACCGTCGTGCTTCCGGATGATCTCCTTCTTCATTTCCAGCATAACCTTCGCCTTCTTCCCCTCGCCGGCCTCTGCAGCAGCAGTCTTCTTGGGTCCCATGGCAGCACAGCTCCTACCTTCGCAACCCCCCCCAAAAAATCAGTGCTTCACATCCAAAAAATTCAAAAGCACCCAGCCACCCACCACACAGAAATTCAAACCCAGAACCAAGTCCTTGAATTCCAAACACCCCAACCCAAAATCCAAAAACCCCCCAAAAAGTTTTAAAAGTTTAACTTACCGAATGGCTGCAAAAGAAGTTTTGGAAAAGCTTCAAAAATCACCAAAGTCTTCAAAAACCTCAACTATTCCCCCAGCCACCCACCACACAGAAATTGCAAACCCCTCCCCAACTGTTCCCCCAGCCCCTCCCCAACTGTTGCAAACCCCTCCCCAACTGTTCCCCCAGCCACCCACCACACAGAAATTCAAATCCAGATTTTTTTAAAAAAAAAACAGCAGAGTGGCCCAATGGTCACAGAAAATCATAAAAATTCAGGAAAAAAACCACACAAGCTTCCAGATTCTTACAAGCCCCTCCCCAACACCAAGTCCTTGAATTCCAAACACCCCAACCCAAAATCCAAAACCCCCCAAAAAAGTTTTAAAAGTTTAACTTTCCAAATGGCTGCAAAAGAAGTTTTGGAAAAGCTTCAAAAATCACCAAAGTCTTCAAAAACCTCAAAAAAGGCTACCATACCGCGTGCTATGAGTTGCTCCTCGTAGTCAAGTCGCAACTGTACCTCTTCAAGCAATGCACCCTGAGTATTAACGGTTTTAAGAAAAAGGAAACAAACTTGCAAGACGTTTTCGTCTTGCGAAGCAAGCCCATAGGTAAATTCGGCTTGCGAAGCAGCTCAAAAAACGCAAAACCCTTTCGTCTAGCGAGTTTTTCGTCTTGCGAGGCATTCGTCTTGCGGGGCACCACTGTATTCAATTTCAAAAGTAATCTTAAGAGCTGACAAAAAGAACTCCAGATGATGTCTTTCTCACCTTCTTCAATGAATTTTTTTTTTTTTAGGGGAGGGCATGTGCAACAAAACATTTTTGTCTACCTACTGGGGCACATATGAATGAAAGGGGGCACTTGCCTGTAGGTGCCTCCAGTAGCCCAACAGGTAGAGTACCTCCCTAAACTTTTTCTAAATTGGGCCCTGTGTCTCAGCAGTGCAGGGAGACCATTATTCATTCTGGTGGGGAAGGCCTTTGCAAAAAATAACCCCCCCCCCAAACCAACATTAGCCTGACTGTTACTCAGTTTTTCTATTTCCAGTTAGACTTTTCTGTTACTGTGGCTGATTTTTAAGGTACGCTTACCTGTCAGGAATCCCATAGACACACAAAGAAAGGGGACGTTTGTGGCCAATATGCTGATAAGACAACCAATGCCAACCAGGCAAGCCCCAATCACTGATGCTGGTCGTTCTCCTATAATTTCACATACTACGGTTACCAGTGGTGCTGCAACAGAGAAGAAAAACAGCTTCATGGTGGCTTGGGGAAAGGGGTACAACTGGCAGAAGGAGAGACTTGGAGGTAGGCATTTTTGCCAGTTTTAGGGAATATTGAACCTGGCATATGCTTAACTTTTGGAAACTATATAATAGAGCTGTCAGGAGAATGTTTTCTGCTGCCTAAACAGAGCTGAGAGAAAAAACTTGCTTCAGCATGGCTGATGAGAATAGTCCTTAATATTAGTGGACTTATCACATGTGTATCCTCTTTTCTCCAGGGAGTTCAGAGTCGTATGCATGGCATTTTCCCTTTCTATCCTATGTGAGATAGATGAGGCTGACAGACACCCAGTAAGTTCTGTGGCCAGTGTGAAGATTTCAGTGCAGGTGTCTCCAATTTAAGTCCGGCACTATCCACTACATCAGGGGTGGCCCAAAGGTGGTCTGGGATCTACTGGTTTATCTCTGGGCAATTTGTGGGAGACCAGCAGCAGTTTATGTCCTTCCTTGCTCCACTGGGGAGACCTTAGGGTTCAAGGAAAAAATGAAGTAGATCCCCTAAACCTGAATTTTGCCACCATATTGACAGTGTGGATGCCATTGATGTGCATCTATACTAAACAGTAATTTACACATTGTCTGTTCTTACATCCTGGTCTTAGATGCTTATAAGCTTTCAAGTGTTTTCAAGACGGCTGTATACATAGGTTAATGACAGTAGTTACTTAGGCTTTGCTTTCTTATTGTAAGCAGCCCATGGGGCAGCAAACAAATGCCGTACATGTGTAAAAAGTTCCACTAAAAGTGTTTCAGGACTATTTCTTCAAATAAAGTATTTCTTCACCAAGTCATATTCAACCGTATTTGTGCTAACCTGCTAGGAATCGAAGTGAGGACATGATAGAGCCAATCCAGCTGATTTGTTCAGAAGAACCGCCAACATGCTCTTGAAAGGCCACAAAGAAAATGGCAAAGTTTTTCGCTGTTCCCATTGTAGATACATTTACCTTAAAAGAAACAAAACATCCAGTAAAATTGAAGCACATGTATTGCCTGCTGCCACTTGTCCCTGCCCTACAGAATGTAGCATTTTCCATTTTTAGAATAACACCTCTTATTCCCTGGGCAAATTTGTGATGGCTTTTAACTTTGGATCAATCACAGTTGATATGAAACTAAATGAAATGGTGCTGAACTCCATTGAGATTTCCCAAGTCCAGAAATTAGCTGACCTAGGAGAAAAGGTAGCCTGGGAGGAGAGGAATGGGAAGAGAGGGATGGATGGTGCAACATCCCTCCCAACTCTCCACTTCTCATTCCCTGACCCATCCACTGTGCTCAATTTATGGCTTTTAAGCAAGCATTGAAAGACACAGATTTGCAGCTGGTGGTCTAGTTCCATCCTGGCAAATTGAAAGGGAAATTTTGTCATGCATGAGTATTGAAAGTGTCCCTTGGGCTGCCAAGGAAGTTCCCAAGGGGGAGAGTTCTTACTGGGAATGGCTTTAGTAAGAGAGCCCTGTCAGTGCAGACCAGCACTGAAAGGGAGCCCTACTTGCCAAGGAGCAATTGGGAGCAGACTTTTAAGCTCAAGGTTGCTCCTTTTCAGCCATGTCTTTACCTGCCTACATAGGTTGCCCAGTGTTGGGTAGATGGGTCTGGTCTGGGGAAATGTCTCACAGGCAATATTGGGACCCCTGCTGGGTCCGAGGTCTCCCCCACCACTCTGTGGTTGTAAAATGTTAGGTGGGAGATTTAATCTCATGGCGTGCACCCCTCCCCTTAATGTTTCTCTTCTTGGCTATTAATATGTTTTTGGGGGTTGAGCATTCAAATTCTGTCCCCCCCCGGCTGCCCCCAGTTTTATTCTGTGGCTTCTGAAAATTTACAGAGTGGCATTCAACTAAGTGGTTGCATGCATGGAACAAAGTTCACCTGTGCAATGGAACACTGCCCCTATGTACTCCCTGCACCCCCTTAAATTTGTGGGGAGGGTTAAGAAACCCCAGAAAAGTCGACAGTAAGATCTTATTTCATGTGTGGACCTCATTCCCTGTGCAAATACCCCCATTTTTTTTTACGTAAAATGCAATATACATAAAGGTGAAGGACTGTAGCTCAGTGGCAGAGCATTAGTCTCCCATGCAGAAGATCTCAGTTTCAATCCTTTGTTTCTCCTGCCTGAAACCCTGGAGAGCCTCTGCCAGTCAGTGTAGAGAATACTGAACTGGCCCGGTATAAGGGAGCTTCCAGTGTTCCATAACCAAACCTCCACAGACTTTGTTACAATTCTTACTTACCAGAAAAAAGTTAAGCATAATCATCCACCCCCAGCCTCCATCGGGAGCTTCTGCACCGTCGTGTTGTTTGGTGCTTTCTTCAGCTTCTGGCTCACCCTCTGTTCTCTCCATTCCTGCTGCAGATTTGAGCTCCAGCAAGTAGCTGCAATTGACTTTGTTAAAGGGCTCTTACACCCAAAAGATAATAGTCCACATTGCTGACAAACCCTCAAAATAAAAGCTGCCATTGCTGCTTTAACACGGTCTGCAGTTTTTCAACTTAAACATTAACCCAATGTTTTTAAACACTAAAACGGTGGTATCACCCTAGTGAACAAGATGGACCTCTTAATTTTACTGCCTTCCTAGTTGTTTTTGACTGCTTCAAAATTAAAAGAAAAAATTATCAGAGTGGTTTTGTTTTTTTAAAGCTCTGTGGCGGTTAAGGGGTATTTTTATCAGCTAAGACTTTTGCAGCAAGATCCTTCTGCTTGACAAGGGAAGCCTCGGAAGTAAATGTCAGAAACTGTCCTGTATTGTGAGTCACACAACTGCTGCCTCTCAGGGAAAAGGCTTCTGAATTGACCCTAGTACATCCTGGGCAGGAAATAACACAAAAAGGCTTGTCTCCATAGTTCTTTGCTGAAGCCTGGGCTCTAGCATGTCTTGCATGCTTTTAAATTCAAACTCCAGGTTTCCCTTTCATCTTAATTGTGCTTTGGTCTCAACTCTTGGTTTCAGCATACACCTGGTGAGCAGAAAATTCAGGCATCCAGTAGGCATTAGTTTAAGGAACAGCCCCAGCACCTGAAAAGAAGGCTTGTTGAAGAGGACAAGAAGCAGTTGCTGTTCTTCTGCACAGGCTTTTTAAGCAACTGCTTGCTGCATCAGCTAACTTCTACTAGGCCCTGCTTATTTACTAGCTTCCCCTGCTCAGGTCCCTCTCCCAACCAAGGTGCGCTAACAGCAGAGGCAGGAGCCTGGCCATGCTTCCCACATTCTTAATTCCTTCCTGCTAGAGGGTTCAGGAGCAAGGCAGGATTCATTTATACAGAATCGTTGAATTGTAGAGTCGGAAGGGGCCACAAGGGTCACCTAGTTCATGAGTAGGCAAACTAAGGCCTGGGGGCCAGATCCATCCCAATCGCCTTCTCAATCCAGCCCACGGACGGTCTGGGAATTAGCGTGTTTTTACATCAGTAGAATGTGTTCTTTTATTTCAAATGCATCTCTGGCTTATTTGTGGGGCCTGCCTGGTGTTTTTACATGAGTAGAATGTGTGCTTTTATTTAAAAATGCATCTCTGGCTTATTTGTGGGGCCTGCCTGGTGTTTTTACATGAGTAGAATGTGTGCTTTTATTTAAAATGCATCTCTGGCTTATTTGTGGGGCATAGGAATTCGTTCATTTCCTCCCCCCACCCCAAAAAAATATAGTCCGGCCCACCACATGTTTTGAGGGATGGTGGACTGGCCCATGACTGAAAAAGGTTGTTGACCTCTGTTGTGGGGCATAGGAATTCATTCAAATTTTTTTTTCAAAATATAGTCTGGCCCCCCACAAGGTCTGAGGGACAGTGGACCAGCCCCCTGCTGAAAGTTTGCTGACCCCTGTTCAACCTCCTGCAATGCAGGAATCTTTTGCCCAACATAGGGCACGATCCTGAGATTAAGAGTCTCATGCTCCACTGACTGAGCGATCCCTTTTGTTCAGTGTTCCATTTTAAATGCCTGCCTGCACCTGTAGAAGCTATAAAGAGAACCTACAGTGCCAGTACCCCTACTAGGAAATGTGTGTTTGGACTAGTTATGCAATGTTCTTTGGTATGAAAGTAAATAATTGCAAAATAACCGTGACAGGTCAAAACACTGGCCATTTCCTCTTAATGGCTCCGTTGTACCTTTAAAATAAGAAACCCTGCATGTTTGAAGGTCAGCAGCTGAAACCTAGCTTCAGAGGAAGCCCTCGGTACCCGGATTATAAGAGTCTTGGTATCATTGGCGAAAACAATGTCTTTTTTCCTACAAGTGGATTGAGCCAGTGCCCCTGGAGGTAAAGCCCTTGTCCTGGCTCACTTTGAATTATTATTATTTTTAAAGAAATAGCTCAGCATACCACCATCGGCATGAATTTATTTGATTTTTAGATTACACAATAAAAAATATTCCCTAGCACATGGAAAGGTAGGTTGGTGTTCATCTTGAGGAATATGTGATATTTCCTTCTTTAAACAAGTATCCATAAAAATAAATTTCTTTATTCAAGTATTCTAGGTTAGAAATGTGTTCTTGTTTTTTTAAAATAAAAACTACAGAAATTTGATTAAGATTTATCCCCCTGGGGTAAACACTTCATTTTACAGCAGTTACATCCAAAATACAAGTTGGATTGTATTTTTCATGCAGTGTATGATGCACAAGGGAAGGCATTTAATCATATAATTGTTTTGATATGCTCATTAGTAACCACCTTTAGATGGTACTGTTGCTACTATTTTAGTCCCTTTCCACCACAACACTTGCACAATGAGCAGGGATGCATACATAAAAGGAATATAGATAAACAGCACCATATTCTAAACAGGGAGCATGTTCTCTCTCAACTACACAGGTATAAGTATGTCATCTACTAAACAATAATTTCTTGTAGAGAGAGAGCAAGGTATGTATGGATTCTGTGCATATTTTATAATTACATCTCAAAGCAGGTGCAGGCATATGATAGAATACTCATATTATTCAAACAATCGGTTTTATAGGGTAAAGATCCTTACTCAGGCTTGTAGAGTATGATTTGAAACTGCAGAAGCAGCTATCAGAGGCTCAACAGCAAGGAGCCTGTGTAGAATGTCAACTACTTCACATGAATTAGATCAGTGTTTTCCTAACTTGGCCCTCCCATCATCCCTAGCTAGCAGGACCAGTGGTCAGGGATGATGGGAGTTGTAGTCCCAAAATAGCTGGAGACCCAAATTTGGGAAACACTCGATTAGATTAGAAAGGGAAAGGGAGCAGAGGGTAATGAACCTTGGCATACTCCACACAACTACCACAAGGGACCCACTTTCCAGAACCTCCCTACCAGGTAGGAACAATCAGGACAGCTTCAAATCCAAACCCAGACAGATGGTCCAGGAAAATATGGTTAATAAGGAAAGGTTGAAAGGAGAATCAACAGGATCACCTTCATCTTGTATTTTCTGGCATAGTAATCCGCTAGAGCAGCTAATACATTTTACTTCAACCGGGATGGAAGCTAGATTGAAAAGGATTCTGTTATGTGTCGTGGCTATCCTGCTGCCCTTCGTCCTAGGATTAGGTTGTACTTGAGAGAGTGTTCTGATGAGCACAAACCCCACATTCCACACTTGACATGAGTCCCTGCACTATTTTCTTACACATTGTAGTCATGTGCCTTTTTTTAGTGTTACATTTCTGGCTCTATTAACACTTTCCATTGAGTTAACCTATGGCAGAGTTTGGTCTGAAATGTATTGGTCCTCAGGACTCCAGAGGGGATTCAGATTTGTTCGTTCTTAGGATATCCTAAATGCTAGATGTATAGGTCTCTGGAATTAGAACATAAAATCAAGAATTGTAGAGCTGGAAGGGACCGCGAGGATCGTCTGGTGCAACGTCCTGCAATGCAGGAATCGTTTGCCCGTGGAGCTTGAACCTGCAACTCTGAGAGTCCCATGCTCTACTGACTGAACTATCCCTGATTCATGAAATAGCCAGGTTTACTATCAACCCTGTGTGTATCTCTTGATCAGCTAGTGGAATTCAAGAAACTCAGAAGAGAGAGCTTTACAGATGGTAGCTAATACACTGCCATCAGCTAACAAGCAGATGACACAAAACAGTTTGTCTCATTAGTCATGCAACTATTATGGTCAAGTCCCTTTTAAATATGTGATTGTTAGTTTTGTACATAGAAGGAAGATCAGTATACCAAACAACTGCATTTTCTTAAGACAAGTGAATGTCATTGCCTGGCTAGACACACCAAATAAAACAACATTAAGTCAAACGGTAGTGAACAAGCAGTGTGTTCTAGTTTGTTTATTTATTGATTTATTGAGTATTGGGGCCACCTGACAAGGTGCTCTCCCCAGCCATGTAACAGGAAAACATTCCACACATGATAATATGAAATGGCACAAGTTCAGAGCAATTAAGATTCCATAACAACTTGGGAGAATGTTTACAGTCCAATCCAGCTAGGTTCTACCTAGTGATACTGGATATTCAACCTGTATTAATCTGTAGAAGAGTAGTCCACAACGGTGCATAAATGTTGAAGAGCAAGGAGTATTGTGGATGTATAAGGTTAAGATGCCATTTTGTGTACTGCTACTGTGATGCCATCATGCTTCTGGATCATGATATTGCTGAAAGAAACAGAAGGTTTGTTTTTAAACACACCACTTTCATAGAATGAAACAAGTCCCAAATGTTAACCAAAATAACTGCAGCCCACTGTTGTTGCCTTTAGATCTGTTGCTTTTCATATCACACATAGATTCTCTTCACTTGTCATCATTTGTAATACAGCTATAGGCATTTTGATGACACCCCTTTAATCACCATTATTTCAAATATTAGCAAAATCAGGTAGACTTTAAACCCAGAATTATTTATTAAACCTTTTTCCTTGTAAACCTTATCAGTGCCCTATTTGGGCATTGGCTCTACTCACATGTTGACCAACACGGGAGTTGGGGTGCATCACCACCTTTAGAGCACTTCAAAAGTTTTGAGGCTCCACACATACACAGTTTAAAGCCCTGTGCTACTGGAGATCTAAATCCACAGGGAGACTCCGTAAGTAGAAGCGTCCCACCTCAGACCTTCACCCTCAAATTCATGGAAGGCTCCAAATGTGATCATGGTGGCATGCTGGAGGGAACAAGGCTTGGAAGCACACCCCTGCTTACAAGAAACTTAACACTTAAAATAAGGCTTAAACCAGCCTTATATTTGTGCACTAGCCTGGTACCCATTTCATGTAGGCAACTGAGTGAACTGGCAGAGGAAGGTTGGCACACTCCATCCCTCATCAGTGCCCAACACAGAATGCAGCTCTTCACCCCTGCCAGCCCCAGGCAGACTAGTAACTGGGAGGTGTATTTACAAGCCTTCAATAAGTATATGTTTAAAGCCTAAAATTAGTCCTACAGAACTCCAAAGTCAGTGAAGCCGCATGCACCAAGGAAGAATCTTTCAATTTATTCCATGATATCAGCATCCTAAACAGATGATCCTATTTCCTCTTATGTTTGCCACAACCCATTAGCAGAAGAGAGCAAATTATTCCATAGCAGAGGGGAAACTACAAGGACGAGGCTCTTGCAACATGCAATATGATCAAAGGAGGGTGCAGCGCTATAGCTAAGAAAAGTAGGAAGAACAATAACCTACTTCCCAGCTACACTGAGAGCCTGATGGCAAAACACATTAACTGAGGCTAGTTAAGATCTTTGTGTCTTCTTCACTCTTAAGAGTACTTTTGCAAGTTGGCTCAAATTCCAAGAACAAAAGATCAGAAATTGAAGCTGTTATTTCCAAACAAGTTACCATGCACATGGAAGACAGAACCCAGAGAGCAGCAAGGATTAACCAATTTATCCATATGAGAAGGCAACTTAAGCAATGGGCCTGTCATGTCAATTAATTTGTCTTAAGTAAAGGAAGTAATAGCTCCAAATACACATACCCAGTATCTGATTCGAGGCACACTACAGGAATATCTGTTGGATCAGACGTTAGTTTGGCTGCTTGCTGGGCTAGAACAGATATCACACCTGCATGTTCATCTGAGAGGGTACCACGACCTAGAAGACAATGGTTTATCATTTAAAATGAGTAAAGAAATACAGGATGTGGTCAGTTCAGGGATGCAAAACAAAAAATGCTGACTGAAAAGGGGGAAACCAAATGTAGTCCTTAACCAGAGAATTTTCAATTCCATAAACTGAAAATAATAACAAAGAATGGATGCCAATTACAGTATTATGGAAGCTTGGCAATTACAAAGTAATAATTAATGTTTTTCAGGCAATCATCCAAGTGCTAGCATTTTACATTTTTATGAATATTTTTACACAATATAACATTTAAACCACATTAAATGGGCTCTTAATTTCCCCATCAAATATTTCAAATTAAATATATGAAAGTACTGAGACAAAAAATCTGAAAGTACTGAGGGGTTTTTTAAAGCTTTGTTTACTTAATATATGTAAAATAAACATACTAAGTTGCATCACTCTCTAAGGCAACAAAAAATTTCCTGATGCAATTTACCCTAATGGGCAAATATTTTTTTCCAAATAAAAAATATTTAGAAAACCCAAATAACTATTCCTTTCCTACTTCTTCTACCCTTCTTCCTCACTCCCATTCCATATCCCATTTTAGCACCCTTTCCCCATATTTCCTTTTCCCCCTGCCTGCCCGCTATCTGACAGTCTGACTTGTTTACAGCTGCTAGGGAATGGTTAAGTGAAAGCCAAGAAGGTCTCAGACATAAGGAACATCTGTCAATTTTTCTAGGACACAGAGATTTTATAGAGGCAGCCTTAAGAAACAGAGCCAGTTGAGGAAGAAAGATGATATGAAAGATCTGTTAGTGTTGTTGCATATGAAAGTGAAGAGTGTGTGCATAGGGGGTTAAGGTATAAATGAGCTGAATCAAGAGAGGAGGAGAACTAAGTCCCTGCCTTGCCAAAGTGATCCCTGTGTCATCACTTTTACAAGTCACCTTTAAAGAAAACTAATAGCAGCAAGAATTTTGTAGCTGTGTTGTGTTAGTGATTATTAACTAGCTGTACGTTTTAATTTGTCAAGCCTTCACAAATCTTAAATAGAGGTGTTCAGAAGATACAGGAGCATCCATTACTGATTTACTTGAGGCTAGCTGGCTGATCTAAAGTCACTCACTATAGCTGTGCACTTTAGAACCGTGCAATACAAGGAGATTGTATTAAGTTGTACAAGTCGTCTAGATAGCAATGCAACTACCACATAAGCAAGCAATAGGAGGTATCTTATTAGACTCTCTTTGCTGTTAATGCTAGAACTACCAATCTGACTTTTAAATAATTTCTTTGTATACACAGCACTTTAGATTAAAACAAGGTTTTAATCATTGCCTAATTTAAACTAGTAAAAACGATGCTCAGAATTTATGTAGATCTCTTTTCAGGCACCATCTTGAGGACATTTGGCAAAAAGGGAGGATGTAGATGCCACAGACACATTTATCACCGCTTTTCAGCTACATAGGTAACTATTATGCACATACACCCATCCAGTGCTTTTTTTTCTAAAAAAAAATGTTTAGGGGTACTCTCATTTTCCTACTCATATTGAAATACTGCCCCTCAATGAGGCCAAACTTAGATGCACAAAATGTTTAGGGGTATGCGTATCCCTGCGTCCCCCCCCCCGAAAAAAGCATTGCACCTAACACCAGCCACCCCACTAAGTTCCCAGTTGTGGCCAAACGTAGCATTTTGGTAAAGAAACCGTCTGGGTTTCTCCTCTTACCCAATAAGTGTATCTCATTAATGCAATAAGAGACCAGGCTAGGTGCTTGAAGAGCTCTACCTTGGTCTGACACTAGGAGGAGACGAGAGGAGAGAACAAGTTGAGGGAGAACTACAGAGGAAGGTAAGGGATCTTCAAGCGGGTAGCAAGCTATTTTTTAAAAACACAGGCTGCATCTTGGACGTCATGGGAACATGCGACAAGAAGGTGTCGGCGTTACTTACAGCCCAGGTTGAGGCCCTGGGAATCGGTGCACAGGACTCCTGCAATGGCGGGGTTCTTCATTCTAACGGAGGAGGACGAAACGACAGAGATCAGCGACTGCTACTGTACCGGATGCACCCGAGGAGAGAGCCGCGTCACCCTCCCCACCGCCCCACGACTCCCACGACACTTTGGCAAAAGGGAGAAGGCCCCCCCGTCCGCCCCAGCACCTACGTGTCTTCCAAATGATGCTCCAACGCCCCCTCCATCTTGCCGAGCACCGCGATCACTTCCGCATGCGGGAGTGGGGTTTTTTGTCAGCTGACTTGTAATCACATGATGGCAAGGGGCTGGTACGGCGGCTCATCAGGGTCAGAATTCCTGGAGGAGAAGCGTTTGCTGATGGGGCCGCATGTTTTTAAACGCCGGCTCGGCTCTCGCGAATCCTTTTCCTTTTAGCAGAAGGTCCATCAGTGGGGCTTATTTCCCAAACAACATGTTTAGTAACGGAGTGTCACTGAACGTCATACCACAGTCCTTCTTTGTTTACGAGCCTGTTTATTTTTATCCTGTTTTTTGGGGGGCAAGTGTTGTTGCCCAAAATCCTCTCACATCAATAAAACGGAGGCCAGACCCTGATTTAAAGGGTTTTACTCTCAGAAAAGGGGAGCGGCTGGAAAATGTAGGAAAGATTCTTAAGCCCCAAAGTAGAGAGCTGTAAACGGAGATATTTTTTTTTAATCTGTTTCAGGCCAGGTGGCTGATACTCAGTGCGTATAAGCTAAACAAGCTATAGCTTAGGGCCCCACTCTTGGGGGCCCACCAAAAATTTAAAAGTATTTCACTTTTAATATTCTTCTTCTTAACTGTATTTCAGTTCAACAATTATTTTGATAAAATACATACTTTATTATGTGCAAATGGCTTTATATACCTATTAGATCCATATAGCAGACATGTCCAAAGTCTGTCTCGGGGGCTTTATCCGGCCTGCCGGTCGGTTTAACCCGCATAGCTGTCAACTTTTCCCTTTTCTTGCGAGGAATCCTATTTGGAATAAGGGAATTTCCCTTTTAAAAAGGGAAGCGTTGACAGCTATGTTAATCTGACCCCTGTTGCAGTTTATTTTCTGGGGTAAAATTTCCCAAAAAGTTCAACAACACTGGGGTAAAATTGTAAAAAAAGCTCAACAATTTCAATCCTAAAAAAATGTCAAGAACTTTGGTCGGCCCTCATGCATGTTCACTTCAAATCTGGCCCTCTTTGAAAAAAGTTTGGGAACCCCTGCTATATAGTATATATTCAACACAAAACACAGCGACAATTTGTTGTTGACAAAGGACAGCTGGACATATAAAGGGCCCCATTACCATCAGTAGCTTGGGGCCTCACCAAACCTAAATCCGGCCCTGCTGATTCTTCTAATGATATATATTGGAAATTTGTGTTTCTATAGCAGATTTCAAGCATGCAAATTCTCAACAATCATTAACAACCACTGTGTAAAGGAGGCCAGTATTTACTAAGGATGGTGAGTGGGATGAGGTAGTGCTCTGAGAAGTGGTGGCTGTGAAGCTATTTGGATCCCCTTTATGGACACTATATCAGCACAGAGATAATGAAACAGAAGGTTGTTCTTAGACCCATATTCACTTAAAAGTGCAGATAATACAGTGGTGCCTCACAAGACGAAAAGAATCCGTTCTGGGAGTCTCTTCGTCTAGCGGTTTTTTCGTCTTGCGAAGCAAGCCCATTGACGGATTAGCGCTATTAGCGGCTTTTAGCGGCTTTTAGCAGCTTATCAGCTTATCGGATAAGCAGATAAGCGGCTTAGCGACTTAGAAAAAGAGGGGGAAAAGGAGAAAAAAACCCAGGAACTCGCAAGACATTTTCGTCTTGCGAAGCAAGCCCATAGCAGATTCGTTTTGCGAGGCACCTCCAAAACGGAAAACTCTTTCGTCTAGCGAGTTTTCCGTCTTGCGAGGCATTCGTCTTGCGGGGCACCACTGTAGTTTGAATAGGGAACTCTTGTCAGCTCCATGCACACACACAAAAACACACCATGCATTTAACACACACAGAGAGAAGAATCCTTATAACTGTGGCTTCCTCCTCACAGAGCTGCAATTCCCAGCACCCTTAACAATCTGCACTTCCCGGGATTCTGTGGGTGGGTGCTTTAAATCTATGCAGTCCCAAATTACTCAGGACCCCATTGACTATGAATATGTAATAATAAAGACACATTCAAATGAATTTTGGGAAGGGGAAAACAAAACAAAAAATTAGCAAGCAATCTTGCTCAAATTATCCTTTTTATGCTGCCCCAGATTTTGTGTTCATACTATCCCTCTGTGGCTTAGGCATAACAAAATATGATTGCAGGCTTCTTCTTCTTTTTTTAAAAAAAGACTTACTTTTGTTTAGATTTCCTACTTTAAATGTAGGGATATTTGGTTCTATGCTTCTGAGATGGATGTATTTTAAAACTAAGATTCATGCTCACTCTTTTCTCTTAAAAATGGCTACTCTCAGAACTGATTTTGCAAACTCCTTAGCAGAATCAGGCTGCAGTCCCCACTCCTTTACAGCTCCAGCTGACTTGCCCCCAAAGACATATGTCATTACTGGAATTGAGTACTGGGTTCTGTGTATTAAATCAAATGCCACATTAATTCTTTTGCTTCAGCACTCTTTCCCTGATGAGCATGTCAGAAGCGAAAAGAGTGATGTCTCTATTGATACTCCCAATCGCCTATGAGGATGTAAGATGTACATAATTCCATCCATCTTAAAAGCACAAGCCGAGAGTGAAAAACCAATTGACTTACTTGGGGGAAATAAAGGTTTATCATTTTGTGGACAAGTAACTATGAACAAGAGAGAAAGTTCCTTCATCATTCTCCTCAGTCCAGAATCCAGTGTGTTAAACAGCTCTGGAAACAGCTCTGATCCTCTCTACCCCAGCAGCTATACTGTATAAGGCCACTCAGCTGACAAACAACATCCGAAAAAGATGTTTCACCTATGCACACTGGATACCCAAACATGAAAATCCATATATATTCCACCTCATTCTCATGTGCAGCATACAAATGCATTCTGATTACAGCAAGCTGAACATTTACTGCAACTCTCTGCTCAACTGATTTATATCAACAAGGTGCTATTCCAAATTGTATACCGCTTTTCAGCAGCAACAAATAAAGTTTGAAAGTGGTTTCCATCATAAAATAAGATTCTATCCAAAGCAAGACTTAAAACTCATAAAAATCTAAACACAACTTTAATACTTTAAATCAGCTAAAGCAACAGCAAGATACGAAGAAGAAGAAGAAGAAGAAGAGGAAGAGGAAGAAGAAGAAGAAGAAGAAGAAGAAGAAGAAGAAGAAGAAGAAGAAGAAGAAGCTCCTCACAAATCTGTCAGATAAAAAATAAATGATATAGCTGTTTGTGAAAGGTTGCCAAAGAACATGCAGCCTTCCCCCAAGAGGGCATTCCACAATACTGCAGGCACATCAAAGAAAGCCCTGTTCCTATTTGTTGTTTAGTCGTTTAGTCATGTCCGACTCTTCGTGACCCCATGGACCAGAGCACGCCAGGCACTTCTGTCTTCCACTGCCTTCCGCAGTTTGGTCAAACTTATGCTGGTAGCTTCGAGAACACTATCCAACCATCTATTGGATGTTCCTATTAGATGACAATTTAGCATGCAGTTCAGTAGTAGGGACATGGGTGGTGCTGTGGGTTAAACCACAGAGCCTAGGACTTGTCAATCAGAAGGTCGGCAGTTCGAATCCCTGCGACGGGGTGAGCTCCCGTTGCTCGGTCCCAGCTCCTGCCAACCTAGCAGTTTGAAAGCACGTCAAAGTGCAAGTAGATAACTAGGTACCACTCCGGCGGGAAGGTAAACACAAAGAACTCATAACCCACCTGCTCTCAGCAGCCAGAAACACCATAACCAGACACTGGAGAGACCTGTCAGGAGTAAGCATGGACCAATGGTACCAAATAGTATGGGAAACAGCCCTACTAGAAAAATTAACTAATAAACTGAAACTGACACGGGGACAAACAGAAGAAGACGCCTTCACCCGGTATGGCTCCCTTTATCACATACACAGCCCAACAGGACAATGACAATAATCCACCAACAGCATACAAATCAATATGGCTAACCTGATCCAAAACACCCACCCACCTCACTCACACACGAAAACAAAGATCACCACAGCCAATCACAAGCAAACAATCACACCCTAGGCCAACCCCAACCTCTCTCACCACCAAAGGAACACAAGTGAACAACACAAGCAATGCTGACACCAAACTCTACATACATTAAACATAATAGAAACACCGCCACTCGACCCCACCCCCATCCATCTACCCTCTCTCCACCCCCCTTTCTTTTCTTTTTTTTCTTCTCCCCCTAATGCCTCAACAAATGAAATGGATTTGTAAAAATGTTACATGAAAAAAAAATACGAGGCACTACACTTCTGTAAAACAAGAAAATCCTTAATAAAATATTTTTAAAAAATAAATAAGTGGCATTTCCATGCGCTGCTCTGGTTCACCAGAAGCAGCTTAGTCATGCTGGCCACATGACCCGGAAGCTGTACGCTGGCTCCCTCGGCCAGTAAAGCAAGATGAGCACCGCAACCCCAGAGTCAGCCACAACTGGACCTAATGGTCAGGGGTCTCTTTACCTTTACAGTGGTACCTCGGGTTAAGTACTTAATTCGTTCCGGAGGTCCGTTCTTAACCTGAAACTGTTCTTAACCTGAAGCACCACTTTAGCTAATGGGGCCTCCCACTGCTGCCGCGCCGCCGGAGCACGATTTCTGTTCTCATCCTGAAGCAAAGTTCTTAACCTGAAGCACTATTTCTGGGTAAGCGGAGTCTGTAACCTGAAGCGTATGTAACCTGAGGTACCACTGTACCTTTACCAGTACTTTGGCCACACAGGTAGATCTAAAAGCTTTAGTTTTATGAGGCTGTATTTAACAAAAGTTGCACACAGACCTTCGAATTCTTATCCTAAAACCTCCAAGGTAGCATTTAGTGACATGGCCTGAGTTTATTTATCTCTCTGTGATATCAGAGGAGCTAGGGCAGTGCATACGCAGATGACAGATTCATTAACTAGAAGTTGGTGGGGAGGTGCAGACATGGGGAAACAAATCAGGTTATGCAGTGAAAACATCCCTGTTGTGTACAGCAGGGTAAAAATGAGACTTGAAATGAAGTGTGTGTGGGGGGGGGTTGGACACACAACCTCAGTGGTTTCAAACTACTAATATGTACATAGCTGTAGTGCAGC